TATTAATTTTATCTACTTGCTGGTTGCTTAGTATTTATTTATGTAGACTGGATTATCTAGAGTTTTGAGCAACTATAGGTTTTAATATCAAACTATTATAATTTTTTTGACATAAAATAACTTGTATATGACATTTGCACATGGGTATTGTTGTGATACTGGGTATTCCTCCACTCTAAAACAATTAATTTTAGGGTGTTTTGATTTTATTTCTTTTAGCTGACTTTATTTAAATATCATCAGCTTTCGAGAAGCCCTGGATCTTGTGAAGGAGGCCATTAGCAGAACTGGTTATAATGACAAAATAAAGATAGCACTTGATGCTTCGGCTACAAATTTTTGCATAGGTAATTATAATTTTCTATCACTTGTGTACTTTTATATTCTTGAGAAGATAGAATTTGGTGATACTTGCTTCCTCTATTATGGTTTGTTTCTGTTTTCTTCTTTCTCTAATGCTAGCACCTTTCTTCTGTGAGGCACGTCTCCATACTTCAAGTTTTAAAGCCCACTGGTGCTTTGCCCTTGACTACATTTAACCAGTTTATGCTGTTGTCTATATATGCCTTTTCCATGATATAGGTAAAAGATATGATCTGGACTTTCAATCTCCTCAAAAGTCTGGACAGAATTTTAAGTCAGCAGAGGATATGATAGAGTTATACAAGGAATTATGTACTGGTAAATCAGATTATCTTACTGTTTTCCTAACAAGGACATTATAAATTATTTAGCCTATGCTTCATGTTTATTTTGGTCTTTCTGTCTGAATTTGTAGAATACCCTATTGTATCAATAGAAGATCCATTTGACAAGGAAGATTGGGAACATATCAAGCATGTCTCTAGTCTTGGAATTTGTCAGGTATTATTCATAAGCAATTAATATTTTGTTTGATTTAACATGATTCACTCTTTGCTGAGTTTGCTCTAGGTAATTTGTGCAGCCAAAGTTTGATGATATGACATTTTGGAGAATACAGGATATTTTTTAACAGAAAATAATAGCAAACTGATTCTTAGTCTATTTCAGTGCCATACTGACACATTTGTAGGTTATGTGAGGATAGGAGAAAAAAATGTCATTAAAAATCTGCTGTCCCATTATTGGGGTTGAGCATTAGGAAGGTTATTCACATGTTACCGATGAGATGTTTAGTTGATCTACTGGCTACTGACTGGAACTCAAGTTTATATAGTTTCCCTTCGTTTGAATGTTTCTGCAGGTAGTTGGTGATGATCTCTTGATGTCAAATGCAAAACGCATTGAACGAGCAATAACTGAGTCTGCTTGTAATGCTCTTCTTCTTAAGGTAAGCTGACTATTATTTCAATTAAATTTCAAGGAGTTGTGACAAATTTATTATCATGTCTATGTTTTTTTTTTTGTTATTGTTATTTTTTAATAATAAATACAAAATCTAGTTGTTCGTGCAATGGAAGCAGTTCTGTTTCATTATTAAATTGAGTCATTGGATATTCACAGATTTTGGATTAGCTTACTTTTTTGAGGCAAATACAGTACCATAAGTGCTAATTTACATAAAAGATAAGAAAATATAAGTGCTTGTTTGCTTACATTTTTGAAAAACAGTTTTCAATTTTTAAAATTTTAAAACTTAAAAAATTATTTGATTTAACAGTTTGTGATAAATAATTTAAAAAATTGCAATTTTTTAGTTTTCAGGACTAAAAAACTAAAACAGCTCTAGGTTGTTTTCCACTTTTCCTTTTTAATTTTTTGTTTCTCTTTCAAAATCTACCAAGAAAGAAGAACTCCATTCCCTCAATCTCTCCCTCGTTACTGCAATCATCTTCAGTTGCTCCTGGCTTGAGTCCACCCCCTGTATCCTCAACACCTTGACTTAACTTCAAAGCCATTGATCTTTGTGCAACTTCACTACGGACATGCTGCAACATCCTCATCTTCTTCAACTGCAGTTAGATTTGCAGTTTGAAGTCAAGGTGGCATGACTTTTAGTGGACAAGGTTGAGGCAGGGTGGTGTTGTGAATGGGAATGCATGGTGTTGATGCTCACAGTGGCTGGAACTTGGTCATCCTGCTCCTGTGCAGTGGTCGGAGCATGATGGTACTGCAGTGAGGGTGATTTGCTTCTTGTTTCTGGCTGAGCTTCCCTCCTCTCTCCTTGTTTATTGTATTCTTGACTACATTCATTGTTAAAGTATGGACAGGAGAACCAAACAAGTGTTTTTTTTTTATTTTTTTTAAATCTTCTAACGAGTGGTTTTCCAGAATTGAGTCCTAAAACAGTTTTCAAAAATTAAAAAAATCAAAACTGAATCAAACAGGCCCTAAATTTGGCTTGCCTGTAGTTTAGTTTTACCATTTTGTGTTTTGCCTTTTTTTTTGGTCATTTGGGAGGGTATTTTAATCCTCCTCTTTTGTAGTTTTCCTTCTTTTTTCTTGACAACAGCACTGAAATGTGATGATTTCCTATTGTATTCTAGGTCAACCAAGTTGGAACTGTTACAGAGGTCATTGAAGTGGTGAAACAGGCAAAGGAAGCGCATTGGGGGATTGTAACATCTCATAGATGTGGGGAAACTGTAGATTCTTTCATAGCTGATTTATCTGTTGGCCTTGCTGCTGGTCAGATTAAAGCAGGAGCACCCTGCAGAGGCGAGCGGCTAGAAAAGTACAACCAGGTCTGTTTCTGATTCTTATGCTGATGGTTTTACTCTTTACTTTGTTATGGTTATGGCTACTTAAATATTTACTTAGTTATGGCTACTTAAATATTTACTTACTAGCCATATTGTCAACTGCCAATCTGTCACCCATGGGAAGGTGCCAGTTTTCTATGATAGAGGGTATGTTCATTATATCAGTAGGTTTTAAGTGTTGATTTTATAACCTGTAATTTTGTTCATTGCTGGTTGTCAATAAGCTAATTTGTTGTATGTTTAAGCAACAGCAGTCATACCTCTACTTTCCCTTCATGACGGTAGATTCTCTGTGATTCCTCTTTAGTCTCTTTCTTTACCCTATCTGGGTTGATGGCATTGTTTGGTGGCATGTATATATGTTCATTATAATAATTTTCATATTAAATAAAAAGTAATATTATCCAGTTTACCTTTTTCTTGCAACAAGCTTCTATAAATTTAGCAATCATACATAACTTTTTTCTGAAAATATTTTTTGTGCTGGGAGTTTTAGTTCAACTTCACTGCAAAATATTTTTCTGAATGCAATCTTTTTTTTTTTTTTGCTAGTTAACTGTTCAAATTTATTTCAAGAATTTAATTTTAAGAAGCCTTTGGTTTACCTGAGATCTTTTTTTATTAGTATAATTATTTTCATAACCCATCTCAATGTATGTTGTTGTGCTGCACTGTGTCTAGTGAAGAAGAATTTTCAGTCAGTTTTTTCTCGAAAGGAATTTGAATTATTTGTTTCCTATTAATGTGTTTTCAGTCAGTTTTTCTTGTGTTTCTAGGATATCTTAGCTTGTCGTACTGTCTGTTCGTTTTTCAGTATTTTTTTTTTTCAAACAAAAGGTCTGATATGGGAACGGAGACTTAGTAAAACAATAGGATGTAAGGTGGAAGGATTCATTCAGAGATTTAGAAGATTTGTAAGAAAAAGAAAAACCTTGCAGCAGAATTCTTTCTTCTATTCAGTTGTTCAACACAATTGTTCTTTTCCTTTGTTTCTATCAATTTCCTATTTCACAATTGTAATGTTGGCAATGTCCACTCTGAAGTATTTCACATGCTGCTTTCATTACTAGCTGTGAGTTTCATGTAGGGATGAAATCGAGTATATATTCTCTTTTGTCCTGGTATAGTGAAATGAAGGACAAACATAACTGTTACAATCTGAAATTTGGTGCAGTTACTTCGGATTGAGGAGGAGCTTGGAGATCAAGCAGTTTATGCTGGTGAAGATTGGAGGCAATAAAAATGAACAGTTTCTTCAGATTGATTTTTGAGATATTTCTTCTATAAGTTCGATACGAGAGGTTGAAGTTCATCGCTGTACCATATTCATCAACTTCTGATATATTATTGCCTTAACTGTTACCTTTCATTATTTTGTGCTATTAGGTTCTAGTGAATGTTATCGAGTATTCAAGAATCTGTATAAATATAGTGCGGCCTGCTTATTTACCTGTTATAATAGGGGACAGAAACTAATACCAATCCATCCCTGAAAATTCCGGATTGTTTCATCGAAATTAACGTTGGTCCGTTTTCTAACCGTGGAATATTGCTCATGTTCTTTGTTTTTTTTTTTTTTTGGTCTGAGACATTGTTCATGTTCAAATACATCTCATTTAAGATAACTCTTAAAATACTTTTTTAAACAAGAAGAAACTCGCATTTTAAGTTCAAGAATGGCCATACTTTCTTAATTGGAAAAGCACTAAAAAATACAGGGATGAATGCCCAAATTGGCCAGAAGATATAAGAGAAACTTCGATTCTAATAAAAATATAGTAATATTTTTAGTCCCAAAGAATTAAAATTTTAAGACACTTTAGTCTTTATTTTCAATGGGATACTAAAATGTTTCATAAATATATAACATAATTTGATTGCCACTTTTTCAAAATCTAAATTAGGTGGAGTGCTTTACATATACTTTTTTTTTTCAATAGTTAAATTGAATATTTACTCAAAAATAAAACTGGAAAGTGCTTTACATGTATTTTTTTCCTTCCCCAAAGGACAAGAAAACACAGTAGTCCCAACACCAATGTTTGATTCCTTTTACCTACACTATATCCTACGTCAACACCGGCAAATAGCCATGATTGTATCATGTTTACTTCCTGCCATCTGCTGTACTTTTACAAAATATACATCCATTGTTTAGCATTGTTCAAAACCGCAAAAAGTGTGCAAAATTAGGTTGTCAGGGAAGATACCTATACAAAACTAAGACGACCAATTCGTTAGCCCACAAAATATCTTCTATAGATGACTAAAATAATCCTACAACCGAATTTAAAATCCATCAGACCAAATCAACTCTTAATCTTTAGGTTTTGTCTCCTCCTCCTCCTCCTCCTCTATCTTAGGAGCCAAATAAAACCGAACATAACCTATCTCAGCAATCTTGTACTCAACCAAAACAGGCACATTGTTTGACAAACTGATGGAGACTGTACTAGAAAATGGTGTTGCCTTTGTAAAAGAGTTCATATATCTCAATGCAAATGTCAGGCAAACAGGTTCATTCATCTCTATGACAGTGGCTGCTTCAGGCTGCATTATCCACCCACACATGCAACCGTGCATAAATATCCATCAGTTTGCAGTTTAAATTGAAGAAAGCCATTCATACTCTCTTTGGCGTATTCTTTGTTATTAGGTTAATTTCATTCGGCCTCACTAAATGAAGAGTGAACCCAAGTTGTTTAATGGAACCCATGTGAAGTTCACCTGATAATAATAATAAAATGTATTGAAAAGAGTATGTGCAAAAGAGTTTACCGTTAATCTATCAAATTTATAAACATGGCAACAGTTAACATAACCTTACAAATTTAAGGATGCAACACATAATAACAAGGCAATCAAATGGTACCTTGTCGACAGAATTATTCTGCCTACAGACTATATTTGCAGAACCAATATCACCTGCGGTGCTAAACTTGACACCGTCCTTAGCAACCGAGATGGTAACTACAACAATACACATTCGCAAAATGACAACATTGCAAAGTCAAACATGCAGCAATTGGCATTAGAAACAACACGGAAATGAAAGCAAAGCAAAATACTACCAGTGTCCCCAAAAGAACTGAGGTCTCTGCAAATCTTAGAAAACTCAATTGAAGGCATTCTAACAATGGCATGGTACACTGCGTCAGGAATCTCGAGGCGCTCACTGTTTATGTCCATCAGCTTCATCTCAAAATCAGAAATCTTGTCTTGTGCTATAACACACAAAGACACACAACACTTAAATGTAAACACAAATCTTTAGGTACAGAACAGAAATGCGTTGCATCATTCTTCATTCATTCATTCATTCATTCATCAAGAAAACGGGCATGCATAAATCTTCCTTTCAACTACCATTTGTGCATGAAAAATGGAGATAACTACAATAAAATTTAAATATGTTTTTAATCTTTATATTTTACAAGTTATCGGGTCACAGACCAAATTAAAAGAAGAATTATAAATCATCTCCCTTTGATCTCTATAATTTAAAATGGTAAAATTAAAAACATGTTTAAGCCTAATAACGATAATAACAAGAAGAAGCTGGAAAGTATTGTTTATAAAGAAAGAACCCACTAGGACTTTCAGACAAGAAAGTGACGAAGTCGGTGCCATAGTCGGCTGTGATGCTGATGATGTCGTCGTTGGTGACGCAGCGAAGCATCTTAGACAAGTTGTTGAAATTGATACCCATCGAAAGGTTGCGGTCACAACGGTAGTGCTCGAAACCGTCGGAACGGAGGAGGATGGCGACGAGTGCCACGTGGCTGGAATCCATGGCCTGCAGGGAGAAGCCACTGGTGGAGCAATCGAAGTTTGCATCGTTCACGAGCTCCCTTGTGGCTTCCACCACCTGCTTCAGAAGTGAACCTTGAGCCAAACGCACTTCCAACATCTTCTTAGGGATTCTTTTTTCTGTTTTCTCCAGAAAAATGAAACTGAAACGACGGTTGAATGGAAGAAATGAGTTCATTTATAGAGTGCAAGATTCTCCTTTGGTCGTTGCTTCTATTCCCGCCATCACCTTCCACTTCTTTTTTTTTTTTGTTGCAAAACTAATACTGATAAATGGACGCGACCCGCTGAGCCCAATAGTCTTCGAAGCCCAAACGTAACTATTGTAATAATTTATTAACGGGGAGAAAAAAATGAATGGATTTATTTATTTGTATGCGTTGAAATGATAGTTTTAAGCATAGCGAAAAAAGAGAGAGAAAGAAATACAATAATATTTTAATATATTACAATACGATCTACAAATGATATGCTTACAAAATTTGAAATATTAATCCTTATTTATAACAATTATAATCTTAGTTAATTAAAAAATATATAAGATGATAAGATAAGGAAATATTAGTATTAATCTTAAGAGATAATAAGAAAGTAAGGAAATTAATAATAAAAGATAATTTAGAATATGGCTTTTTAAAAAATATAGATACAATACAAGATAAATTAAATATCTTTATATATCTATGTATATTTTCACACCCAGAATGGAACCAAATCTTTGCCTTAGACCAAACTCAACTTCAAATTGAAGAGTGTACTCTAGAGATTTTGGTGAAGGATAACATTCTTAGGCATGATCAATATATGAGTCGCATTTCATTTGCCGTTTCTGATATTCCTACACGCCAACCGATAGTGCACTTGCACCACAGTGGCATGGACTAGAAAATCAAAGGGGTGTAAGGTGCAGGGGAGAGCTTATGCCATGTACTTGGATTGGAACTCAAGTTGATGAGGCTTTTCGTGAAGCTTCACATTTGCATTTAGGTGCAATATCGGTTGGTGTTTACAATGTTGTCAACGCTTGTTCACATGTATATCTTATCCCTAGGATTTGGTGTCTTAGAGTTGAGTTGTTCAAGCCCGTGACCTTTTACTTGAAGATAGAACTGAAAGTTCAAAAATTTTCATCCAGGCAACGTTGGGGAAGTTAACCTTCACAAGCAAGTCAGTGAAGAACAATGATGGTAACCCTAAATGGAATGAGGATTTGTTAATTGCATTAGCTGAGGCGTTTGATCAAATGCTGGTGTTGAGTGTGAAGCAAGGAACATTAGGAAGTCATGAGAACATAGGGAGGTGTGTGTTACCCGTAAAGAATGTAGACATGAGAGTGGATGAGTCACCTCCACGTACTAGAATCTTTGATGTTAAAAGGAATTAATGAGGGATTTGTTGGTATAGGCTTTATTTGAGGCTTTCTTCGGATGGTTTGATGAGGACCCACCTTGCAGCAGTGATATGAATCCTCGTCTAATGCATTGTGGAGACCCAGCATTGGTGTTTCTGAGATGGAAATATTAAATGCCACGGGGCTCCCAGCCATGAAAGCAAGGCATCGTACTGATGCCTATTGTGTGGCACAATATGGCTCAAAATGGGTTCGGATAAGAACTGTTATCAATAGTCTTTGTCCTAAGTGGAGTGAGCAATACTTTTGGGATGTATATGATGACCCTTGTACATTCATCACAATTTGTGTGTTTGATGATGCTCAAGTTCACGATAGAGATATAGCTGCAAGAGCAATAGCTGCAAGAATAGGGAAGGTGAGAATTCGTTTATCTGAACTAGAAACCAATATAATTTACTCCTATTCTTATCCTCTTGTTGAACTTCAACCGTCTGGGCTGAAGAAAATGGTAGAAAATTCAATTAGCTTTCAAGTTTTGTTGCCCAGATATGATGAATCTTTATAAAGCGTATACATTACCTATGATCCCTCCACAGCATTTTGCTAATCCGTTGTCTCTGACTCAGTTACATGACTCAGTTACAAGCTGTCAAAGATGAGCCGTACTGAACCACCACTGAGAAGAGAGGTTATTGAATATATGCTGAATTCTCGTGGATCCATGTGAAGCACGATAAGATGTAGAGCTGATTTTGAAAGGACTAACAAATTTTTGAGTGGGTTGGTAGGTTTGTACACTCACTTTGATGAGATACGTAAATGGAAGAATCCTATTTCACTCACTTTGTTGTGATTGTTCACCCTCATCATTTGCTGCCCACAATGTTTTCCTATCTTATCCTGCATGTGCTTTTGCAGCGTCAAAAGAGGCCAAGAAATCCGTCTCATGTAGATTTGCTATTATCTCAAGTGCATAGCAATTGTAGATGAGTTGGAAGAAGAGTTTGATCCAATTCCATCCAGATTTGGAGACAGCATTATAAGGAATAGATATGATCAATTAAGAGTTGCTGCAGGGAAATATGTAGCACTGATGAGTGATTTTGCTTCCAGAGGAGAGAGACTCCAGTCTCTTGTGAGTTGGCAGGATCCAATAGCTACAATGTTGTTTATGATTTTGTGTCTCATAAGTGGGATTGTGAATTTGATTGTCCCTTTTCAAGCTGTTGTCTCTGTTTAGTTTATTTACTTGCTTAGGCATCCAATTTTACGTTCACTCTTCCCTTACACCTTTTGAAAATTGGGTAAGAAGGTTGCCTTCAAAATTAGATAGCATGATACAAGATTGTAACTCTCGTTCCTGTTTTTTAACTTTTTAGGAGATACAGATGTTTGTGCAACTTGCATAGTTTAATTTATTTTTTTTTATATAATTGTTTAGTATTCTATTTTATTTTATTTTCTTACCAACCTAATTGTACTGTTCATTCTTTGATTGTGATATGTTTAGAATATATCTTATTCATAATGTTCTTAACTGGATTCTTATGTTAAAAGCCAAGATATTTTCTAGCTCTTATATGTTAATTAAGTGAGAAAAGTATAGCTACAAAATTGACATTTTGGGCACTATGTATTGATTTTTTTATTTGTTATACAAATAAAATGTGCTACTAAATTTGGCTTTTTAAAACTTTAGATGTTTTGCTTCTATCTTTTTTACTTTAGAATCAATTATTGTGTAATTAATTTTGATAATTATTTCTATTGGAGATATACTAGTTTTTTCTGTTTCTTTTCTTATTTTTTGACGTGATGTACTTGTAGAATATTTTATATTTTTTTTTGCTATAACGTAAGAGAAAGTACTTATAAAAGTACTTTGATGATAAAGTCAATATTCAGTGTAGGATAATAAATACTATTTAATATTTAAAAGTTAACCATTTATCTATATTTTTTATTTTTTTTTAGATAAAATATTAGAATAATAGATTTCATGACTCAATCCTATTTTAATTTTTTGATTATTTAAGTAATTAACTTTTTTTTTAATTATTAACTATTAATCTTTTAATTTTTCTAGTTAAGCCAAAAGGATGCTAATATCTTTCATCCTGGTGATAAGCTAAAGGAGTGTTCGATTTCTTTTGATGGTGATAACCAAAGGCCTTGTTCTTTACAATAATCAATAAGAAAATGTTTAGCTCGTATATAGCGAAGAAAATGGCTTTCAGTAATTTCGCTTTTCATTCTTGACCGAATCAAGGGGATCTGCTGTCTCTAAATTACCGCATTATGCTAGCAAAATGGTCCCATCACATCTTTAGATTGTCAATTGGTGGAAACAAGCGTTGAAATTTCCCATAAAATTGCGTCTTTAATTATTTACTTTTGATATTGCTTTTTGGCCTAGAAAATCACAACAAATTTTTTTCTCTTTGTGCGGGAGATATCATTAACTGTTTTCTGGATATGATTATGACAACATGAAATTGCCTTTGACTATAAGATTCTACTTGTTTTGAATCTTGAAATTCCAATTTAACATCTCTCTATTCATCCAAGTTGATAGTTTGCTGTAGTTAAGGAAAATGTTCCGTCAACATAAAATTGGAGAATGATTAAACTGTTGTGTTCCTTTAATTTGTAATGTATTTTGAGATACGTATATTAAAAAAATTATGTACTATATTATGCGTAGAACTTTATTTTTAAAACATTACATGTGGTCCAATTATATATTTTGAGCATGTTTAGATTCTGGGAAAAGTAAAACCACTACCACATATTCAAGAATGAACCGTATGAATATGATAATCAATTCAAAGTTATGATATGGCAAATCAACACCTTAAGGACTTGCTATTATACATATGTAATCCGGTAATCCTACCAAGCAAACATGCGATCACTTTCAAATCAAACACACAACTCCAACCTTATGTTGTGGCCATCAGATAAACTCTAGCTTTAACAATAGACCCATTTCCAAGCCTAAATCCGGGGCTAACTGGGAAACCAACAAAAACCCTTCCACCCTCAAATTTCACCACACTTTCCATATAGTGAGGATGAAACTCAGCACCACGACATGCCTCAAACTGGGTTGGAGTAGGGTCAAGTGAGAATGCTAGCAAATGAAGCAACCACACTGCTTTGGCCACTCCTAAAAACTCATTGTAAAACTTAGTCCTCGGATGGTTCCCTTCAGAGACTAAACTATGTTGCTCTAAATTACCAAACAAGGACTCCTCCATCTTTGGATGAACAATAGAAAGGTACTTGTTGGCGCAGAATTTGCCAAAATTGCATGTTGGCAAGATTCCAAGGAGTTGAGAAGGATCCATTGACTTCATGTCTTGGTATTGGCTGAAGCAGTCACGACGAAACTGATGAGGATTAAGGAGAGTGGAGAGGGTGCCATCCACGTAAAAAGTCTCGTGATCGAATCCTTGGAAGATTTTTCTGAAGATATAGGATTGAAGGGCATACTTGGCATGTTGAGCTGAGACCATGGTGGATGTTGCATCTGTTGCTAAAGCGTTATATTTGCCATTGGTGGTGGTGGTAGTAGAAGCTTCTATGGAACGAACTGCAGCAGGAATGTCCCAATTTGCATTTTGCATGAGCGTCAAGAGAAGAGATGTGAAGCACTTTGATGCTTCCTTTACTTCCACCATTGTTGCTTCGAACATTTGTGGGCACGGAGCTGATGCAACCCCTCCCAATATATATATACACAAAATGACATGTCTCAATTTCAAGCACAAATGTCATCATCATATGAATATTAAGAATATATGAAAAGCTACCAGTTAAAATGATGAACATGCTTTTCTTCCAGGGTTTGTCAATTAACATGGTAATTAAATAATATATTTTTTTTTTATTAAAATTGCGTTAGAATGTAGTGCTAAAAATTGACAGTGTATAAATTTTTATAATTTTTAGTAAAAAATTATTTCTATTCCTCTGTAATATTGTTATATCAATTTTTTTAATTTTAAAACACTAAAACAGAAAAAAAAAAGGTTATATAGAATAATTTTTCAATAAAAATTACAAAATTTAACATAATTAAATACATCGATACTGCTATATTAAAAAATTATTATATATATTTTTTAAGTTTTACATGTTCATGTTAGAAAAATTGTTGAAATATATTTACCTTGAAATTGAGTGGTGCAGGCAAGCTTTGTCTTTGTGTGAGGTCGATTCCTACGAGGTTTGTTCTGAGCTTCACTACCCAAGACTGAGAGGTTAAGATTACGAAGATGTAATTCCTTGGTCTTAAGCCCATGCATCACTGTCTCTCTCCTCCGGAACCTCTCCCTCAACAGAGAGAGCTTTTTCAGCTGAGCCACCACCGCCACGTCAGCGAGGCTCACCTTGTGAGGGTCCCACGGACAATGTGCTTCCTGTAAGGTCGCGTACGCTTTCTTCATTGCCGATACTGCTTCGAAAACCTCTTCCATTATCTGCTTCAACTTCTTTTCCTCTTCGTTCTCGTACCCACCTTTGTTCTCATCATAGTCTTTGCGTTGGCTTTCCTCCTTGTCGTCGGCGAGTGGTTGGAGCATGCATGAGGCCGTCACCCTTTGGATCAGATCCGAGAAATTCGATACCTTTCTCGTCATTGGCGTTTCTGAGAACAGATTCAAAAACAGCAAACACAATAATGTGTGAAAAGGTGGAAGCCGAGTTCCACCACCGAGTGCCTCCGTTAGTTAATAATCGGACAAAAGTTATGGGTTACTATTTAGTATTATATTAAAATTAAAGTTTTATTTTATTAAATATCTTATATTTAATGATATCTTAAGTTATTTAAATAAAGTTTTAATTTTAAAATAGAAATATATATATTTTATATACTTTTTATTGTAATAATTTATTAAAAGTTACCAAAAAAAATAACAATTTATATTTAACCATACTTGCTTTTATATAAGATTGTTGTTGTTACTAATAATAGTAAAATTTAATTAAAAACTATTTATTATATTTTTATAACTTGAATACAATATATATGCATTTTTTTATAATAATTTTTAATATATAAATGTTTAAACTCAGTACTGAAATCATGATTAACAAAATAAACACTTTGAAAAAGAAAAAGAAAAGATATTATAAGATTGAAACTGTAAAATAATTAAGTCTTTTATTTTAAATTAATTAAATCATTTTCTTAATTAATTAATTTGTTTTTTTAATTATTATTTTATGTTGATGTATTTGTGGGCTCATTGTATTGAAATCAAATTCCTTTTTCTCTTTTATTTATTTTAGGGTAGGTCCACTTTTAAAAGCAGTGCTAAAGTAATTTTCTTTTTATCTTTTCTAGTCATTTCAAGTTTATAAATCCTTTGCATTGATAACAGAGATTTAATTTAATTATATAAATATTTTTATTTAGAAGTATGTCAAATATGTATTCCTAATAACTAATGGTAGAAGAGTAAAAAAGGAATCAATTCAAATTAATGTAGTTTTACTTATTGCCTCTCACTCTTCCCTTTGAGATGTAAACATAGTCTCTCTTAGCAAGCAATAGCATCACTGATTCAATAAATGTGTGTGTTCAGCCATTGTCAATTATGCAGCCTCATTTCTGCTTCTTGAATTTCAACAAGTTTGTCGCATCATCCAATTAATGACCCCACACTTGCTGAAAGCTCCAAAGGATTTAATGCACTAGTGACAATCACGAACAAGATACCTGATAAAGACATTTTGCACTCTTTTTTAATAACTATCACCTACACACCCACCATTGGTGACCTTGAAAGAAAGCGAAGCAACTTGAATTTCCAATCAGAAGCATTAAAAAATATGAATAATAATAATAAAATAAAGAAAACCGAACATAACTGCGTTTGCCGGGAGTCGAACCCGGGTCTATTGCTTGGAAGGCAATTATCCTAACCGTTGGACTACAAACGCTTTGCATGTTGTGTTGATGTTTCAAATTAATTTAACGTATTGCCTAATCTCAATAAATATCTCAATGGATTTAGGAGAGCTTACATGAATTTATAAGAAGCTTATAAAAATAATAAATGATTCTCATAAGATTTTTAAATCTTGTTTTAATATTTTTATGACTAAATTCATGTCATAGTTCTTTAAATTACTTATCTAAGTACATTATAAAAATAACAAAATGTTTAACTTGTGCTAATTCAGGACATGCTTATAATCTGTTGACTACATATCATTTGTGACTTTTTAATACATAATTATGGAAAAATAAATAAATAAAAACTACATGCCTAGTGTGGAGCACAGCGATCCAATATGAAAATATCTTTAAAAAAAACTAAAATTCATTTTTTTATTTTTCTTTTAATATTTTTTTCCGCATTTTTAAATTTTCTGAATGGTTCAAAAAACTTGGGCCGTTAAAAAAGAGGAACAAACATGGTAGCCCTCGAAATGTCGTAGCTGCATAACTTTTACTTCTTTGTTTTATTATGACAACCCAACTTTTTCAACAGCAAGCTACCCTATTTTAAACCTGCATCTACCCAAATATTTATTTATTAGCATTCTAATATTAAATGATTTTTCTAACGTGTAAAATACTATCATGCATTAAATTACAATTAAAAAAATAAAATTTTTAAATTGGGCCAACACAAAATCAACTAAAATCACTAAAAAAAAAAGAAAAGAAATTTGACAACACTTGCATTATTACTAAATTTACAAGAGAGGGAGACAAATGCATGGGAATGAGAGTTGAAGTGTCTGAATGTGAACCAAGTGACGTTCTCAACGGTGCTCATTGAATCTCAACCATGAGGTTACTCACAGCCTGTCCCTCTTTCTCCCTCGAACAAAAGAACGGCTCAAATTGCTAAATCGTTTCGGAAAAACCAAAAACTCATTCAGTCTTCGCCCCCTATAATTCGTTCCACTTGCATAACATGTCTATCATACCAAATGTTAGTTGTCGTTTTTCTCCAAACGACACATCCTTAAATAAAAAATCATTAATTAAACAGTAAAAATTAATAATATCTCCGCTCTACGGTTCATAGTCACACCATTTCCATCACATAATTATAAGAGTCACATTCTGATTCTGAACCACACACTCTCATTTGTTTCTATCAAAGTGACACTCTCTCTCTCCCTCCCTCTCTCTCTCACACACACAAACAGAGTAATGGCGTCTATGGCTTCTATCGGTGTTCTGAAAGTGCCGTCTTCTTCTTCTTCTTCGAATGTGGGAAGGAAAGGCATCACTCGCAGCTTCTCATTCTCTGCTTCACAGCTCTGTGGAGACAAGATTGCCACTGATTCAGTTTCAGTGGCACAAAAAAGAGGAACTTGCAGCCGGAAGCCTGTGATTGTAACTCCTAAGGCGGTTTCTGATTCTCAGAACTCTCAAACGTGCCTTGATCCCGATGCTAGCAGAGTGCGTTTACCACTATTTTTCTTCCATTGTTAGATCATGTAGTTGAATGAAAACAAGTGAAAAATGTGAATTTTTCAATCATATATTTGTTTTCTCAATGTAGTAAAATGTGGGTATGCATGATGGAGCTTATTGTTAATTGATTCGCATGATGTTGTTTTAGGCCTGCTAGATCAATGAGAATTCCTGCTAGTTAGGATGAATGGGAGATAGTTTTTAAGATCAAATTGGAAAAAGAGCAACTTTTAGTAGATCCCAATTCGAAAATTTCACCTTATGATATTTGAATTTGATATGTATTTGGTTCTTCTGACTACAATATAAGATGTTTTCATGATGATGTTTATAGAGTGTGCTTGGCATTATACTTGGAGGTGGTGCCGGGACTCGTCTCTATCCGCTGACCAAGAAGCGGGCAAAGCCAGCTGTTCCTCTTGGAGCTAACTATAGGCTAATTGATATTCCTGTAAGCAATTGCCTTAATAGCAACGTATCCAAGATCTATGTACTTACCCAATTCAATTCCGCATCCCTGAACCGGCATCTTTCGCGTGCTTATGCAAGCAACATGGGTGGTTACAAAAATGAGGGATTTGTTGAGGTTCTTGCTGCCCAGCAGAGCCCTGAGAATCCTAATTGGTTCCAGGTAATAACACTGCCTTAACTCTTTATATTTGAGGATTGACTCACTTGTTTGACTGTTCTTGTTTATACTAATCTTGAAATATCTTTTGCTTTGGAAATTTTTGTTACTTCTTGATGGCCTTTATCATTCCTTGATTTGATGTTTCAACAAATGTGATATCATCATTGCAGGGTACTGCAGATGCTGTGAGGCAATATTTGTGGCTTTTTGAAGAGCACAATGTTTTGGAATTCTTAGTTCTGGCTGGGGACCATTTGTATCGAATGGATTACGAGAAATTTATCCAAGCACATAGGGAAACTGATGCTGATATCACCGTGGCTGCATTGCCAATGGATGAAAAGCGTGCCACTGCTTTTGGTCTGATGAAGATTGATGAAGAGGGACGCATAATAGAATTTGCTGAAAAGCCCAAAGGCGAACAGTTGAAAGCTATGAAAGTAAGCCCATATAATATAACGTGATGACGATATGTTATTTTTCTGGCAATTGTTACCTAATCAATTGCTTAAAAATGCTACTATCATTTTCTCTATCAGGTTGATACTACTATTTTGGGTCTTGATGATGAGAGAGCAAAGGAAATGCCTTATATTGCTAGCATGGGTATATATGTTGTAAGCAAAGATGTGATGTTAGACCTGCTCCGTGAGAAGTTTCCTGGTGCAAATGACTTTGGGAGTGAAGTGATTCCTGGTGCAACTTCTATTGGAATGAGAGTAAGTGTTCTATATCTTTTTAATATTAAGAAAACCTTCATATTATTTTTACGCATGGTAAAGTTTAGCATGCATTTCCTGAGAATACGTTAACATGGGGAGAATTTGTATCGTTAGTTGTGTTGAGCCAAAACCTTCTGATTATCAAATACGCTATATTGATTCTGGAGGACTGTGTAAATGGATAAACATGTGTACCCAATAAATTGTATTTCTGTGTTAAAAGTGTTTTTTCATGGAAGCTGCTTAAATTTTTTGTACTGAAACCTATCATAAACATGTATGCTCGAAGGTGCAAGCTTACTTGTACGATGGCTACTGGGAAGACATTGGTACAATTGAGGCTTTCTATAATGCAAATCTGGGAATCACCAAAAAGCCTGTGCCTGACTTCAGGTAACTAAATAGGCCGTTCAATATAATCGTCGTATTGTCAAATGTAAATGTATTTCAATGATAATGTAGGTTTTGTTGTTTATATGTTCATTTTTGGGGGATTTTAATTGCAGTTTCTATGATCGTTCATCTCCAATCTACACCCAACCACGATATTTGCCTCCATCTAAAATGCTTGATGCTGATGTCACCGATAGTGTTATTGGTGAGGGATGTGTAATTAAGGTAAGCTTATTAGAAGCTTCATCGTCTACTGATCTGTTCCATGATGCATGCAAGATTTATACAATTCATAGCAGAGATGTCAAATATAATGAGATTAATTTATTTGCAGGAAACTAACCTTGTATACCATGTTTTTGTTCCATAGAACTGCAAAATTCACCATTCTGTGGTTGGGCTGCGATCTTGCATATCAGAAGGTGCAATTATTGAAGATACTTTGTTAATGGGGGCAGATTATTACGAGGTAATATTGTAGTTCACCGACTTGCACAGTTGTGCCTAAAAGCCAAGGTTTCTCTTTTGAAAGTGCTCAAACAATTTAGATAGTTTGATTCATGGATTGTAATTGCATGTGAATAAGGTTAAGAGGATTGATTTTAGGTTGACTAGCAGCTCTAACTTCATAGTTGGTTCTTTGATTGTTGTGTTCCAGACTGATGCTGATAAGAGGTTTCTAGCTGCTAAAGGCAGTGTTCCAATTGGTATTGGCAGGAACTCTCATATCAAAAGGGCAATTATTGACAAGAATGCTCGAATTGGGGAAAATGTTAAGGTTATAACATCATCACTTATAAACACTCTCATTCCTCATTTTACATTATAAGCCATTTTTTCGTGCTAACATGACAAGTTGTTGGTTTTTTCCTATCATCTGATACATTATTAGCACACTTTAGATATCAGAGTCTTGATAATGGATTCTACTATATATGTTTTCTTTTCAATTTTCATACTCTATTGCCTTATTTTGTTAGCCATATACTCGATTACTTTGTTTCCAATCCATTCATGTTAAGTTATGACATTTGTTTAAATCTAACGTTTGGTTTCAATGCACAGATCATTAACGGTGACAATGTCCAAGAAGCAGCAAGGGAAACTGATGGGTATTTCATAAAAAGTGGGATAGTCACAGTAATCAAGGATGCGTTAATTCCTAGTGGAACTGTTATCTAAAGAGTGACTGGGGGAGCTCATTTTCACAACTAGAGGATTCATAAAGTTCTGCTTCCACCCACAAGAAAGGATTACATGTCCAAGTTCTGCTTCGTGATATATATTTTTGGCCAGTGGCTTGTAAATAATAACGGAAGAGAGGACCCTCTTTGACTAGTCACGCTGTAAAGTTCATTTTAATCAATTGAATAAGAAAGCTCTTTATTTCCTAGTACATGCATGTTCTATTACATATTGCAAAGTAGATCGTTAACACTTAAAGCTTATATCTTCCAAAAAATAGCAAATGATATGAATCTCCATGTTGAAAGGAAGAATTGAAATGATATTGTGAGAAAAGATTTGATGAAGGGCACCATAATAACACTGTTCTAGCCTATTTATATAAGTAAACACAGCAAATGATGTGTCATGAACCAAAATATTCAGGATTAGATTCAATTTATACAAGAAAGTAATGCGAAGGAATTCTTGTTTCAATTCGATATGAAATTCTTTTTAATGTTTATTTAACTTGTTTTTGTTTTTTTTACATTGAATTTGTTTTTGGGTCAACAATCGTAGATTTATTTAACTTGTTTAACTTGTTTTGAAACCTGCATGAAGAAAACAGTGTTTCTTTACGGCCCACGTCAGTGACCCAATATCCCGTCCAACAATTTTTGGTTTTGTGTCCTCAAAGACCCAATTTAAAAGGGGAATAAATAAAAGGGTGTTGTTTTATGCACACTCTGTGTTGACTACTTTTGATTGTATTATTAAGTTATCTTCATAAAAAGTTATTTTCATTCGAGTCATTCAGTCATTAAAATTAAAATAAAAAATTAATAATAATTTATCATAAAAAAGTATTTATTAAATTTTTATAACTTTAATATAATAAATATTTTTAATAAAATCATATTTAAAATAGAAGACATTATTATTAATAATTTATTATTATTAAAATTGAAATAATGTTAAAAAATAATTAAATGTCATGGAATTTTCAAAAAATAAATCACAGCTTATAAATTGAACCATGACTCTATGTTAGGAACTTGCACTACATTTGTAAAACTGTTTAAAAATAAAAATCACATTTGCATTTATTTATTTATTTGAAATTGCTTGAGAAATTCTTCTAAATATGGTATTCTAATTTAATTTTAAAAGTCTTCTTTTATTTTTCACCGGATTATAATCAAAGCACTAATTTAATATAAAATTAAAAATAAAAAATTATTTTGAATAAAAAATAAATGAAAAAATTAAAATAAAAATGAAATAAAATATTAACTCTTAAATAAAAATTAACCACTCAAAAAAAGTATTCTTATTCTAATGAAAAAATTGAGCTTATACTGTTTGTTTCTTGCCTCTAACTTGCTTTAAAAAACATGGCAAAGGATAACATAACATAGAAAAGTAATATATTATTTAATAGATACTCCTTAAATGTTATACCCTTAAAAATACCATGTGAATTCCCCCAGTGCTGTCGCAATTAGGTACACAGATTAATAAACCACCGTACATAAAAAAATCTGAACTGGATTAATTGATTTAACAGAAAAATATTAATGAAGCAATCATATGTTCAGTTTCTAATACACCTTAAAATTATCCCCTTAAAAACACCATGGGAATTCTCCCAACGCTGTCTGTCGTAATTAGGACCACATATTAAAAATATTGGACCGTACATTAAAAAAAAAAACTGGACTGGATTAATTGATTTAACAGAGAAAAAAAAATTAATGAAGCAATCATATGTTCAGTTTCTTCAATCCATAAAGTTGTAACTTGGGAAGAGTCAACAAGCAGTGTAAAACTGGTCCAGTAAATATAAAATTGGCAACAAAATTATAAGATAAATTATTATTTGAATTAATTTTCTGTAATTTATTTAAAGAACATTTCTTTAAGCCAGATAAAACTATAATGTCAAAATACACAAAAACAGTGCACAAGTTGATTTGTCACCCTCATGTTAAATGCTTGATGTTTAATTGTTTTATCTAATTTTAGATTTTAGAGTATTAAAAAAACATACATTTAACTAAAATAAAATCATGAATTTTACAGGTTTTGGGACCGCCCTAAACCCTTCTCCTTTGACTCATTTGTACTTTGACTTTCCCTTTCTTCTTTATGTATGTATGGCTGTGCACAAGACTGCAATACGATATCTGTGTTGGTCTGTAGTCTCTGTTCCGATTTTGAATGTTCATAGTGTATGTAAAAGATTGTACTTGGTGTACCTTACTCTGTAACATGAATTCAATTGAATTGAATAGCAGAAACAATTTATGTAGCTGTCACATTTTCTCTTGGACATGCAAACGAGGAGTATATATAATAAATTAAGCATTCAATTATCTACTCTTTACTCCCTCCATCAATGAATCTCATTTTTAATTACAAAATTTATATGTTCATAAGCTATACACAGTGAAGACTACCATCTTTATTTTATTTTGTTTCTTCAAAGTAAAATGCTGAATAGTAATTAAATAATATTACTTTTAATTTTTTCTTTTAACAAATTTATGATGCCTTATAAGTAAAACGAATCTACTAAAAAAAAAAGCCAAGTGTTGTTCACATATGGCATATAAAAAGTTGCGGTGCACCAAAATTCTAGTGTTATATATCTAAGTTACTATTCAACATCGTACAAAGTAAATTGACATATCCATCTATGATAAAATAAAAGAGTGCTGTTTACGTAACATATAGAAAGTCATAGTACACCAATATTCTAGTTTTAGCTATGCTACTACCACTATATGACAAAAACTTATCATTATGCGAAGAATAGATGGACATGAGCATGTACTTTGAGTGGGTAGAATTCTTTTGAAAAATCTTAAATTCATTAAATTAACAGTGATTTGGTTACTGTGAATAAGAAATTGGAATGTGAAAAATATAATTAACAAGAATAGAGAAGAAGGAGAAAGGATGAGAGAGAAGCTGACAGCTCTACAACTGCTCTCTAGTCCCTAGTCTCTCCTGCTTCTCTGCTTTTGGCTGACTCGTTCTGCTCGTGCTACTGCCATAGCATGCTTAGCCCTGCTATGGCACTACCTTCAATGCTTTCTCTCTCTTTTTAAATTTTAGCTTTGCACATGGCATCACATTGGATTAAGATTTTAAGATCACATTTTTCGCTTCAATCAATGTCTTCCCACAACCACCCAACCACCTTAAGATTATTTTCTTACCTTTTTTCTGCTATCTGCTACATGCAACACATGTAACTTTGCTATTCAATAATCTCATCGCTCATATTTAATTCAAGGCTTCACACTGTGACTAGCATATAGTTTTAGTTTCTTTAAACAGAAGTTGCCGTTGTATTGACTATACACCTGCACGTGTGTATCGTTCATTCTTCAATTTTTCTTGTTCTTTTTTCAATCTAACAGTTGGAAACTTCTGAATTTACCTCCTTTGAGTGCTACTCCTAATCCTAATTGGATTCATGATGCCTTTTTTAGATATAATTCAATTGAATAATTGTATGTGTTATAAATTATAAAATAGTTTAATTATAATATCTATAAAAATTATGATTTATAAACACTTTCAAATAATGTAACTCATCGGTTGCAACTTTGATTTTTGCTTAAATTTTACATGATTTATACTTATTTCATTATAACGTGCCTTTATAAAAAAAACTTGGTTGTTGGTAATTAAAACTGATTTTACTTTTAAATTTTTGTTTGAGTGAATATAAATTAAAATTAAAAGAATCGTACTAAATTTTATTACAAATTTATGTCAAAATAAAAAATTTGAAACATAAATTAAGATACTTTAAATTAGTTTTTATGAAAATTTATTTCTGTAAAATTATTTTTAAAAATTTAAAATGATAATTAATAAAGCATGTACTAAAATCAATGATAAAAAATAAATTCAAAATTATTATTCTTCCTTTTTATATTACAAATCCTTTTAGATAATTTAAAAAAATAAAATCCTAACTATAAAAGTATAAAAAATGCATGCAGGTGTATATATATTTCAATATAAAATTAGTTAATTGCACCTAAAATGTACATTTATTTTGAATGTTTTTAAAATAGAAAATCTATGGTGGAGGCTGCTCACGAGATGCATTTGATGGTCAAGACCCAGTCATCTTATTTTGATTCATGTGAAATGAAAGAAGGATGTGATTGATAAGTAAAAAATAAGACATACTTTCCACACATCACTGCACTTGACTCTATCTCTACATATCCTTTTTCTTATATATAGGATAAAGTTTAGATATAGAGATACAATCAAAAGATAATATAAAAAGATATATAATGACTGAAGAGTGGGCGTGAGAAGCATAGTTTGGGGTATTTAGGATGAGATATAAATGGGTGAGGGTAGAGTATCAAATTTCGTATTTTAATTATGTTTTTTTGGTATTTTCAAGATCATAAATGTTCAAGTTGCCTGAGTGAGTGGTAACTTTCTTATGTACTTTCTCTGTCACTTTCACTATTTTCAGTTGTATATCTTCGTCTTTCAGGATTTATTCAGCTAAGTACTTCGCTTTTTCTTTTGCTTTTCTTTTGTTATTTTCAGACACTTTTGTCAATGTCTGAAAAAAAAAACATTTTTCCCTTCTCATCGCATGAATCTTCATGGTGTCCTATTTTACGTTCGCCTTCAATTATTCATAAAAGAAATCTGATATCATTATAATAAATTATTACAGTAATAAATGTTAAATATAAAATTATCATTTAATGTTTCAAAAATTATAAAATAATGAATAACCTATTTTTTAGGATAATAGAAATATTTATTTTATTTTTCTATTTATTCTTTTTAAAAGATAGTATACAGATTAACAAACATATTTATTTATATTAAAATTATTAATGTGTGATCACATGTCCTTTATTTATATAATTAAGTAAAAAGTCAAGAATTAAATCAAAATAAGGATATAATTAAAATATAATATTTAATATAGTTACTAAACTTTAAATAAATAAATAAAATTAAAATATTTTGTTAAAATGAGCATGTATAAAAATTAAAATTTATAAAAATAATTAAGATGATACTGTTTTAATAGCAATAAACTTTTTATTTAATCTTAAGTCTTAAGATAATTTTGTTAAAAAAATTATATTTATTGTATGGAAAAATAAAAAATTTAAAAATTAAATTTTAATACAAATATTTTAACTAGCTGTTCTGTGCATTGCTGTAGTCACCGTTAACAAAGTCGTTCAGAACACCAATGGGATTGGACTTTTCGCTGTATGAATTTATTGTGCTATATTATAGATTTCAACTTTTGTAAATGGGGTTTAAAGATACTTAACAAAAAATAAATAAAAAAAATTTTAAAGTATAATATTTAACAATATTATTATTTTAAACTTTATAAATTTTTATTGAATGATCTTAAATATATGCTAAAAAATTAAGTGTATATTCGTAAGTATAACAAGTACAGTGAAATTGAATTTATTTGTGCTATTTTAAAAAAAATGTTTTAGAAAATAATTAATTTTATATGAAGGTAAGAAAAATAATAAAATTATATATTTTTAAAAATTAATAAATTTTGAAATACTATTTCATAATTTGTATATAAATAAAAAAATTTATTTAATCAAAATTAATAAATATAATTATGTGTCATAATTATATATTCTATTACAAAATGATATATAATATTAATTAATATATTATATATATTAAGTGAATGGATGTCTCTATTTAAATGGATAAAAATTAACTTACATTGATAATAGATAAGAATATAATATTTTTAAAATAAATTATATTTTAAAAAATTATAATTATTTTATATAAATAGAATAAGAGAAGTATTTCAATTCACTTAATTTTTCAAAAAATAAGGCAACTATAATGTTAATATTTGGTCATCTCTTTGTATATAAAAAAATGATGATATCGTAAAATCTCAAATTCTCAACTGCAAAAGATGGTCACGTTTTATTGCTACAGTTGGGTCCCCCCTAACCTGATTGGTCTCATGTATAGTATTAATTGATATGATACCCTTTCTTAAAAATGTTTCCCGCCAAATACTCCACCCAAGATATTATTCCAATATCAATAGAGCAATTATTCAAATGCAAATAGTTTAAGTTTTGCATAAGTTTAGCTTATATAATAATTTTAGGGTTTGAAATTAATTTATTATTTATTATATATTTTTTATTAAATACGATATATTTTTTAAAAATGTGATATAATTTGATAATTTTTTTAATAATTTATTCTGTATTAAAATATTTAATAAATTTTTATTTTTTTAATAAATAAATTATCAAAATATTTAAATAAATATATTTTCATAAAATTTATAAGACTTATAACTTATCACTTGAATATTTATAAAAAAATCACATATTTTTATAAATATATATTGGCATTATATTTTTTTTAAAATTAAATAACAATAAATTAAAAACTTTAACAAATAATACTTCTCATTATAAATGATATATGATAAAAATAATTTTTAACTTCAATAAAAAATTAAATTTTTAATATAATATTATATTATAATATTTATGAATCTTAAATTAGTTATTATATGAAGTTTGACATTTTTAAATTAATTCAGTCTTTTATAAATTTAAATTAAATTTAAAGATAAGTTACGTTAGACTTTAAGAAAGTTAGAATATAGATTTTTGTCAAATAATTTTATTAATTTTTATTTTTAATCATAAGATATTATTATATTATAGCATTTAAAGTGTTGAAAAAACATGTATAAAATAAAAATTTAATTAAATTGAAATTTTATTTAAACAAATAAATTATCACGTGACAATTTAGATAAAAATATTAACACTATTAAATTAATAAACTCTAGCTTGTTTTTAAAACTTAATTTTAAAAAAATATTTTTATAAATTTTATAAAAAAGCATTAATACTATTTTTAACTTTTAACTAGTGTGAGGTATTTTAACACATTTTTTTTAATATAAGAATCAATATTTGATATTTACCAAATCGAAAGTTTATAGTTGGTCTAATAGACTAAATAAATTTCGCACTTGAATGAACTTAATTTACTTCAAAATGTTAGTCAAAAAATTACTCAAAGCTTATAAACAAAATATATATACATTCATCATTAATCTAAAATAGTTTAATAAATATAGATAGATTATAACAATGAAATATAATTATCATTGTTTATGTGTAATTTATTATTTTTTTTAAGACACAACAGGAGACATAAAAAAAATTCAAATGCATCCAATTAAGAAATCATTATAAACTATCAATTTTCCTGAGCCAATGTTTGATTATAATTGCTCCCTCACAGGTCTCTTTTTCCTTTTTTATTTCTTGGTTAGTATGGTTATCCATGAATTTATTTTTTTTCCTTAAGCAAAATAAAGAATATAATTTTGCAGGATTGACAAATGGAAACCTAATGTTGGTACTATAAATAATCTTTCCTCTCCAATAGAAATTTCAGATAGACGGGGGACAAAGAGCAGACGATAAAGGTATTATTCTATTCAAAAGTTTCAAAGAAGTAAAGGTAAAGGTGATAGGATTAGAATCTTGACTTCACGAAGATTTTCTAATGATGTAAAAGTGAATAAACCAGGTCCAATAACGGACTTGAATAAGTAAAAAGGTCCAAGACTTTTTTCTTTCTAAAGTTTATAGTAGCATTCGATTGAAACCACATTCTGATATATATTAGAAGGTACATAAAAACAAGGGGTATTAGAATAATCTAGAACACCTTTGTTTAATCAGCTTGTGTACTTGCTCAAATCCAATTGAGAAAGATAAAGGTCATTTCCTAATTCAAGCATTCAATTTAGGATAAAGATAAAGGTCAATGGCCATTAGAGTTGCAAAGTTATTGATCTTTTCGCGGTTATGCATGTGCTTGGAACATCAATAGCTGAAACCGAAAAAGAAGACAAAAAGAAAAATCTAATGCAACAAATCGAAGTGGTCGTTGGAAAATATTACCCTTTTCTGTAGATTTTATGTTTTAGAGAGTCGATTATGGACGGATAACAATGATTGTAAATCATATGTTTTGGTCATAATAGTGGCACAAAAATGAGGGACAGTAAATTCACGCTCACTTTAGTTTTAGCGCTTATTGCTCTGACCGTCCAAGATTTTCTCAACTTGGAAAAGATTAAAGGGAAAGACAACACTCACTGATGTGGTGCTTTCCTTCAATGATCGTAGTTCAAAAGTTAATTTGGAAATTTCGAATGAAATTCAGTCAAGTGTGGATAGCAAAGCTAGATAATAATGCATGCCAGCGTTTCATACGTGGAAAATTACGAAAAGTGGATAATTTTGAAAAGAGAAATGATTGTCATTTATTGTTTAATTCAAACAGAGAAAATAACCAGTGGTCTTTTTACATCCCTTATTCGCATCAAAGCAAAAGCTAAATACTTGTTGTCATTAATATAAACAACGTGTTTCTTTAAGAATGACAAATCTGTATACGATTAAACTCTTCATCAATTGAAATGAGCTTACAACCAGATTTTAAATAATTTCTTATACAAAAACGATTGCAGAAAAAAGATGGCTAGTTATTTATTTAAAAAGAAACCTATATGACATATAAACAAAAAACAAAGTTTAGTTGATTTGTGAACAGGCCCAAAAAACAAATAATAGTGGAACAGTTCTGTTATACAAACACACATATATATATATATATATATATATGGGATGATGCCACCGTTGAACTTTAGGGTCAATGCGTAAACGTATAATTTGAGTCACAGTTACAATATATAGAGAACATATATATAATCCTGCCTCTAAGAAGAGCACACAATTCTGAAAAGTCTCAAATAGATCGTTAAAAAAATAATATATCGATAGAGATCACTTATTATGTTCAACACATGCAATTTGGATTATAGTGCTTTTGCCAGGTTAAATTTATGATTGAATCAGCTTGCAGTTTAGTTGTCATTTATAACTATAAAAAACAGAAACTTTAAATAAATAAATCGATCCACAATAAATTTATTGGAAAAATAAATTTCACTGATAGAAAATTGAAGCCAATAGATATTGATTATCTAAACCCACTTCAAGACAAAGAAGAAAAATTATGGAGAAGAGGGAGAGTTTGAGGAGGACCACGAACAGGTAACATTGTAAGTAGGTTTTGATTTGAATATTTGAAAACACCTGAAGACCAAACCACCAGCATTTGTGAGTTGCTATATAGCAAGGGTTGAAAACCCGCTCACAGCCGACCTAGCAGCAGTGCGGAAACATCTCCAGAAAACACAAATATCATAGATGTTAAAAGGAGAATACTATAATATAATACCATATGATAATATAATATTATTTTATTTAGGAGTATAAACGAAGAAAGAATAACCCTGTATCAGAAATTTTAAAGCGAGTTATAACCAAGAATTCCCAGACACCTCCTTTTGGGTCCCTCACTTTGTGTCCTTATCTCCAACCTTTTTGTCCTTGTTCCTTTCTGGTCTGGTCCTCCTTATAGCCTTCCCCCCACTTCACTCACTCATGTCTTCTACTTCTTCTTCGTCATCATCATCATCATCAACAACTTCAACCCCATTTGACGCTGCACCAAATGTTGCTACTGATATTCCAGGCCCTAGTACGAGGAGGACCCGTCAATTTGAAGGCCCTTCTTCCTCTCGTCAACGTGCTATGAATGAGGCCTTGCCTGAGCCTATTCTCGAAGCTTTGGCCACCCAAGTTGCCATTGATGCTGCTCACTACAATGGACGTCTTGCTGCTGCTTCTGCCATTTCCATTCTTTTTCAGGTACTTGCTTTTTCTTTCTTCATCTTTCTTTGACCTCTTCTCTTTTCTTATTTGCTGTGCTAGCGGGTGTAAAAAAAATTAATAATTGATCGTGTGGGTTGTGTTTGCCTTGCTAAGTCTGGTGAAGGATTCTTAGTTTGCTTGAAATGAAGATTTGTGTGGTTTGTAGAATCTCCATCATGTGTAACTGATAGCTTTTTCAGTTCCGAAACTGGACAAAATATTGGTCAAGTCAAACATGAAGCTAGCATTGCAACCTGCAGATGCTGATTCTTTTTTATTTTATTAAATAACGGCATTATGGATTTAATTTAATTTAATTCAATATATGTATCTATGTCTGTTTTCTTTTTGTTTATTTGGTATTTTCTTTTTATGGATTCTTTGAACTTTAGAGTCATACACTCAACTCAATAGATTAGGAGAGATGAGTGGCGATTTAGGTTTTAGTTGAAGATGCTTACAAGCATCCTAGAAGAAACTGTTCCGCGAAAGCAGCTACTTTACGTGGGTCATTTTCCAGACTAAATGTGTGTCCCTTTCAATAAAGCGCATATGTTCTTCTTGGCAATGTTTGTTCTCTCTTCCTCTTTAAAAATGTCTGGTTTTGGATCTCCTTTTTACATCCAATGAAAAGGGTTACACTGGCTTCGAATTTGCTGTTTCCCTTTCTTGGCATGAATCCTTTTTGACTGAGCTTTTTCCTGCTATCTATGCTGGAAGATCCATTGCATGCCTTTCTATTTCAAAATATGTGGATACTAGCTTCTTACTTTGTTTCATATGGAGTTGCTTTCTTAAACAACATAAGGAGGGAGGCATATATAGTTATTTATGTCTCATTACTAGCGTCCTTGCAAGTGTACCATTTCCATATATAGTTAGAGCATTGAAAGTATGCAATTATTTTATCCACCTAGTTTCTGGTTGGTTGTATATTTCGGAGGCACACCAGCCATTTCTTTATATAATATATTATTGAGATAAGATTAACTATACAGTGTTAAAATAAATAATCTTTCTCTACTAACTAGGTTGTGTTCAAGGAGTAAGCTTGCTTGGTTAGAGGCTACTTTCTAGCACTAGAAATCCAGAATTAGATTTTTTTACATTAATTCTTACCCAGAAGAATAAAATAATTGAATTTAATTGCATTCTTTTAAATAGAAAAGAGATTCAGAGTTACATTAATCAGTGGCATTATTTGTGGTTGCATGATAAACTTTGGGCGCTTTCTCAATTAGGGTTTGAAAACATTTTATGTGACCGGTGATTAGTCGTCACTGGTCTGTTTAAAAACCTATAATCTAAAATGACATGGATACATGGGTCAAAAAGCAGCATTCGTATAATGCCAAAAGGCACATGGAGCCCTATTCTTGTCGTGACGATACTCCATTCCTTTTGTTTCTATCTGAGAAATTCACACCTATTATAATTTTAGCTTTCTTTCCCAATAAATATATTAATAGCATATAATATTATATTATATGTGTGATGATAATTGTACACACACAACATAGTTGGGACTCGGGAGATGGGGCATGCATATTTTAGTTGTACTTGGAAACTATCGCAACTCTATAAAGGTAGATCTTTATGGATAAAGATACGTGCGAATGCGTCTTGTACACATAATTTTTAATTAATAATTAATATAGAATGAAGTTCTCATAAAAAAATAATTATTGCTTTTACACACTTAATTATTATATGTTAGCTTATTTTAAGAATGGTTTCTGGAACATTATGGTTACATGAGTAAATTTTTGTTTTCCTTTTTCCCCGTCTTGGACTTGGACTGGTCTTTGTGTGCGTGGATAGAACTAGAGATTCGCTGTTTGGAACAAGACAGGCCTTGGCCATACCTTTCTTGGAAATGAAAGTGAAATGTTTGTGGGGAAGCACGCTTTTGATACCATGTTTATATTTCATACACATGCCTACATGAACAGGAACTAAGATATTGACTAGCTTCGTTATCTAGCCGTATCTGTCATGGACCACTTCTACAGTTCATGATCTGTGTCTTCTTTTCGCTTGTTGCTAAATCTCCCCCCACTTCCAATTCAAATTGTCTTTTATTCTCATCCTGAAAGGCATTTATTCTATTAATGTTTTCTTTTCTAGGGCTACTTGTTACCTCATATTCTAGCCCGGCTAATCGAACCTTCACACTTTTGACCCATTTGATATTGACTTCACTCCCTCTCACTGCATGAAATATCAACAGAATATCTTTCTCTGTGTTCTGATCGATTCTGAATATCCACCAAGTATGTGAAATTGTACTTGATTACATACACCTCACCTTACCTCGTTACAAATTAAATCGTCCGTTTCACTATCCCTCTGAACGGGACACGGAATAGAATTTAGGATATACATCTTATATATCATCCCACCCACTCAATTATTTACTTTGATTTCAGATATGGTGCATTTAGGTATACGTAAGCTAAGGCACTGTTATTATTATCCAAGATTCGAAAGCATTCTACTGGAAATAAAAAGTACACTGACAAAATAATAAATAAAAACTCATTTACTGGCAACTGTAGTCAAAATTGATACTTTTTAGCCCCCAGCGTCTCCTGCTTCTCTGTTGCAGGATGCCATCCATAGCTTTGCTTTGTTTGCATTCTTCAATAGCTAGCTAAGCTTAGCTACCCCTGCTTCTGCCATCATCAATGTTTCTCTCCCTATCCCTCCATTCATTAGTGCCTACTTATAGTTAAGCAGAGAGAAAATTAAACACACATTTGTTTTCATGCAAGATTTATAATCAAAACAACAATCACATAAAGATTCAAAGCTACTTACCTTTCTACTTATGGATAGATATTTCTAGGGACTTGCTTAATATATCAAAACAACTTTTATGCATGGAAAGCTATTTTAACTTACTGCTAGGATGGTTAGTTGCTTTTGGTTCATAATAATAATGGATAAAAATGTGCCCGCAGGTTTGTTCTACATGGCGAGATGTGTCGCACTCGGATCTGCTGTGGCAGCGCCTCACAAGACGAATCTGGCGCCACGCCCAGCGATCCAGGCCCACGTGGCGCCAGGAATTTATCTACTGGCATCGGACGGCTAGGAACTTCGCCACAGGGAGACACTCTTACATCATCCCACACTTGGACCCTTCCGATCACCACCAAGGCCTCATTTGCCGGTACCTCGCTCTCTCCGACACACACCTCGCATGTGGCTACGTCGACGGCACCGTTCGTCTATTCGACCTCGAAACCCGCGCCCACGTCAGCACCTTTGTTTCCGCACACGGCCACCTCTTCGGGCGCTTTTCGCGCTCCGTTTCCGGGATAGTCATCGTCTCAAACTCTCTCACCTTCGCCAGGCTGGACGGCGACGTTTACGTGGATGTCATTAATGGGCCTGGGCCCAGCCACGCGCACCGGGCCGTGGCAGGTGACGTGGTTAATAACGGCGTGTTGGTTGAGTTCACCGGGTGCGGACGCTGGTGGGTGGGCCTATTCGCGGGCATTGCGGGCCGCGCTTTTCAGATTTGGGATGCCAACAGTGTGGAGCGCGTGTTCGTTGGGGGGTTGTTAACGGACCCGGAGACGGTTATGGGATGGCACATGCTGACGGAGTTAGTTGAACCGGTGGGTCGAGTGCGCGTAACAGAGGGCGAGTTTGTTGTGGCGTGCACGAGTTCAAGGCTGGTTAGTTTCAGTTTGAACAACCCAGAGTTTTTGGAGCTTGATTTGGGGTCTAACACGGGTTTTGTGGTGACCTCGCTTGACACAAGCCACGATGCATTTGTTGTGGTGGAGAGGAGCGGTGTGGGAACGGTTCGGCGCGCCGGGACTTTCGAGCGGCTGAGCCGGTTTCGGCGAAGGGGTTCGTGGGTTCGGGGGTTGTGGGGGTGCATGAACCTTGGCTATGTCTTAACCTATTCTGCTGCTGCTCCTGCTAGTTTGTTGAGGGTGTGGAACATTGAGCACATTGAAGGACAGTTGTGCGTGGAACTTGCTGTTAGACCTGGAGAGGGAAATAGCATGGTGGCTAATGACAGACACGTGGCCATTTCCTGGAATGACACTTCTATACACTTATTGGATTTTGGTGTACAGGATTGAAAATCACTAGCCTTAGCCTTTAGGATTATTACCCCCACATTCATTCTAACTTTCCATTCCTTTTTGTACCTATCTTTACAAAAATCACATTTGTTGTTGTTATTATTATTATTTTTATTATTCAATTTTTCTTCCTTTCATCTCTCTTATTAGCCACCTACATGTTGCCCTTTGCTTTGTCCCAAATTATGGGAATCCGCATTAGTTTGCTTTCACTTGGATCTTTAAATATACTTTTCCCAGTAATACATTTTTATTATCAAGAATCCTTTAAACAATTGCTAGTGTTAGATGGCAGGTGTCTTCTCATAAAAGAAAGCTTGTGAGATGCTTGTTGGATATTATTACGAGTGCCAATGGAAGTTTTTCATTGAATTTTTTATAGTTTTCTTAACCTGAATTTAAGGAAAAGTCTATATATAATTTTATTAATAATTGTAAAGTATCATAGAATTTAATATATTAAATATTATATTTGAAGAAAGTGTTATTTTAGTAGGTATATCTTTGCTTCAAATATAATTTAAAGTAAGTTATTTATTGCTTCTTAATTATTATATTTGATAATTTTTTCAGATGTTTAGACTTCAAATTAAAATATCAACAAAAGTCTAAATTATTTACTTTATAATATGCTCAGAAAAGACTGTTTGAAAACTAACATTTTGATAAATCTTAACACATGAGGTGGTAGACATGTAAGCTCTGAAATGCTGTAAATATTCACTGCATTTTACAAGCATTCTGGGCACGAGCCCACGACCCTTAATGACCAAGTATAGCTATGCTATTTCTATGTTTTTAGACATATATTTATAGGCTTGCATATAAGAAGTTATTGAGCAACTAAAGTTAAAAACATTCTTACAAAATGAACTTGATGAATTGATTTTAATTCTCTGTTATAGTGGGAAAACACCAGTGAAGTTTGTGGTAAACTCAACACACAGTAATTTTCTCAACACATTGTTTGGATGCATTGGTTTTACAAGAAAATAAGGGAACAATGTGATTTTGTAGAAAGAAAGGAAAAAAAATGCGTAGATCCCTTAAAATGAAACTCGTCCCTCTACAGTGAAATATGTATATTGAATAAGGGAATACTGTGAGGAGATGGAAGGGTTTCGGTACTAATAATTTTTAAATTATTTTTATAGTTAATTAGTATTTTTACATATTAAATTAAAAATAATATTTATCGTAATTTTAAATTATAATAGTAATAATTTCATTTTTTTAAATTTTCATTGTTATCAAAATGTTTTGTTATGTAATATATATATTATTTAAATAAATAATAAATATTTTTACTTATCAAAGCTCTTTTTTAAACTTTCTTCTTATTTTTATCTTTTTTTCTTTTCTTCCTTTATAAAAAAAACTTTAAATATTTTATAATTGTAATTGAATTAAACACTTATTTAATAATTTTTAGTCAGTTCAATCATAAAACTTTTTATAATATATTGAAAAATATTCAAGAAAATATAAAAAATTATTTAAATAAATAAAAAAGTATAGAAGTTATAAACCATTCTAAGTTTTTTTAAACATGTAATTACTTTTTATTAATTTTGCTTAATTATCTATTTAAATTATTAAATAATTATTACTTTTTTACAAAATATAGTATTTAATAGTATTAATATATTGAACAACATTAAATTTTACACTTTAAAATAAATATTGACTTATTATGTATAATATTTATTGTGTACAACACTGCAGATTAAAAAATTTAAAACATAAATATAAAGATTCTGATTAAGATTAAATTATTAATTTAAACACTATGAATTCATATTAATACTGTGATACATTGGAATACCATTTATGTGTAAAATGCTTCTGTTTATTACTCTCCGTATAAAGAGCGTAAAATTTGGATAGTAAAATAATAAAAAGAATCTAACTGACGTTTGAATTTAAAATTTATTACATGTGCAAATGTAAAAGTGATCCCATTGTTTAGTATTTATGGCATCATCACGACATATGATGAGTACGTGAATAATCTGGTTTGAAACCTGAGTTGTTGGTCATAACCATGTTTCTATTAATTCATGAGAGATACTGTTCACTACGTAAGGGTAAATGCAAAGACACTACAAGTGCAAGTGTTCCAAGAAAATAATATTTTTATGTAAGAAAACTAAAAATGTCAAGACCGTGCATCCGTGAACAGTTGGAACTATAATATAAAGCTTACGATACAGAATAATGACAAGTTATTTACTAGCCAGTTTGTTTTATGTAGTATTGAAATGAGGGAATGAGCAAAGGACAAAATGAGATAGACACAAGCTGGTAGCCTCTACTACTGCTCTCTAGTCCCTAGTTTCTCCTGCTTCTATGTTTGACAATGCTTTTCTTCTGTTGTCTGTCTTTCTGTCTGCTTCTGATGCCGTAGCTGCTGCTGTTGCTGCATCTCGTAGCTACCTAGCCCTGCTTCTGGTATTGCTGGCTGCACCTTCGATGTTTCTCTCTGCCTCATTTAATTTTAAGCTTTTAAAGCTCTATGCGCATGCCATAGATTGATTGAGAATGGAATGTAACTTTTGAACATGTCTTTACAACTTCTTCATCTCAATATGAAATGAAATTATGTCCTTTTTTACTCTCCTATCGGGTTCATTAGTAAAGTAACAGGAAATATTCATGCAAACACTGTATACTAATTATTACCATCACCAACGCTATACTATTTTTTGGCAAAATAAGTGAAACAATGTGAAAGAGATAGTTAGATGCTACATCTTTATTTCTTTGACTTGCTTATGATTTTTACTTTAGAGGAGTATTAACTAGTAATATTAAAAAATTACGAATAATATTTGTTTAATTAAGAAATAAATTTTAAAGTAGCATTAGAAATAATATATAAAAAAATTGTGTTCCTAAGTACAAAATGACAGCATGTTCCACAAAGACACCCAAAAAAACAAAAAGGGAGGACAAAAAGGGAGGAGTTGACAACCCTACTAATTAATTATTATTTATTCTTTACCCAACTCTGTATTTGGTGCATAACCTAAAATGAATGAACTAACAAACCCCAACAACATTGGTGTGTGTATAGAAAATAAATATTGTTAAAAGAAATTTGTACTCATTTTAGTGATTTCTCTCTGCCTCAAGAGGACAGTCAATCAGTTGAAAAATATCGTTAGTGCACACACACAAAAAAGATGAACCAGGAAGACGAAAATAAATGAAATGATGTAAGCCCTATATTTGGATAAAGGTTTATCACTTGAACCATGATTTGAAGATTTTCTGCTGAAAACGGAACATCCTAATACATTTTTGATATACTTACATCAGGACTCTTGATTGACCAAAATAAAGTCAGAGGACAGGATTAGTCAAGTTCAAGAATATCCAAGAGCCTATTTTGTTACCGTCAAAACAAATTTTAGAGAAGGAAAAAATGATTTAAACAATTTTATACGGAGGAAGAAATTATCAATATTTACTACTCGAAGTTTCAATCTTATAATATCGGACCTTAAGTTGCAGAGATTAAATTTAATTAGCATTCTAAATAAATATCCCAACAAAATTCAATAAATTATTCATTTATATAGATTATACAAATCTTGATTTATCCAGTTAAAATATAATTCAAATCTGCCACAAACAAATGTTCTAGTTACAATCATGTACAGTCACTGGGGTTAAAATTTGACAAAATTTCTTTCTGCGAATGGCATACAGTTTATAATAAAACGGCATACAAAACTTACAAGCATATTAGTGATTGGTGTAACCAATTTGGCCATTGTTTTAAGGAGCTAATTGTCTACAAAAATGGCAGTGGCAAACTGATCTATATATTTGCTGGCACAACCACAATCAAGGAAATTTTAACCAGTAGCATCCAGCATGCCTTGTAAAACTTTGACTGCAAACAGTTAACAAGCTTCAGTCATTCACCTAAAATATTTCAAGGATCAAATGGTCAGTCAGGACAGCAGCAAGTATATCTTTGCCATTAGGCTTAAAGATCAATCTCAATGAAGCTGAAGGATCATTAAAATTACAAATTTGTTAACTTCAGTTTTGAAGACTGATTTTAAGCATCTAATATATGTAACATTTATTAGACTTTCATATTATTAATATAATAAATATATTTTTTTTTAACAAAAGATTGTCATTTTAATTTTGCTTAAATTCCGCCTGAAATTAACATTTTCCTTAAAACTATTAAAAAAACGTTGTTTGGATAAATGATTTAATTAAATACTTATCTTGTAAAATTTTATCATAAGAAAGCTTATTCATAAACTTGATTGTGAAATTTACTAAAATAAAGTAAAAAAAACTTATTTTGATAAGCTTAATGTACAGAAATGTCACAAGTTACTTTCATATGTCTAAATAAGTTTGTCAAACACCCCCTAGATGGCATTAAACATCCGATCATTTTGTCACAGATAAATATGCAGAACATTTTTAGTATCGAGGAAGAAAAGGCAGGAGAAACAATCCTTTGATCACAGCATAGTATTTTCACTTGCAGGACCTGGATGCGTGGATGTAAACACAATGATAAGAGAGGAGCTGGATAACAACAGACAGCAAGAGATGGAAAGAAAGCAACCATTGAACAAAACCAAATTTGAAAATATGTTACCAAGAAATTCTCCTCTTGCATCCCATGGGCGATTTTCAAAGGACTTCATAATATTGCCTTTTGTATTTATAACTCCCTCCTCACAGCAGTAGTGTGGAAAATAATCATTGAATGTTTTGCTTCCTAGTTCATCAACTCCATTAAAGAGAAAGCTTCTCAACAAATCCTATAGGGATAAAACAGGAAGTGAGGATCTATTGTCTAGATTGTAAGGAATTAAACCAACCTCCAATTTGGCCTACCTTGGCAAGTGTGTCCCCAATTAATTTCTTCAAGAGACCTTTCCCTGGATCCTACATCCAAAAATATTTTCATGAACCAGGTCCATTAAAAAAAAAAACTCTTGAATTAGATGTTATATATTCCAAATTCAAATCCTAGTTGGATTGGCTGTCCACGTACCAGGTCCATTAAGAAGTAAAATCAAATAGGAAATAGTCCATAAATATATTCTGTTAGGGAGTTAAAAACTTTTCAAACTTAATGGCCAATTATATCGTCCAGATTTGAATGTAGAAAATAGCTTTATGACATTGCTCTAGAAACCATCCATTAGCTGGCTCTTTCTAAGATATCAAATGCAAGCATAACCATCTTCTTGGAAAATATTATCAACTAGTTATTTTCAACTGATGCTAAATTAGTGAAGATCCTTGGAGATTTAGAAAATCCTAACCCAATGATAAATATGACAACGGTGAATGTTCTTATGCCCAGATCTCCAACCATGTGACTGATTATTAAAGAAGATTTAAGACAAATCTGAAGTACCTTTTCAGCTCTCCATGTCAGATATCTATGTTGTGCTTCAAGATTGTGGAAAATCAGAGATTCATCTGTCTCCTTATCTGCTTTACCTATCAATTCCAACCATACCTGCAAGGGTAAAAGACATAAATATAAAAAAATTGCACATTTATAAGGTCAGCTATATTAAAATTACTAAATATATTGTACTTAGCAAAATATGAATTGTCATATTCATAAAGTTGAATTGAAGATGAAGTTGGGGATATTACCTTGTAATAATCCCTAAATGCAGCATACAGAATATCATATTTTTGCGGGCTCGAAGTAAATTTTGTCCAGATGACAATTGGTGAAAAAAAATTTATTGACTCACTTGTGAGCTTCCCACCCCATGGAAAAAGCTGCATGAAGTCTGTGTTAAGTCAACACACTATGTCCTTTAAGAAACAATTTCTCTAATTTACAGAAAACAGAGATGCTCCCGTTAGAACTTTAATGAACCAATACAAACATAATGGAAGAGATGAAAAGATAGAATTCGTGGTAAAAGTATGTCCAGTTTTAGAACAGTTCCATCACTTTTATGGTTAATCAGGTCAATAAGTGGTTAACTGTTTCTAAACAGAAAATACTTTTACCAATGATACTTTTCTTGTAATTTTCCCTAAAATATTTGAATTTACCTCAGCATATTTAAGGCCAAGAGGAATTAAGTTTTTAAAGTACTTTTCCTTGTAGTCATCCCGCTTGATGATATCATGCAAGGGGTTAAGGTCCCTGACATAATTAATGCAAGGTTAGTGCTCTGCATTACAACTAGAAATTTGTTCTTAATGTTAGAAGCTATAAAATGCCAAAGTGGAAAACCTTTATCAGATAGCCAATGACATTGATGAAGAAAAATTAGATTTCTAAGATGTTTAAGGAGTAACCAAAATTGGGGACAAATGAGCTGCCACTGATTTACAGGGATTTGGTTTAGGCTTTGTTGCAAGATAAAGTATGACCTTTTTTGTTTTGTTATTTTGGTCAAGTCCCAATATGAGTAGGGTATTTATTTACAACAACAAATTCTAAAGAGAACAAAATAATCACTACATCTACAAGTTAAGATCTGTGATCTTTATTCTGCTGCTGAGGCTAAACTTCATCTTCTTCATGATTCATAAAAAATATGGTAAACCAAAGGGCTACACTACGCAATCATGGTTCATAAAAAGAGACATGAACCTAATTTACAACAGAATGAAGCATTTTCTTAAAGTGATTAATCAAGTAAATTCACACTTATTGAAGTATGATATTTTCTTTGACCAAGTTCAATCAAATAACTGATACTGAGATTCGTTGATATTTGATAAACCAACTTTGGTAAATATAAGTAGGCAGTGAAACATGTGTTTACCACACCCAAATGGAGACATAAAAGTTCTACATTGTTTGCCCCCAAAAGCATATACACACTTAGATCAGGGACTAGTTAAAACTGAATGATTCACATTGGTAGTCTTTTCCACAACTAAAAGTTAAAAAAATGGAGAATATCTTTTGTATAGTTATACAGGTGGATTGCAATAGCTATCAAAGAAGTTGCTAACTTACAACACAACAATGTTTGTTTTAGCGGAGGTGAAAATATTAGCACAAAATATGGGGACATCATATTCTGCTTTTGCAAAGACAGCAAAATCCAAAACCTGCATGAGTTTCAAGACAAATAAAAAAATAAGCACAATGTAAAACAAACTTTCCAGATTATCAGACAGGACAAAAGACTCCTTATTGTTTTTATTGTTGACGTAGAATTGCAAACATATTCAAGATTTCAAGTTCACATTAAGAAAAGAAACAATCTTTGGCCACTTAATTTTCCCAATGGTGTAGTTATTACTTCAAAATAGCTGCAACACAATTCAGGATGGAATTGGTATTATCGTAAATTTAACTAAGCTAGAAATGCCGTAGTAAGAACTGGTAAAAGGAAGTTCAACTTTGAAGTTTGGAGAAATAGTTTAGATATGATTAATTATGTTAGACTATATTTTTAATTAATATAATGGACTAGAGATTGCCAGCGTTATATCTCCTGAGGAATGAGGATCAGAGACATCACATTCAAACAGATACAAAAGAACCCTTAATAAATCTGGAAAATTGCATTCTTTTAGATGATGGATCCTTTATGGGTAAAGAAAAAAGAATATTGTGATTGGCAGAAACATATACAGATAAGGTCAAAATCTGAAATCAATATGGCGGCTATAATGAATTACCAGGTACTACATAGCCATAATGAAAATTATGGCTATAATAAATTACCAATTTTCTATCATTTTGATATTTGATAGCATTAAAAGAAAAAAAAAAAAAAAACCTGCATGGTTTCAGTCTCGATGATCAAACTTCGTAGAAGCCTAATCTTGCCAGCCTCAAATGACCGCATACTAAGCCCTCCTTTACCATCCTTAGAATTCATGAAATTGAACTTGTCCTAGCAAAACAACATAGGAAAATGTAAATTGAAGATATATACTCACAAATAACGGTGGAGAAAAAAATTTAGCAAATAAACCAGAAGGAAAAGGAACAACTGGGGACAAAAAAACACAACTATGAATATGCAAAACCATTAACTGTTCAATTAAACTAAATTTTAAATAATACCATAAATAAATAAAAAATATGAAACGGAAAATTAAATAACTCAACAACATGAAAAGAAAATACATGTTAATGGATTTTAATTGCAGAAATAGTTAATGCTCAGAGGCGTAGTTCTATTCTCAGAAGAAGAAACTAGAACATCGGAACAGTATGAGATATCACTCAACAAGAGCATACAATAAATTAAAACACGAGGAAGTGAAATCACACATTTTTATAACCTCACTTTTTCTTCCAAATTAAATGTAAGATGTTTACCAAAACATTGACCAAAACAGAGTGATTGTTTATTTCATTTAAGTTCAGACGTAAGAATAATTCATCAAAAAGTATGTTTCATAATTGCCATGGCAGCATCTCATGCATAATCATGAAGAGTCACGTCATCAATTGCCAATTAATTTAAGACAATATCTGAAGCAGTTGCAAGCTATCAAGCATTAAATTGGATACTTAGTGCTGCAATTCAAAAGTTTGACAGAATGTAAAATTGTAAAATGAAATGGAACCAACCCTAGTTGAAGATGAAACCATATATAAGAAAAATGGAGATAATTCAAAAGGAGAGAAATAAGAACAAAAGAAACCTGCAAAGGCGAAGGGACCAAGTGAATGTGGCGTGTGGTTTCATCCAAAGCAAAATCAACAAATTTGTGATAAGACACTGAAAAGTTTAGTATGCAAGTCTTTCTCCTACAGTTACGAGTGGAAGTGGAACCTATGGCTATTCTTGTCAATGAAGGAGGAAGTGTACGTTGCAAACAATAGCTTGAAGAGGAAGCAGAACCACCAAGTCCAAACCCCATTTAAGCTGTCAAACTTAATTTGAACCCTCTTCTCTTTGCTTTCTCAATTTCAATTTCAATTTCCAACTCAGGTACACTGCGGGGGATCCATATCTTTATATTTATGGACTCTAGTCCACGCTTCACATCTCAGCCTGTGGGCCTCATTCATACGGCCCAAATGCTGATGCCTCCAAATTCCCATCTTGTCACAGTGCACACTATTGAATGACTTGATATTTTCTCGACAAAAGAAAAAGGAAACTGAAAAGAGAATAAAATATTCATGGATTACTTTGATCTAATATTATGAAAAAATAAATTTACCTTCTATTTTTTTATAATTATTAGTTAATTCAATCCATACAATTATTATTAGTTGTTAATTTCATTTTTTGTCACAAAAAAGTGCATTTATAATTTAAGTATTAAATAAAAATATGTAATTTTCTATTTTATAATTAAGAGGATTTATAGATATAAATGTAAGAGGATTTAACATCAATTCAAAAACAAGTTTAGTTTTTTGAGATATATTACTATGACTTAATTTTAGACCCCGGAATAAGTAAGAAAGTCTCCTCTTGCTTTAATATATTGGGCTAACCAGAGGCAAGTCTCATGCAATCACATGCTTTAATTTGGCTCATTTATGAGAATGATATTCAATTTTATTGTATGAATCATTAAAAATTTATCCATTATATTATTACTTTGTTATACATGCATTTTAAACATATACCTACAATACAGAGGGACACTTAAAAAATCACTTTTTGTACATAAAATATTTTCCATTTTTCAACATATTAATTTCGTGGGCTCTTGACACGTATCAGCCTTGGTACAGCTTTTATCCGCATAAGCAGTTATTTGTTCTCTTTAGATCAGCTTGATTTGGGCTTAAAGTTCATGCTGCAATAAAGCTGCACAGTATATAATAATTAATCTGCAATGCAAAACAAGATTGACTATGTTATGATTACATGCTAGACCAAATGGTATAATAAAATGGTTAACAAAGTTTAATTTTGGATCCGCTAATAGTAACTTCTTTCCTATTGCTTGTTTTTACTTGTTTGCATCCTCTGAACCACCTAGTTATTTGTTTTTTTGCTTAAACATCACTGTTTAGAGATGCCTTGTCAGAGCTTCTCACCCAAGATTTCTTATAGCAGGCTAGAAGTTAGGAATTTAGTGTTCAGATTGAGGAAGTTTCTTCCCCTTGATATAAGGAATAATGAGCAATAAATTAGCCCTCAATCCCATGCAAAAGCAAAGACACAAGCGAAAAAATACAACCCATTAGCTAAGTTTTCAAAATAAGGATCAGATTCCATAGTTACCCACTTCTAGCTAAGAGAGTTGTTAAGAGATAGCGTTGATTTAGAACCCTGGCTGTCATTGCATTGTTTGCTTTCCCATCTATCTTTCTGTTTACCTTTTACTTGCTTGTTTGTTTGTTCTGTGGACGTTGTTTAAAGCTATTATCACAAGATACTTGTGCTAATAGGGAGATCACAAATCATTATGGTGTATTTTTTCTCTCGACTTTGGTTATAACTAGTGTAATATTGATACACCATTAATAAGCACAATATTTTCTTGTTAATTAAAAAAAAGGATTACACAAGTGGAGATACTAATTATATTTTTTGAGCAAAATAGGCATGGTATCCAGGGGCCTCATCAAATATTAAAAATATCATTAAAACCTAAAAGTGGTATGCAAATTGTCTGTCCCTCTACATTAGGATATGCTTGTTTGCATAAGTGAATGTAAAAAAAAACCTATTTGGGATCTCTTTTTTGGATTTTGTTCGTCATGAGTGAGAACTTTACGTTTATCAGATAATTTAATTAATTAAATTATAGGAATAATCAGAGAGAAATAAAGTACAAAAGAGTTACCTTCACTTTAACAGTACCACATTTTCAAACCAAATAAGTGTCTGATTAAAAAATGATAATTGAATGAGAAATATAAAGAAGAGAGAACTATAAGAAGAAAAGGAAAGAAAAAAGTGATAGAAACATATAAAAAATAAAATAAAAGTATTGTGAAAAAACATTGAGTAAATAATATAACTTGTTCAAAAAAATGTGTTAATTAACATTTTGATCCTTACTTTTACATTTTCATCATCATATTAAATATTCAGCTTATTTTTTTTGTTAACATGCATGTTACATGATTTACAATAGGTGAATCACTGTAACGATCACAATTTCCTAATGATAAAGAAAATAAGAAACCGATACACAAGCAAAGTGAAAAGATGAAATAATTTCATTGTATGATCAAATTAAAAGTGGACCACAGTGCACAGATGATTGGCTCTATAATTGAACTGAGCACTGGATATATCTGTTGACATATGGTCATGACAATGGTAGAATCTCTGATATAGTAGCTAGTTGACCAATTAGTTTGTGGGCACAACTTTACAACAACAAAGTACAAAGGATAGTTGTTGGGGGAGAAAGAAGCGAGATGAAAAAAATTGGTGAAAATTTTGGTTGCAAACTTTACGGCTATCTCTTTGTAGTTTTGCACTTATCGGGTTGCTAAGAGCAAGAATAGGGAACAGTGCTTCCCTCGAGTGTGTCCAACGAACAAGTCCAACCCAATAAAAACAACCTCTTATGACACACTCTCTAAATTGCAGAGTGGGGTCTAGTCCCTCCACAGAAGCCTAATTAATAAATCAAATGTCAATTTCAAACCCCCTAACTAAATGATATTATATTTTATGCTTTCTGTCTCAAAGGACTTGGGGGTTTTCCTTTGTGGGAGAAAATCCAACCCCGTGAGACATTTCAATAGTGTTTGCCTGACCATGATCTGAAAGCTTCACCTTTTTCTTTGTTGGTATCCAAATTCACATCAATTTTTTCAAGTGGAAAACATAAAATGCTGAAGTGTGACTTTTCCATTGGTGTGCCTAGCTAGGGAAGGAAAAAAGTTTAGGGACTGTTTTGGTGGAGCATGATTCATCCTTCCTTCATTGCCATTTATTGAAACGGTTCATCAGCAAAATTTCTTTCTAGTTCTTGTTGCTTCAGTGCATTCTCTTTTTGTTTCTGAAACGCACTGTTGCTGTTCAATTGCCAACCCGATTGGAAGGGAAAATACAAGTTCATCTTATTGTCTTTACATTAATAGAGCATCTTTCTTTCTTCTTAGCAAATTAATTATTTGCACCACCATTTTATTCGTTGTATTCTACATGAATCAATAAAGGTATTCTGTCAAATACAAATACGTAGGTCATAATGCAAAAAATCCATTTTTTAAGATTTGGATTATACAGTAAATTTAATAATAATAAAAAGGAATGGAAACCATATGGCATTACTATAAGACTCAATTTAATATGAAAAAAGCTAATTTCTTGCTGTAAATATATTTCATGAGAATGAAACATTGACAAAAACTGAGGAGACTCTATTTTTGTGTTTTTTTAAAGGCCATTAAATGTCTTCTTTTGGTGTAGGTCATGTTTTTGTACTCATATTGAATGAAACATTTGGTAGAATCAGTCCAATGTATAAGTCAAATTAAAAAGATAATTTAACCAAATCTTGAAAACTGATGGAATCCAATGTTTTGCTTGGACCGTTGAGAAAGGAAACAAATGTTACAAAAATCTACATGGGTCTGATGCTAGGATCATAGAGGGTCAACTCTTGCTTGATATTAGACCTTGTTATGCATGCATCGCGTGAAATGTCAAGTTTTCAACCTTCTCAGCACACTTGCCAGAGTCATCTGCAAGGAACTGATGTACATTGATGCACATGCATTACAGTGTCTTGTCCCGTTTTGCAGTGGTATTATGGAAATAAGTAAACAAAAATGATAGCATTTAATAATTTTATTATATTTTTTAATAATAAGAGAAAAAATATTTTAACACATTTTTCTACCAAAAGAAAAAAATATACAAGAGATAATCCAAACTGTATAGCATAAAAACAACGTCATAACCAAGACATTATCAATATATGCAACAATGGTAACTAGGAAAATATCTCTTATTATTTTTAAGCTTAAAATAATAATAAAAGAAAACATCAACGAAGTTATTCAATTCAAGTGGGAGGGTTTGGCAATGGGCTCCATTGTTGGCCCATTTTTAGACTTTAAGCGTGTACAGATCAGATTTTGGTCATGGAACAAGCATGGCCAAATAGAAAGTTAAGAAGCCTCAATTTTCACACTCACAGTACTTGACTTTAACCTCTCATACATACTTTATTAAAAAAGATGGTCCAAAGTCTCCTCCACAAAAAACCACAAAACTCTGTAATGACTGGGTGACTATTCATGCAACAGCACGATATATGAGCCGTATTAGATTTTCAAAGTTAGTGAACCCTTTCTTCTCTCTCATATACTCTACAACGGTCCTCAATTCATACAAGGTATTGTAAAGAATGCAAACAACAACAAAAACAACAAACACCAAATCTGCTTACCCCGAAACCTATATTGAAAAGCAACAAGAGGAAAAAAGCACAGCATTGGTTCCAGTTCTTTGGTTTGGACCTTTCTTTTGGCCCCTTCTCTCTCCTCGATACTCACAAACACAAAACACATCCTCTCTCTCTCTCTCTCTCTTCATGCACAAGTCCAACTATAACAACAACAATGTAAAGTAGTAACAAATGAAAATGTCTTACCCTTACCCTTGAGCAGTTCAAGTTCATTCATGGTTTCCCCAAAGTCAAAATATTTCTCTCATTCACGGCCTTAAAAGTTGAAACCCCACACCTATGTTGCTTCACCTTTCACATGCCATCATTTCTTGTTAAAACGTACCCACCTCTTCCACTTCAGCTAGCTAGATAGATAAATCTCTCTCTCTCTCTCTCTCTCTCTTGGTTTCTCTGTGTGAATCCTGTCCACAACTATGGTGCACCAGCACCGTCACCAGCATGAAAGCAGGAGAGAGAGAAGAAGTGGTTCAGAAGGAGAGCAAGAGAAACGACCAAGGTTCTTCATAAACGACAACATTGACATTCTGAGGGAAATCCTTAAACGACTCGACGGTCCCTCGCTGGGTGTTGCCGCCTGCGTGTGCCGCCTCTGGTGCAGCCTCACCCGCAACGACGACTCACTCTGGGAGCACCTCTGCTTCCGCCACGTGTCCACTCCTCCCCCGGCGTCCGTTCGGGCAGTGGTGGTGGCCCTCGGCGGTTACAAGCGCCTATACATGGTGTGCGTGAGACCGGTGCTGAGTAGACTCGGAAACTCGGAAAGGGTCAGGAAAAGAGTGTGGACTCGGCACGAGGTGCAGCTCTCCCTCTCCTTGTTCTGCATTGACAGCTACGAGAGGCTTGGGAGTGGAAGGGTTACCAGTGACGCGTCCGCATCATCCCTCATGTTCCTCTGCAACACCGTCAACGTCTGATCTCATTTATTCAACTTTTTCCCATTTCATACAAAAATCCTCCCAAGTCATTGCTATCAAAATAACAAGCACTGCCCCGGTATTTGCCTATCATACACCAAATTAAAATACTACCAATTTCATTGTTTATTCTTATCTCCTTGTTTCTTTTTTTCATCCTCATATTGTTGTCATAGTTAGATATATCAATAAAAAGCTTATAATAAGCATGGATTAACGTTATCTTTTATTCATGTAGCTCTAGCTCTTTAGATAGAATTGACCACACTTTCAGAACATTCATTTGAAATCACTCAGCTAGTCTATTTTCAAACATTGCTAATTACTTCCATTTTCTTCTCTCATCCTCTTTAAAATTCACTTGAATATTTTCATTTTTTTTAAAATTAATTTATTGGAACTCTACGATTTTGCCTTCAATTAAGACATCTTAGTCTAATTTCTAATTTAATATTTAGTAACCCCATAGCAATAGGAAGCTAAGCCCATTTTAGAAGTATTATTTGTACAACCCGAAGGTGCAACCGTAATTCACTTTTAATTTTTTTAGTAACGATGTGTTTTTTCCCTAAATATTATTTTATTATTAAATGTTACTGATATCATATGTTTAATCATATAAAACTAAAAATAAATTAAAATTAGGCAAATATATGTGCCAATATAAATAAAAACACTGCTGGGAATTATGTTTTAGGATGTTAATTTCTCATATATTAGGTGACAATGTGCTCTTGGAAGTAAAAACTGGACAAATATGTGGAAAGATAGTGTTGTACAAAAACAGGTTTTTATGTCAGAATAAAAAAAGGGGTAAAAATATATTCAACAAAATGTTACCTAAAAAGAACCTGATATATTTTCAGACCTAATAGCAGTCTATTTACATGATATTGAAGGCCTAGTCCGAATTGTTTATAACTCCAAATTTACCTTAAAATTTATCTAAAAAGTTTATTTTGTTATAAGGGCTTTAAAGAAGCCCAACAAACTCATATATAAACGTGCATGTTTATGCCTTTGAATAATAATAATAATAATAGTTTACATCATAATAAGTTGATTTTAAAAGTATAATAAATATTTTATTTTTATTAAAATATACTGTTTTAAAATGTATAAAATCAACCTGAAAATAAATATTCATTTTATATAGTTTTTATTTATTTATTTAAATAGACTAATTTATAAGGTTTGAAAAAGTTTGTGTATAGCTAAAAAATATACATTCTAATTAAAATATGTAGTTTATATATATATATATATATATATATATATATATATATCTTAAGTATATTTAACATCTAAAAACTAAATTTATCAAAATTAATTCTACTCATTTTTAAAATTAAACAAATGCTAAATTAAGGTGAAGCTAACGTGAGTCAAATTATAAACTCCCAACAAACTGTCTAACCTACTCCCAAAATCGTCCAAAAGCTAGGAGACACAAATAAAAGGTAATATAATTATATAAAAAAAAAACTACAAAGAATTTAAACATGTTTTAAGTCTCAAAATATGCTTCATTGTTTCTTTTAACAATTATAATTTTATACTTTATTTTTAAAATGCATTTTCACTCTAAATTAATTAAAATTTATTCTCTCCAAAAAAGGTGAAAATAAATATGAAATTATTTACAAACAAAACATTCAAATATTTGAATTTATTGAACCATTTAAATCTAATGAAAAATATGTCAAATTCTACAATATAATTCAAATACTCTTAAAATTATAAAAAGTTGACGTAAACAATACTATTTTAATGACAAAACATGTGAAAAAAAGACAAATGTAACGTACAAAAAGAAAAAAAATATGAAACATAAAAGATATGACATGAGATTTTAAAAATAAATAAAAATCAGAATCCATTTTAAATTAGATTGTGTATTTATTGTAAATTGAAATAAATAAATAATCATACCCTTATGAATGGTTACTTCTTCCAACAAGAAAAAACGTGGTGAAAGGACCCATGAGGATTTCAAATCTTTCAATTTTCATTTGGAATATTCTTTTCGTTTACTTGACGAAATTATATAATATTTTTATTTTTTATGCAAGATTGCAAGAGTTGGATTTTTTTTCCCTCTTATAAGACTCCTAAGAATTTCTTTATTGCCCTGTAAAAAAAGTTTAATTAGATAATCGAAATTTTCTTTTTGAAGATGCGAAATAGACTCTTTTTTTTTTTTTTATTAATGAATAGTCTGTTTTGTTTAGGAGGTGAGGCACAAAATTGTCAAATGCCAATATCAAAATTTCCCCTCATACGTTGGCTAATTGGGCTCCATATAAAAATTACAGTACTAGTTTTAAAAAAAAATAACAATAAAGAAAACGTAAAACAAGGGTCCTTCTTATTGATTGAGACACAGCAACAAAATCAACTCACTGGACAAACAAACATGTGAATGTGATCATTGACTCAAAATGTGCATCAAATCCAACCACTTCAAATTTTGGCATAACCAGAATTTTTGAACTGCAGTCCATTTGATTCTGTATTCAACAACATTTCTACCATTGATATGTAATTCTGGTTCTTCTTTTTTGGGTCATTTAGTTTTGGTTCTAACTTTCATACCAATTTCACTGGGCCTTACGGGTTAGCCCAAATAAAAATGTATTTTTTGTTGGGATTGGCATGACCTTCATCAATTTATTTGCTTGACCCCAAAAAAATTTTCAATTTGTTTGACATTCACAAGTTTATAAAGTAAGGTTAGAACTCATGAGTCTTAGCTAAAAGACTAGCTAATACATATTTAATTTTAATCAATTAAAGTGTCCATTTAAAGCCGATGTAACACAGCCTAATACTATCAATAATGGTATACAAACCTTAGTTATATATACAATAACTTTTTTTAAACTTTAACGGAAAGAGAAAATCAATCGAAATTGTTAATTTTTTTCGTGTACAAATTAGTGCAGATGTAATTTTAAAAATTATAAGAGTCAAGGTAAATTCATGCTTCCATATTAAATTGATAAATTAAGGATGAAGCAAAAAGTTTCATGCGCTATTTAAATAGAACATGATTCTGTTTCTTTTAATTTAAAATGGAGTTTTGTTATTGATAAAAGAAAATCCTCCTTGAGTTAAGAAATTCATATATATGATTATTTTTAAGTCGTTAAGTTTATATTGAAAAATACACCAAAATGAATTCACTGAAAACCAAACAAGCAATGTGACAAACAATTTGAAGAGTGACATCTATCAAAGTAATGGAAAAGAAAAATATGTATTTTCTTTTCATTGAACACATTTTACCCATTTTATTTATAAAAAATGAAAAATTGATGATAAATAGGAGATAATTTTCATTATTCTTCATTTTGAAAAATAAAAATATAGCAAAAATTCAGGGATGAAGGTGGAACATTCACAAAGTGCTTAACACTCCGAACCAATATCCAACTTCGCACCAACTACAGAATACAGCCTCTAACTTCTAGCTTTCGCCCAAAAATATGAATTAAATTTACATAAAATATATAAATTAAAATAAATGAATACAACAATTAAAAAAAAGGAAAATACTAAAATAAAAAAGAATTAATTTCCAACCTTTGCAGCAATTACGCACCTACGGTGCACGTTAGCTTGTTCCAACCACCTCAGTAATAACAGCGTTTACTTGCACTGAAAATTATCATTTTATTTATAATAATTCCTATTTTATTTCCTACCTTCTCTTTTCTGATCGGCGATTGTCGGAAGCTCCTATTCATCGCCGCCACCTTGCGCCGAATCGGATCCACTTCGGAACCCGGATCCGTGAGCCATTCAAATCTGCTTTCCCGGTATTTTTTTTCTCTTTTGTTTTGAATAGCAAAGACTTCTTCACCCTTACCATTTACCACACACCACTCTGTCCATACAAATCGGGTTCTGTGTTTTCCTGTTTTTAGTGCAGCGAGATTCACACTTGGCTCAGCTCAATTTTGCTCCAACTCCCGAGTACACGTGGCGATCTGGGTCTTCTTCAACACCCCATTATCAGCTCCAATCTCAGTTAGTCTCTTTCTTCTTCTTTTTTTTTTTTTTTTTTTAATTATTGTGTTTATTTTTATTGCATCTAGGGGGCTTTTTTTTTAATAAATTATGAGTATAAAATTTGGGGCTTTTGGTTATAGCTTTTTGATCTCTGTGCAAAGTTTTAGGTTTTGTCAAATTTAGCTGAATTAGGTGCTGATTGAAAGATGGGTCATCCTCCTTCTTCCCTTTGGAGCAGTTTTGAGAGATGAATGGTTTGTAGGTTTTGAAATCGGAAGTGTTCGGTTTTTTGGAAGATTTAGGAACGAGATGGGAAAGTAAAGTTGAATGCTTTTGCGAATTTTATGTGGAAGATATACAATTGTGTTTAAATCAGCTGAATGCTACGATCTGTTCATTTTACTCCACAATTTGGGTGTTTGGGGTGCTCCTGATTTCTCAGTAACCTCAGAGAGCACAGGTTCTAGATTGGTGTTGGGGTTTGTGCCTGTTCCTTTTGTTTTTGGTGAAAATGTTTATGTTTGGTGTTCTTGAATCTCATATGAAATTTTTACCAGCTTTAAAAGTAAAATTACTTACGTTTTCTTTTGTTCCAAAACTGTCAGCAGACATGGAAACCATGTTGGACTGGTCATAGCTTCTGTTTTGAGAGTTCAACTGTGAAGTGATTTCATTCCTACATGGAAGCAAACAAAGAGGAAGCACTTAAAGCAATAGAGATTGCTGAAAAGCGATTTGCTCTGAGAGACTTTGCGGGTGCAAAAAATTATGCTGTAAAGGCTAAGACGCTTTGTCCAGGATTGGAGGGCTTATCTCAAATGGTGGCCACATTTGAAGTTTACATTGCTTCTGAGGTCAAACATAATGGTGAACTAGATTATTATTCAATTCTTGGATTAAAGCCTTCTGCAGATAAAGAGGCTGTGAAGAAACAGTACAAGAAGTTGGCGGTGTTGCTTCATCCAGATAAGAACAAATGTATGGGAGCTGATGGGGCATTTAAGCTAGTTTCTGAGGCTTGGACTTGGCTATCAGATAGTTCTATGCGCAGTTCTTACGATCTCAAGAGGAATGCACAGTATGGTGGAACTAATCAGACAAGTTTATCTGCTGTCCATACTGCAGGGGCTGCTGGTTATAACAAGTGTTCCAATTTGTCAACCTCTTGTGGTAGGCTTGACACCTTTTGGACAATTTGCACCTCTTGTAAGGTTCAGTATGAGTATTTGCGCAAGTACGTGAATAAAAGACTCTCTTGTAAGAACTGCCGTGGCACTTTCATTGCTGTTGAAACTGGGGCAGCCCCGGCAAATGGTTCATTTCCATATTGTCCTTGGTCATATGTGCCCGGAAATGGGTATGGAAGCCATTCATTTGATGGAGTTACTTATGTTCCAACTAATGCCACCTATTTCAATGGGAATGGGGTTGCAGGATATCATTCTGGACATGGATATGAGTATGTTTCAAATGTTTCGTTTCAGTGGGGCTCTGCTGGAGTTGTCAATCAAAATGGATCAACTACCTTACCTGCCGATTCTGTTTATCAGGCCAATGGAAATGCGAAGAGGGGAAGACCAAAAGTCAAATCTGGAGCTGATAAGAGGCAGCACATGGCAGAGACTATGGTCAATACAAATGCAGATGTATCATTCTCTTGTAGTGAACCACAGGAAGATAAGCTAAGTAGACCTGACAAGAAGCAAAAAGTTGTTGTGGGAGCCAGTTTCAGAAATGGCTATGAAGAGAAGGGGTCAAAATGTGCTACAGAGTCTGTAGTGGCAAACGGAAATGATAGCATGGGACATGGCCAGAAGCCTTCCAGCACAAATGAAGCTCAAACCAAACAATATTCCATGGCACCGGCATTTGATGCGAGAAAATTATTGATCGAGAAAGCCAGGACAGAAATTAGGAAGAAATTGGAGGAGATGAAGTTGTCATCCGAAGCTGCAGCAGCTGCAACTTTGAATGAGAAAGAAAAATCACAAGCTGAAATTGGTCAAGTCAAAAGAGAGACATGTAGAAGAGCAGCTCTGAATGTTTCTGGTCTTCAATTAGAACATGGGAAAGCTGGTCCAATCTCAATTACTGTCCCAGATTCTGACTTTCATGACTTTGATAAAGATAGGTCAGAGGAATGTTTCAAGCCGAAGCAAATATGGGCCTTATATGATGAGGAAGATGGAATGCCTCGATTGTATTGTCTGATCCGTGAGGTTGTGTCTGTCAATCCGTTTAAAATTCATATCAGTTACTTGAGTTCCAAAACTGATAGTGAGTTCGGTTCAGTAAACTGGCTGGAATCAGGTTTTACCAAATCTTGTGGAAATTTCAGGGCTTGGAATTCCGATGTTGTTGACCAAGTTAACATATTTTCTCATGTTCTAAGGCAGGAGAAGGCTGGTCGAGGTGGCTGTGTTCGCATTTATCCCAGAAATGGAGATATCTGGGCTGTGTATCGAAATTGGTCACCGGATTGGAACAGATCTACACCGGATAACGTGAGGCATCAGTACGAAATGGTTGAGGTGCTGGATGATTACTCGGAGGAACTTGGCGTCTGTGTTAGTCCACTTATTAAGTCAGCTGGATTTAAGACAGTATATCAGAGGAATACCGACAAAAGCGCCATAAAATGGATACCTAGAAGAGAAATGTTGCGCTTTTCACACCAAGTACCTTCTTGGTTGCTGAAGGGGGAGGCAAGCAATTTGCCTGAAAGGTGTTGGGACCTTGATCCGGCTGCAACTCCAGATGAACTTCTTCATGCCGCTCCTGAAGCAAACGCTTTGTAGGTTATGGAATAGTGAAACAATTATTTGGGTTGCTCTTTAGCATTCTTCCCACAATATTTTAGATTTAACTGTACACTATGTCACAGTTGGTTAGAGACCAATGAGACATTAACCACGGATGTTTTAGAGGGTAAAATTTTATTTTGTAACATTTGTCTAGTAGACTTTCAGATCTAGTGATTGCTTGTTCGGTAAAGTTTCTTCCTTCTTGCCATAGGAGTTGCAGTAAGAGATTGGCACTGGGTCTGCCTGCTTGTAACTGTATTTCTGACCAGTATTTACTGGTAAAGAATTTATTCAATTAAAAGCCTGAATCCAATTCTAAATCCAACATCTTTAAAGAGACGAAAACAAAATTAAGAGAACTGTTGCATTGTATGTATCCATGCCCAACATTTTTTATGTATTGTAGCTGACATCCTTTTCAGAACCGAAGGTATCCTATGGTCATGTAATGAATTATCCATAGCATAATTACTTTTTGAATAGGATAGTTTCTGCTTTCTTTAGCGTTTAGAGTTTAGCAAGTAATTTAGGTAAATTTATGATTTAGGCTAGTATTCTCACATCAACATTTGGGCATGAAATATAGGCATCAGACCTTAGTGTTATCACATTTCTTACGTATTCATTGCAAGTTATTCATTTCATATTGGCAATGACTCAATAAATTGCTTATTTGAATTTCAAGGGCTACAGATTAGCTATTAATGTGGTCCATAGTTATTTTTAAAGCTGCATCATTCATTAAATTTGTTTCGGTATATCAGCTCCAATCATGAACACTTGCTATTTCGTTTTAAGTTTTTTAAATGCCATTTTTTCCTGCAAAAAATTGAGAAAGGGAAGATCTCAACCAGACAAGTATCGCAATTGTGACGCATTTTTTTTAATTAAAATTTATTGAAATTCATAAAATTGTATGTGACTTATCAAAGAAGAATTGTAATGCGATTTTAATAATCTTAATAAATTTTAGTTAATAATAAAAAATAATTTACTAAAAAACATGTTGATTGATCACTAAAAGAATGTTGAAGATATGGGATTCTTATCACTAAATATTTTACCAGTGAGACAAATATATGCAATATGCAGGTCCAACAAGGACGTATCTCGGAATTTAGGTTATATTTGGCTTATTGTTTGCATATCTCTAACATTGGCTCGTATAGTGTAAACCAAGTTTGTTGATGTTTGACAAAATTATGGTTGAATTGTGTTTGAACATGGTCTTGAGTTCTGCACCACGACTTTCTTTGGAATGAGTTCTTTGTTGGACCAAACTAGGGAAACATACGAGTATGGGTCCACTCACAAACCCAATTGACATGGAAAAATGTAGTCTAATTGGGTTTGAATTTGTAAAGTAAAACCCAACCAAGTTGAGATCAAGTATTTAGCTTTAAAATATCAAACCCATGAAGCGGAACCTAACCCAAAGATGTAGCAAACTAATCATTAATGGTATTGCATAAACCTATAAATAAGCGTCAATTTCACCTTGGAATCATAGGATAATGTGGTTGGAAAGAAACGAACAGAGAAGAAAAGAACTTTTCAGCAAATATTATTTTTATAAGAATTAAAATTAATTTATTACAAATTATATATTCCTTGTCCATCTACGGGGAAAGGAATGTCTTGCAAACATGTTCTTTTAGAACATATAGCTTTACTTTGCAATTAAGTCATTCCATTTTATCATTTCTTCTTTAAGTTTGTACATTGATTTCAAATTGTACTTATTGTCGAGTGCACAGATCATACTTGTTTGGAGCCTGTTTGTTTAAACACTATAATCGAGATTCCAGAACTTCAATGCAAATATAATCATTGAAAATTGAATTCTGTCAAAGGATAAAAAAAACAATTTGAAGAAATCGTTTTTGGACTTTGAAGCCCCTTTCCCTTTAAATCTGCAATCTCTCCTAACTCGCAACTAAAAGAATCTTCAATAGCATGGATATGGTGAAGAAGGTAAGTGCACCCATTTTGCTCCCTTCCTAGTTGCAATTCTTTGGTCTTGTTTAATTGCTCATAGCTCAAGCATTTGTCTTATTTCTGGTCTTGTACTTGAATAAATGCTTGTAGCTATACAAATATTTGTCTTATAGAATGATGTCATCTTAGAGACAAGTATAACAATATTTTTAAAATTAAATATTATAAATATAATATTTAATATTATTAAACACAATTATAAATTCAAATATAAAGTGGCTACTGAAATAATTATTTTCAAATTTATTTAAGTAAATAAATCATAATGAAATCAATTTAAAAAATTAGTATATTTTATCTTACAATTGATTTATTTATTTTATATTTTGAATAATATGATATAAATATGGTGTTGAATTTGAGTGTTAAGTATGTAATTATATTAAATGCTAAAAAAAAGTTTTATTTGATATGATGGTGTTGATAATTTTTATAATTTTAATTAAATGAAATATTTTTCATATTTTTCTTTATATATGAAAGTAAATAATTTTCTTACAAAAATTGAAATCACTAATCGCATGTTTAAATTGATTCCTTTCTATATACTTTACACAGTTAGACTTTCAAGATAACACGTTTGATTTATTCTGAGCATTCTATTCATGTAAAAAAGATATTTGGTTCCGCTTTCACTTTTGTTTTATGACAGAAGTTCAACTTAAATCTATGTCATGTTGGTTTTTTTTTTTTTTAATTCTTTATGTAAAATGCTTCACACAATTCATGCCTTCCTTTAGTTTTTTTATAAAATGTTTAGAAACTAGAAAATTATAAAAAAAATATATTATAATTTTATTTAATATTATTTTAAAAAGTAATATTTTTTTATTCAAATACAATAAAGATATAAAATCTGAAAAAAAGAAAGATTATTATAAAAATGAGAAACAATTTATTTTAAAGAGGGCAATTCAAATAAAAAATAAATTTTATTATATTTTTAAGTTGTTTAAGAACAGTAAATTAATAGAATATATGTAAAGAAATTTTTTATTTAATTATAATAATATTTGTCATTCTGAAATAATATCCACTAGCTGAACAATAATATTTATGTTAGTTGTACCACTCCTTTTACTTTGCATATTATTTGTCTCAAAAATTATATATTTTTGAGTTTGTTTATTTTTAATCAATAAAAATTTAAAATCTTTAATCTTTAATCTTTAAAATACCTTATCTGAACTAAAAATGCACTTCATGAAAGGATTATAAAAAAATAAAATGATTCAAAAAAATGTTCTACTTTTTGAATAAAGTATATTTAATTTTTAAATATATAGTATAATAATAATGATAATTTATGTTAAATAATACATACAAATAATATTTAATCAGTGTATTGCACAAGAATACATGCTTTTATTTATACAACTATTTATCAAATAGAATTATGTCATCGGTATATATAATAATATTTTTAAAATTAAATCTTATAAATATAATACTTAATAATTAATAAAATATATTCAACATAATTATACCTTCAGGTATAAAGTGGCTACTAAAATAATTGTTTCTAAAATTTAATTATACTAAGTAAATAGATCACAATAAAATCAATTCAAAAAATAAGTATAATATTATCTTACAATTCATTTAAATATTTTATATTTTTAAACATTTATAGACAACTGTGTATTAGTAGTCCTGAGTTCGTATGCTTTGAGTGGTGTTAACAATCATGCATAGAAATGCTAATGTAAATATTATGTTTCAAAGCGCATAATGAAAGTTTAAAACTATATAGTTAAGAGTGAAGGTTGGAATAACCATTGTGTATTTATAAGTATCCATATAAATATTATCATTACATATCTTCATTATTACTGTGCTACTAGGTAGAATGTGATCCCACTTAAGTTTTAATGTAATTCCATTTAACGTTTGATGTTTAATACTAATTTTAAACTAATATATTAATTCAAAAAAATAGAAAAAAATTAATATATTTTTATAAATATAAAAATAGATATTCATAAAAATACAAAAAATTATATAAGGTAACAAAAGAAAGTTAATAACAACTTTAATATCTAAATTTTAGAAAAAATTAACAAAATTGTAAGTAAAAGATAAATTTATTATAGCAAGAGAAGGTATAATTTAAATATCATTCTCATTCAATTTTAATTTTGAAGTATAATTTTTACTAACATTTTCACTTGTCAAATAGTTGACTCTCATTTTACTTTTAGTACACACATTATTTCACATAATTTATTTTATATCTAACATTTATATGATTTATTTTATATTTAATTTTTATCTTTATAATCACATCGTTACTACTAATATTTAATAAAATTAAAATATAAAATTTCTCACCTAAGAATTATCATAACTTTATGTCAAAGAATTAAAGACATTATTATCATGTTAATAATGATTTGTGACATCTATACATTAATTTATATAATTTTTTCATAGTAAATTAGTGTAATATGTCACAAATTATTAATTATGATACATTTAAAAAAAAACCTTTAAAGAAATTTGAAAGGTTGAGAACACACAAATTTGAATAACATATAGATATAAATTAAAAATTTTAGAAAAAAGACATTAAGAAAAAAAAAAGTGTAGTAAAAAACTGTAGTATATTATATAAACATAGTTAAATTCTGCTAATTTTACATACACGGGGAAGGTTTTTGTTCGTTTGAAGAACATGATTTCACTTGTACTTGTTGAGAGGTTGGGAAGTTGTGCGCCATCAACCCTTTTGATCATCTTTGTTTTATTATATGGCTTAAGTATTAATAATAATAATAATAATAAAAAAAGAGAATTATTTCACATCTTCAACCTTGACATTTCTTTAACAAAGATGGAACACATATTTTCCTGGGTTTCTAATTAATCATGGCATCTTCATCACTCTTTTGTTCAGGTTAATTAAACTGCAGAGTGGACTAAATTGATGGACGTGCTTTGGGGATTTTTGTCTGCTATTTCAAGAGATTTGGTGCGCGGAGTAGTGAATCAATTGCGTTATCCTTATTGCTTCAACAAATTTGTTGATGAACTTGAAAAAGAAGAAGGCAATTTGATTGCCACAAGAAATACCGTCCAAGACCGGGTTGCACATGCTCAAAAACAAGCCAAAAAGTCTACTGAAGTCGTTGAAAAGTGGCTGAATGACGCTAACAACGATGTAGAAAAAGTGAATCAATTGCTAACAGAGGCAAGAACCAAAAAGACTTGCTGTTTTGATCTCTGTTCAAATTGGATTTGGCGATACCAATTAGGGAAGAAGTTAGCAAAAAAAAGAAATGAACTTAAAGAATGCACTGAAAAAGGTAGACAACATATACAAATTGAACGCACTGCTACACTTCCTTCCAGTACGCTTGGTTTTCTCTCAGGAAATTGTTTGAATTTTGAGAGTAGAAAATCTGCACATGAACAGTTGATGGAGGCACTGAAAGATGATCAGGTTGGCATGATTGGATTGTTTGGGATGGGTGGTTGTGGTAAAACCACGTTGGCAATGGAAGTTGGGAGGGTAGCAGAGGCAGAACATCTCTTTGACAAAGTGCTTTTTGTGCCTGTTTCTAAAACGGTAGAAGTTCCAAGGATTCAAGAAAAAATTGCAAGTTCACTTCAATTTGAATTTCCATCTCCAGAAATTGAAGAAATTGAGAGAGCTCAACGCTTATTCCATAGATTAAAACAAGAAAAAAGGATTCTTGTGATTTTAGACGATGTGTGGCAGAGGCTTAATTTTAGAGCCATAGGGATTCCCTCTCATGAAGATCATAAAGGTTGTAAGGTTTTCATCACCACACGATCTGAAGATGTTTGTAAACTGATGGATTGTGAAAGAAAGGTTGCACTACAAATATTGAGCAATGAAGAAGCGTGGATGCTTTTCCAAAAGCAAGCAAATATATCTGAGGAAGCTTCCATTCCCTTGGAATTGGCAAGAGACATCTCAGATGAATGCAAAGGATTGCCTGTTGCCATTGCAGCTGTGGCTGGCTCTTTGAAAGGCAAGGAAGAAGTTTCTTGGAAGGTAGCTTTGAATAGATTGAGAAATTCGATACCAGTGAACATAGAAGAAGGTTTGCAAAATCCTTACAAGTGCCTCCAATTAAGCTATGATTATTTGGACACTGAAGAAACCAAGTCACTTTTAATGTTGTGTTCTGCATACCCTGAAGATTATGAAATACCAGTTGAAGAATTAACTACTTATGCTATAGGTCTAGGTTTAGGTGGAGAAGTTGGCTCATACGATGCAAAAAGGAATGAGGTAACTGCAGCTAAAAATAAGCTCATAAGTTCTTGTTTGCTGATAGCTGTTGAGCAGTGGATAGGTATTGTGCCACGGAATCATGTCAAAATCCATGACTTAGTGCGCGACGTAGTACAATGGATTGCCAAGCATGGGAATAAAGATGTGAATGAATACACTCAACCAAGATACCTATGGTGTGAGGAATTTCCAAATGAAAGTGACTGTTCCAATCTTGAATTTATAAGGACACAAACAAATGTGGAAGCATTGGATGAAATATTGAGAAGGATGAGAAAACTCAGAGTTTTGATTCTAGAAAATGTGGGGTCCCAGAAGCAATTGTCGATGATGTTACTCAAATCGATGACAAATCTGCGTTATCTAGCCCTTGAAGAATGGGAATTAAGCGACATCTCAATTGCAGAAGATAAATGGAATCTTGAAGGTCTTGCATTGATTAGATGCTCATTCCCTCAATTATTAAATGATGTTCTAGATAAAGAATTGTCATACTTGAAATTGTTAGAGATAGAGGATTGTGGCATGGAATGGAGTACTTTAGAAGTGATCCTAAGACTACCCCAACTGGAAGAATTGTACGTAGTCGACCGTCGAATAAAAAATAAAAGTGTTGTTTGCTCTGAAAACTTTGACAAGTTCGTTGTTCCACAGAGACTGCAACGGTATGACATCCTATTTGGAAGAGGATATGTTGTTACTTCTATTCCCACTCATGACCGAAATTTGTCGGTATATGAGTTTCACATGTCAAATGAAATTATCAAGGGTTTTGCAAGAAAAGCAGAGACTTTGCGACTGGGTTCTATGATGGGATGTGAGAAAAATATTATCCCTGACATATTTGGAACAGAAAGGGGAAGCATGAATGAGTTGAAAGGGCTTGGGGTGAATCGTTGTACAGAAATAGAGTGCTTAGTTGAAAACGACAAGCGGGAGATATTAAATGTCTTCTCCAATCTGATTCACTTACAAGTTGGAGGAATGGATCAGCTAAGAACCTTATGGCACGGTCGTTTGCCTCTCAGTGGGTCTTTTGAGAAATTAGAGTGGCTGCACATAGAGGAATGCCCAAAACTAACTTCTTTATTTGCTCTAAATGAATTCGAGCGACAGCTTCCTCTGCCATTCAATTTCTTCCAAAATCTTAAATTTGTTATCATAGCATCTTGTGGAGAATTGAAATACTTATTCTCAATCTGCGTGGAAGGAGACTTATCTGGATTGAAGGAGTCAGAATTAGATGAAATCATGGAGGATGAGAAGCCTCAGGTTTTTCCAAATCCTCATTTTGAATCTAATCAATATCAAAATTTGCGAGCAAGTACTCCTATTCCATCAACGTCATCCTTTGCCAACCACCGAGGTACACACTGCATTATATATAATTAAAATGCAATATAATCTTTTTTTTTCTTTTCTTTATAACAATACATTATCCATGTTATTACAATCCTTATACGGTTGTTAATTACACTGCGTATATAACTTTTCTTAACCATGAAACTTTCACAATAATTGATTATAATTTTAATTTAATCAATTAATTCTTTGAACGTTTAACATACGGCAAATAGCTCCGGATCTAGATTTTGGTTGAAACTCAATTAACAAACAGAGCTTTGAAATTGAGAAGGAAAGTGTAGAAATTAATCATACGAATGAAGACATATTATCACGTTGTCTATCAACTTCATATAGTGTCTATCAACTAATAGTTTAACTTGGCTCAATATGCAAAGTTGTTTACGGGAGTACCTTTAAGAGAGTAGTAGGATCATACAATATTGAATTTAGAGAAACATTGAATTTAAAGAAAACTAATTACATGTTTAAAAACACTTAAATCAAGAGAAATAATTATTTACTTTTTAGAAGTTCTCTGTTTATTTAGAAGGAAGATTTTGAAGAATAAAAAAAGAAATAACATTTTTTAATTTTAAATTAAAAAAACTCCATCTTTTAAATTTTAAATGTTTCTTCGTCTAACCAATGTGATTTTGAAAAGTAAATATAATCTAATACAATCTTATGTCTGTAAAATTAGTTGTTTATCTAAAATATTTCATGTCAGGATTATTCTCTTTGTCCAAGCTTACATCGCTTGTATTATCCGTCTGTCCGAAGTTGGGTTCCTTATTTACATCATCCATTACTAAAACCTTGATCTCGTTAGAAAGTTTGGAATTATTTAGATGTGATGAATTGAAAAACTTAATAGAGATTGACCACGACAAGAAGAGTTGGGATGCTGTCTTCCCAAAATTAAAAGAGCTCACTGTAGACTCCTGTGAACATCTGGAGTACATGCTTGGCCCATATCATCAGAGGATTCGTATCCTTCTCCCATCATTGGAAATTCTCGGACTTAGGAATTTATCCAATTTTATCAAATTAAACTCTTCTTCACAGACTTTAAAGGAGTTGAAAGATAGTTACGTGAATTCAGAGAATTCTTTCACTTTCCAAAATCTTAAGAAAGTGGAGATAATGAAATGTGAAAGATTGGAAGCAATTTTTCCTGCATCTTGTTTGAGATATAACCTACCAGAATTAGAGGTTCTGTGTATAATAGAATGCAACGAATTAAAGCAGATCATTGAAGAGGAAAACACAGAGAATCAGAATTTGTCAAATTTTCTACAGCCACAGCCATGCTTCCCAAAACTAAAAATGCTGTTTATTCAAAATTGCAACAAGTTGAAACGTTTCATCTCTGCATCTAAATGTGATCTTCCCAAACTACAGTTTCTAATCATAGGGGAAGCCTCTGAGTTAGAAGAACTAATTGGAGAAGGTGACGTGATAGGGAATGCGAAACTTGAGCTTCCAAAGCTGAATGCTTTAATATTTTGGAAATTGACAAAATTTCGCCAAGAGATTGAATCACATGTTGAGGTGGATCGTGTTGTCCATGATTGTCCAATTCTCTCGTCGACTCCAACTGCCATTCTTAAAGAACTCTTGTCAAAAATAGAAGGTAAACACTGCATTATTTGATAATGACATGGTAACCTGGAGTCATCCACAAAGTAAAATTAATAACCAACTGATTTTATAAAACGTAATCATTCCACAGGTAAAGTGTTTTTCCTCATTTTGAAAATAATTTGCATTTCCTCTCTACATAATACTTACAAGTTGATTACTTATTTCAAATCTCTTGCCAAACACCTAAATAAAAATATGCACTGCGATTTTCTCAACAAACGCTAAGAGACTAGGTTGTTATACTTTTTTTTTAATATCAAAACTACGTAAAATCATACTTCACCTTTTGTTGAGACAATATCAATTACCCAAATTAAAGTTGCATCTTCATTCAAGTTTCAACGTCAATTCTTAATGTATATTTTTTTGTTATAGATGATGTAATAAGAGAGTGTGATCTCTCAGACGAGATAGGGGAATCTCTTTTTAGAATGTTGTTGGATATAGAAATAGAGTATTTTCTTTATACAAGTTCATCGGATGAAGAGACTACATCGGGAGACACTGGCATTGAAGATCTGGGCGAAGCCACCGTAGATTCTTCAGATGACCCTAAATCTCGAAGAGCATCAGGAAGTGGGTCGCCTTCTTCACAAGTGAGTTATGCCAGCTGAACTCAAACACACGAATCAGTGAGCTTCTTAATAGGCATGACGAATTGACTCGAGAACTTTGCATGATAAAGAATGAACTCAAGAGTCTTAATGACTTTGTCGACCTGACAAAATGTTTCCGTTTTTTGTGATTTGAAAGTGCTCCTGGTTGTGTGAATTTTATATATGTAAATTGTCTTTGTGTTATTTACAATTTTAAAACCAAGACTTTAGTTTGAGTTTATGTTACTGATTGTACTTTCAGCCAGCGATTTAACTCTGTTAGGTAGGCTTCTGTGACAATGATTATTATTATTATTATTCATTGGCTGGAAACAGTTCAGCTCTTTATTTTGATTGTTCTAGCAAGCGATTTAACGTTGTTATGTAGCCTTCTCACAATTATTATTATTATTATTATCCATTTGCTGGAAACAGTTCAGTTCTTTCTTTTTCTATTGGAGGCATTAAAGTTGTAAACTAGGTCTCAAGAAGCTAAAGCTGTATATCAGTTCTCTTGAAGCTAACCTAAACTTTGCACCAAAAAAAGTTATTTTGTAAAATCAATTCTCTTTTAATATAATAGTTTTTAAAACTTTAAGATCCTTGCATGAAACTGTAATATGAAATTCAGTGAGAAGAGAATAACAAATGTCCTTTAGGAGTATGATGTTTACATTTTCATTGCTTGAAATATTTCTCATTCTATTTAAATGTATATATTATTTTCATAGTAAAACATAAAACTTGAAATTGCGACCTTTTAAACTTCTCTAAAGTGAAAGATAATATAAAATTAAAAAGTGAGAATTTATTTTTCATTGACTGAAATATAAATATAATTGACTTAAAATCATGTCAAAAATATATTTTTACTTTATAATTTTTCTCACTTTAGAAGAGTCAAATTCATCTTATTGATGCATCAGCATAATCTTCATTTTAGCTAAAATTTTTAATAAATACTTATAAAAATAAAATAAATCAAACTCTTCTCATAAATTAAAATTAATTTTTATATATTCAATTTATTAAAAATTCTTTAATTTTAACTTCTCTAAACTTGAGAAAAATAAATTATTTTTAACTTATAAGAATAATTTTATTCATCTTTTTATGATACTTTTCTTCTCTTCTCCTCGTAACTTATCTGTAAGTACAGTCAAATTAGGCCATTGTCAATTTAAATATATCTCTGTGAATCAATCTCTTACCTTTTATGAGTTCTGAGAATGGTTTCTTTTTATAACTGCTTAACTTTCTTCGCTAATAGCTGATTGAGCATTGGTCATTGCTCTTGTTTCCAAAATTTCGTGCCAAAGAATTTTATGGATGAAGCTTAACCAAAGGGAGCAATTTTGAAGGAAGGATCAGTATCATTAGGAAGCATTTTTCAAGAAGAAGAGAAGAAACGCATAACAGAGAAACTAGAGAATACAAAAGGGAAATTGAAAATGTAAGGAAAGACAAGCCTCAAATGATGGAAGATAAATGGTCAGCTCTATGTGACCAATTTGATTATCACTGCATTGTTGCTAGAAATCTCTCTAGAAGTCATTAACAAATTATCAATCTTGTATCTAATAACAAAATAATAGTCAATAAGACGACCGACACTTTAGTTATTTTAGAATGAATAAGATAATGACACTTTAGTTATTTTTATAACATTTTAACTCTTTATTTTTCATGCTTTCTTATCATATTATATAGTTTTCTTTTTTCTTCTATTATTTTTCATTAATTAAGAATATATAATATTTATCTTTCTATTAGTTATTAGAAAAATAAAAACAGTCAACTTTATAGATAATATCACAAAATTATGTTATTCTTATAATAAAATTTTATTATGTTACTTATCATTATACCTATGTATTCTATAATAATAGACGAAGACAAGACTTGCTTTTCTGTTTTAGAATAACGAATCATTGTCGTAGATACGGAATGAGAGTCTTCAATTAGTCACATTCCTTAAACGAATGTCTTGAAGTAAAATAAATTTGCTTCTTCCTCTCTCTTCTCTCTTATCTTCCCACCACTTCCCTGCTCTCTTCCTCTCCCTGACTTCTTCTTCGTATCAAATGTATGATTGATCTTTCTTTTTTTAAATTCTTAACTGAGTTTTTACTCACTCAAAGTAGTAAGATTTCATTTTATTTTATTTATCTCCTTTAATTCTCGTTTGATTTTCCCAAAAAACGATTACTTGAGATCTTGCAATTCTAGCTTCCATTTTGGTCCCTTGTTCTATTTTCTCCTTTTCAGATGATCCTTTGTCTGGAAAATGTTTCTTATGATTTTTCTCTCAAAAAAAAGTTTTTTTTTTTCTTGGGTCTTGACAAGCTGTTTGGTCCCTGTTTAGGTGTAGTTGGGGAAGTTTGACTTGGGAAATGAACAAAGGACAGTCACCGGAGCCTCTTGATTTCTTCATGTGGACTGTAGAGGTTAATCATTTCTTACCCTCAGTCAATTGATTATATATTTTTAATTAAGAAAAACTCTGGCATGTGACCCCCTTTATGTGATTTGTACTTTTGACATGTAATTACTCTCTTGCAACTGTTAATTTAAATAAATTCATTGGGTGGATTACTTAAACTTCTCCATGCGAGTGTAGGTTTTGATTCTCATTTGCTTCTGTAACTTTCTGATAGAGTGACATGTCTGGTCGTCTATGATCGTGTCATTTTTTAAAAACTTTTTGTGTTGGAACTTGGAATTTGATAGCTGCTATGTTGTTGAAGAGTAATTAGCAAATTAGTGTTACAGCTGTTGTATTATTCCGATTTGTTCCAATTCCTCTTAATTCATACAATTTTGAAATAGAAAGTTTTGTTCTTATTTCTTACACTTCACAACTCACAAGACATAAGGCTTAGCTTAACAAGCAAAAGCTGTGATTAAAGTTGTTCTTATTCGTTGGGAAGTTGAAATTTATATCCTCTTTCAAGTGGGAAATTTTGGTGGATGATATTGAAGTCCTCAACTCAGAAATAAGTAGCTAATCGAGCTTGTGCTTGCACTGTTTCATTTAACTGTGAATCTCATCACCTCACTTTTATGGTTACAAGTTATCTGGTATTTTAATTAAGCTTCCAATGCTTGCCAGATAACTTTGTTCAATTCTTCAGTTTGACCCTCACAGTTTCTTACTTCATTCAAAAGCCAGGGATATAACATTATAACATTAATCATGCAATACTTTATCTAAGATTGTTTTGATCACAAAAATGTTATTCCTACCACTCCTTTTACTTTGCGTATATTTGTCTCTGAAATTATATATTTTTGAGATAGTTTATATTAATCAAGAAAAGTTAAAAATATTTAATTTTTATCTTTACAATACCTTAGCTGAACTAAATGCACTTCATGAAAGGATTATAATTTTTTTTAAAAAAAATAGTTCAAAAAAAAATGTTATAGTTTTTGAATAAAAGTATATTTAATTTTTAAATAGTAATAGTAATAATATTCCATGTTAAATAACCCATACAAATGATATTTGATCGGTGAATTGAACTAGAATACATGCTTTTAATTATACAACTACTTATCTTATAGAATGTCATCTAAGATGTAGATATAGTAATATTTTTAAAATTAAATCTTATAAATATAATACTTAATAGTTCATAAAATTTATTGAACATAATTATATATTCAAATATAAAGTGGCTACTAAAATAATTATTTCCAAAATTTAATTGAAATAATAAATATACCATAATAAAATTAATTCAAAAAATTAGTATAATATTATCTTACAATTCATTTAATTATTTTATATTTTTAAACATTATATAGACAATTATGTATCAGTAGTCTTGAATTTCATTGCTTTGCTCCCTATGCTAATGTTAACAATGAAGCATAAGAATACAACAACAGAATAACAAATATTTTTAAACTCTCGTATAAAAGTTATGTTCTCACCTGTGTATTTACAAATACCCTCGTTACATATTTTTATTATTACTATGCTAAAAAGTCAAAAGAGAGGATGTGATCACACGCAAATGAGAGTTTAATGTCTATTGCTAAATTTATAATGAATTTTTTTTTTTTAATGGAAGTTGAGTTTAACTTTTTAAATATATTAATTCTTTATGTGCAACTCTATAGATTAATCTAATATTTTATTAAAAAGTTTAAGATAAATATTTTATATTTAATATTATAATTAATGAACTAAATATTATTTATTAATTTTAAAATATCACAAATTTTATTGATTCAATATAACTTAGTTCATGTTATTTTCTCGATATTTGAGTAATTTTTTTTAAGATAAACTAGTTTACTAAGTCATGTAGTGTATTAAAGGACAAATTTTGTATTTTTGTAAATAATTATATATATCATAAAATTATTTTAAAAATTTTTTTTGAAAATTTTATTTTAACTTAACTCTATAACTATAATTAGTATATATTAAAATTATAAAGATTTAATAAAATTAAATAACTTTAAAATATAATTTATTTTAAAATAATATCTTTGTATAGTATCAATTTTTTTATTAAATATATATTAACAAAACATTTAAGAGATAAAACTCTTAAAGTTAACTCTAAATTTGAAAAAATAGAAAAAAAATTAAATTGATTATTATAAATATAAAAATATATATTCACAAAAAAAATATAAAAATTTACATAAGATAATAAAAAAATTAAATAATAATTTTAATCTCTAAATTTTAGAATGAAATTAACAAAACTGTAGTTAAAAAATAAAATCATTATAGTCCTAATTTAAATACAGTCAATGAATTTTAATATTAAAATACACATGTAATGAACCGTAAAATAGAATCACTTTTATTAATGTTTCAACTTCTTAAATAGTTTACTTTCATTTTAATTTTGTTATATAAAAAAAGGTTTAATTTAAATCACGCTCATTTTCTCACATAATTTATTTTATATATAACTTTTATCCTTATGATTACTTTACTACCAATAAAACTTGATGACATGAACATCTCATGTAATAACTATGATGACTTCAAGTTAAAGAAAATATCATTATCATATTACGAATGATTTATGACACTTATTTAACAATTTATGAATCTTCTACACGATTAATTATCATATCACAAAATTATTATTTATGGTATTTTTTATTATAACATTTTGAAAAAAAAAAACTTCTAAAACAAATTTGAAATGTTGAGAACACAAAAACTTGAATAACATATGGGGTAAATTAATGGAAAAATAAAATAATAAATTAAACATTTTAGAAAAACAAATGATTAAGGTAAAAAAATGTCTAGTAAAAACAATTTAATATTTAAACATAGTTAAATTCTCATAATTTTACATATATGAGGAAGCTTTTGGTTGGTTTGAAGAACATGATTCCACTTGTACTTTTTTTAGAGATTGCAAAGTTGTGTGCCATTAACCGTTTGATCTTCTTTTTCTGTGTTTTATTATATGGCTTAAGTATTAATAATAATAATAAAAAGAGAATTATTTCATATCTTTAACCCTCACATTCCTTCAACAAATCTGGAGCACATATTTTCGTGGGTTTCTAATTAATCATAGCATCTTCATGACTCTTTTGTTCAGGTTAAGTAAACTTTAAAGTGAACTAAATTGATGGACTTGCTTTTGGGATTTTTGTCTTCTATTTCAAGAGATTTGGCGTGCGGAGTAGTGAATCAACTACGTTATCCTTGTTGTTTCAACAAATTTGTTGATGAACTTGAAAAAGAAGAAGGCAATTTGATTGCCACAAGAAATACTGTACAAGACCGTGGTGCACATGCCCAGAAACAAGCGAGAAAGTCTACTGAAGTTGTTGAAAAGTGGCTGAATGATGCTAACATTGATGTAGAAAAAGTGAATCAACTGCTAACAGAGGCAAGAACCAAAAAGACTTGGTGTTTTGGGCTTTGTTCAAATTGGATTTGGCGATACCAATTAGGAAAGAAGTTAGCAAGTAAAAATGAGGAGCTTAAAGAATGCACTGAAAAAGGTAGACAATATATACAAATTGAACGCATTGCTACACTTCCTTCCACTAAGCTTGGTTTTCTCTCAGAAAATTGTTTGAATTTTGCAAGTAGAAAATCTGCTAATGAACAGCTGATGGAGGCAGTGAAAGATGATCAGGTTGGCATGATTGGATTGTTTGGGATGGGTGGTTGTGGTAAAACCACGTTGGCAATGGAAGTTGGGAGGGTAGCAGAGGCAGAACATCTCTTTGACAAAGTTCTTTTTGTACCTGTCTCTAAAACGGTAGAAGTTCAAAGGATCCAAGAAAAAATTGCAAGCTCACTTCAGTATTCAGAAAACGAAGAAATTGAGAGAGCCCAACGCTTATTCCATAGAATAAGACATGAAAAAAGGATTCTGGTGATTCTAGATGATGTGTGGCAGAGGCTTAATTTTAGAGCCATAGGGATTCCCCCTCATGAAGATCATAAAGGTTGTAAGGTTCTCATCACCACTCGATATGGAAATGTTTGTCAAGGAATGAATTGTCAAAGAACGGTTCAATTACAAATACTGAGCAATGACGAAGGGTGGATTCTTTTCCAACAGCAAGCAAATATATGTGAGGAAGCTTCCAGTCCCTTGAAATTGGCAAGAGACATTTCAGATGAATGCAAAGGATTGCCTGTTGCCATTGCAGCTGTGGCTGGCTCTTTGAAAGGCAAAGCTGAAGCTGATTGGAAGGCAGCTTTGAATAGATTGAGAAGTTCGATACCAGTGAACATTGAAGAAGGTTTGCAAGATCCTTACAAGTGCCTCCAATTAAGCTATGACTATTTGGACACCGAAGAAACCAAGTCTCTTTTGTTGTTGTGTTCTGCATACGCCGAAGATTATGAAATACCAGTTGAAGAATTAACCAGATATGCTGTAGGTCTAGGCTTAGGTGGAGAAGTTGGCTCATACGATGCAAAAAGAAATGAGGTAACTGCAGCTAAAAATAAGCTCATAAGTTCTTGTTTGTTGATAGCTGTTGAGCCAGGGAATCGTGTCAAAATCCATGACTTAGTTCGCGACGTAGTCCAATGGATTGCGAAGCATGGGAATAAAGATGTGAATGAATACCCTCCACCAAGATACCTATGGTGTGAGGAATTTCCAAATGAACTTGACTGTTCCAATCTTGAATTTATAAGGACACAAACAAACGTGGAAGCATTGGATGAAATATTCAGAAGAATGAGAAAACTCAAAGTTTTGATTCTAGAAAATGTGGGGTCCCAGAAGCAATTGTCGATGATGTTAGTCAAATCGTTGACAAATCTTCGTTGTCTAGCCCTCGAAGAATGGGAATTAAGCGACATCTCAATTGCAGAAGATAAATGGAATCTTGAAGGTCTTGCATTGATTAGCTGCTCGTTCCAGTTCCCTAAATTATTAGACGGTGTTTTAGCTAAAGAATTGACATATTTGAAATGGTTAGAGATAAAAGATTGTGGCATGGAATGGAGTACTTTTGAAGTGATCATAAGACTACCACAACTGGAAGAATTGTACATCGTCGACAAAGGAATAAGAAGTGTTGTTTACTCTGAAAACTTTGACAAGTTCGTTGTTCCACAGAGACTGCAATGGTTTGGCATCGAATTTGGAATACGATATTTTCCTATAATTTCCACTGATGACCGAGCTTTGTTGGTCAGTGAGTTTCGCATGTCAAATGAAATTATCAAGGGTTTTGCCAGAAAAGCTGAGACTTTGGAACTGTATTTTATGACCGGATGTGAGAAAAATATTATCCCTGACTTATTTGAAACAGAAAGAGGAAGCTCGAACGAGTTGAAAAGGCTTAACATGTTTTATTGTAGGGAGATAAGAACCTTATGGCACGGTCTGTTGCCTTTCAGCGGGCCTTTTGAGAAACTAGAGAGCCTGTGTATAGAGTCATGTCCAAAATTAACTTCTCTGGTTGCTCTAAATGAGGTACAAATGGAAGAATTAGAAATATCAAGATATGGTCAGAGTCAAAATGAATTCGAGCGCCAGCTTCCTCTGCAATTCAATCTCTTCCAAAATCTTCAAGAAGTTACGGTAGAACGTTGCGATGAATTGAAATACTTATTCTCAATCAGCGTGGAAGGAGAGTTATCTGGATTGAAAGAGTCAGAATTAGATGAAATCATGGAGGATGAGAAGCCTCAAGTTTTTCCAAATCCTTATTTGGAATCTAATCAATATCAAAATCTGCGAGCATGTACTTCTATTGCATCAACATCATCCTTTGCCAAGCACCGAGGTACACTTTTATTCTCCATCATTATCCTGTGGTTTGATGCTGCTTGTGTTTGTGTTTAGTCTTGGTATCTACGTTTGATAAGAAACATTGAATTTAAATAAAATTAAATACATGTTTAAAAACACTTAAATTTAGAAAAATAATTATTTACTTTTTAGAAGTTCTGGAAGGAAGATTTTGGAGAATAAAAAAAGAAATAACATTTTTAATTTTAAATTAAAAAACTCCATCTTTTGATTTTTAAATTTTTCTTGTCTAACTGTGATTTTGGAAAGAAAATTAAATCTCATACAATCATATATTTACAAAATTAATTGTTTATCTGAAACATTTCATTTTCTGTTTCGGGATTATTCTCTTTGTCTAAACTTACATCGCTTCAATTATCCTTTTGTCAAAAGTTGGGCTCTTTATTTACATCATCCATTGCTAAAACCTTGACCTCATTAGAAACGTTGGAAGTGCTTGTATGTGTTGAATTGAAAAACTTGATAGATTTTGACCATGAAGAATTGGGATGCTGTCTTCCCAAAGTTAAAAAAGCTCAGAGTAAACACCTGTCACCAACTGGAATACGTGCTTGGCCCGTATCATCGGAGTATTCATATTCTTCTCCCATCATTGGAAATACGTACTTGAAAGATAGTTATGTAGATTCTAAAAATGCTTTCACTTTCCAAAAACTTTAAAAAGTGGAGATAGTGGAATGTAAAAAATTGGAAGCAATATTTCCTGCATCTTGTTTGAGATATAACCTACCAGAATTAGAGGTCCTATGCATAATAGAATGCAACAACTTAAAGCATATCGTTGGAGAGAACACCGAGAATCAGAATTTGTCAAATTTTCTACAGCCATGCTTCCCCAAACTAAAAGTGCTGATTATTAAAAATTGCAACAAGATGAAACGTTTCATCTCTGCATCTAAATGTGATCTTCCCAAACTACAGGTTCTAATCATCAGGGAAGCCTCTGAGTTAGAAGAACTAATCGGAGAAGGTGACGTGACAAGGAATGTGAAACTTGAGCTTCCAAAGCTGAATGCTTTGATATTTTGGAAATTGACAAAATTTCGCCAAGAGATTGAATCACATGTTGAGGTGGATCGTGTTGTCCTTAATTGTCCAAATCTCTCGTTGACTTCAAATGCCATTCTTGAAGAACTCTGGTCAAAAATAGAAGGTAAACACTGCATTATTTGATAATGACATGGTAACATGGAGTCATCCACAAGTAAAAATTAATAACTTCTCCTGTTACGAAACCAACTGCTTTTATAAGACGTAATCAGTCCACAGGTAAAGTGTTTTTTCTCATTTTGAAAATAATTTACATTTCCTCTCTACATAATACTTACAAGTTTACTTCTTTCAAATCTCTCGCCAAACACCTAAATAAAAATATACACTGCGATTTTCTCAACAAACTCTTAAGAGACGAGGTTATTATGCTGCTTTTTTTATTTAATATCAAAACTACGTAAATCATACTTCATCTTTTGCTGTGACAATATCAATTACCCAAATTAAAGTTGCATCTTCATTCAAGTTTCAACGTCAAATGAATTCTTAATGTATATTTTTTGTTATAGATGATGTAGAAAGAGTTTTTGATCTCTCATACGAGATACGGGAGTTGCTTTTTAAAATTAGTTCAGGGCGTGGCGGGTTGAGAACGGGAGACATTATCTTTGAAGATCTGCCGGTAGCCACTGTAGAAGATGACCCTAAATCTCGAAGAGCATCAGGAATTGGGTCGCCTTCTTCACAAGTGAGTTATGCCAGCTGAATTCAAACATATCAAAATTAAGTAGCTTACGTTTATATTGTTTTATACGATGGGATGTGAGAATTTGGTCTCTCATTGCAGACACAGGAGTCGGTTTCTGAAACAAGTTCGGAGACATTGCCTTTGAATATCTGGGAGAAGCCACCGTGTCCAGATGGCCCTATATCTCGAAAAGCATCAGAAAGTGGGTCGCCTTCTTCACAAGTGAGTTATGCCAGCTGAATTCAAACATATCAAAATTAAATATCTTATATTATAAAATTATAGAAAAAACAAGATAATGACGTGGTAGTTGATTCGCCAACAGATTTAGAATTAGCTCACTCACTCATATTTTTGTTTTACGCAATTACTCGTTAGTTCTGATTTATTATTTTCAATAGAGGTCGGATCCTGTGCCAGAAAACACTTATCAGCTTCAATTGAACCAAGAAGATACAACAACATCCATAAGTGAATTGCCTTCTTACTCATACGAGTTCTTTGAATCAGAGAGAGAAAGAAAAAGAATACCACACTTGCAACAGTTGGATAAAAAATTGTCACCCATATCTTCTCCAAACTTGACAGAGGTATATGCATTTTTCTTTTAATCTTCAGAAAAACTTTATATTAGTTAATAAATATGGAGAAAATGGAAGGGATTAATTAGGCACATTGAAAAATAGATTATTAATTAACGTAGCTTTTGGCATTGTAAAGTGTATTAAGGAAGCAGAGACAATTGGAGAAATTTTGGCACCAGGAAAACCAACAACAACTACACCTGTGTACAAAGTACATTCGCATTTAAGTTTGGCTTAAACTAGATTTTTCTATAGTGAGACTAATTAATTTCACGTTTGTTTAATATTTCAAATAGGAGTTGGTGGATGAAGGCACTGAACCTGGTTGCTTGGACCAACAACATGCGCTTGGAGAAGCAATCGTAACAACTGAAAATGCTCAAACGACTATCATACCACATGTACATTATTACAAGACAGTGGTCCCTTCAAAATTATAATTTTAAGTTAAACATCTCAAATATTTTTTTCCATTTGCGATGAACAGAGTATTAAGGACGAAGGAAAGAAAGGCATCCAAGACGAGCCAGAATCGAATGAAGATAAAATAAAAACTTTGTCAACTGAGTCTATTGACAATGTTTCTGATGATAATGTTGGGGCTCTTCCAGGTTAATGCTCTCTTACTGTCTCTTATTTTCATAGTGTATGCATATATGTCACCCTTCAACTTTTAGAATCTTTTGCAGATACTTCGTCGATCATTGCAGAATTAGGAGCATATAAGCGCCTTGTTGATCTTGATGATGCACAATTTGCTTTGCTGGCGGAGGGAATAGCAGTGTATCCTAATCTTTGGAATGTCCGTGAACAGATTAGTGAGCGCTTGAAAGCTTTGAAGTTGAAAACTTTAGTGGATATACTGGCATTCCTCAGAAACGAGAGTGCAGTTAGCGTTACTCCTCAGAAGGAAAAGGAGTTCCATATACTATGCAATGATGCTATTCAACTTGGATTTGAGAGGTCGTGGATTGATGAAATGCATCGACGAGTTGCAGAAAGGGACCCAAAGCTGAGCCATGCACAAGCACGAATCAGTGAGCTTCTTAATAGGCATGACGAATTGACTCGAGAACTTTACATGATAAAGAATGAACTCAAGAGTCTTAATGACTTTGTCGACCAGACAAAATGTTTCGACTTTTTGTGATTTCAAAGTGCTTCTGCTTGTGTGAATTTTATATGTCTTTAAAAGTAAATTGTCTGTGTGTTATTTACAATTTTAAAACCAAGACTTTGAGTTTGATGATATTGATTGTTCTTTGGACAAGAAGCGTAGCCTTCTGTGACAATTATTATTATTATTACTATCCATTTTTTTTAAAATAGCTCAGTTCTTTCTTTTTATATTGGAGTCATTAAAGTTGTAAACCACGTCTCTTGAAGCCAGAGTTGTAAACTAGGTCTCTTGAAACTAACCTTAACTTTGTAACAAAAAAAGTAATTTTGTAAAATCAATTCTCTTTAATATAATAGTTTTTAAAACTTTAATATTGTTAGTTAAGCTGTTATACGTACTATAAGAAATAAAATTAAGTATTTTTTTAATATTAATTATAAGAAACATAAAATAAATTTAAAATATATTAATTGTTAAATTTTTTATACCTTTTTTTATTATTAAATATATATTTAATATCATAAATATTTTAAAAATAAAATTTATATTTATAATAAATATAATTGATTTAATTATTTTCGCTAGTCTTAGTAATTTAGAGTATGTTTGTTTTAATTTTTAAAAAAGAGTTTTCTCTTTTTAAAAACAAAAAAATACACTTATTTTCAGTTTTTAAAAAGAGAAATATTTTTTTTAAAAAACCAAAACAAACATGTTCTTAATTTTTTGTTCTTGTTAGGAGTTTTTTACATAAATAAAAAAATAATTTAATATTATATATATACACTAAAATAAAATATTTAACATAAATATCTTAATTTAAATTACATTAAAACTAATTAAAATTAACTTCAACATTAATACACAAAGTTAAAGCGTTTGAATCTATTGGCTTCTATAACTTCTCAAGTGCACTTCTTAAACCTAATAATGTCAGTAAATTTATTCTTTTCAAAATATTAAAATTAATGAATTTTATCAACTAATCTTAATAAAATTTTATTAAAAATATTCATTATATTTTTATCTTTATTATAACAAAATTAATTATTATGATGTTTGAGTTGAAAATGTTTATAAAGGTGAGATTTTTGTGTGATGATTATGGTTTTAGTGTAGTGGGATAGGTAGGTTTTCATTTGGGATTTTCGAACAACATTAATCTTGAGCCAGGAAGGTGTATGAGAACATATGAAACATAGTGAACAGAGGATGTTATTATTCAAGAAAGCTTGTGGAAGGCCAATCAGGCCATGCCATCATCGAGACCCCTCCTTCTGCTACTATTACTACAACTACAAATATCACTTTTTCTTCTTCAAAGATCATGCATAATAACAACAACACAACGGTGTCCAGAAGCACCACATTCAACAGCTTCACCTTTGCACAACACCAACTTAAATATATGCACCCTCTTACATCTAATATTTTTGTGCTTAATAACATTAATAGGTGAGTGATTAAGTAAACAAAGAAAAAGAATATTTTTTTTCTTTTAGTTTATTGGTAAAGCATCTAACGTTTATTCCATAAATTTTTCAATTTTAGATAACATACGCAAAATTTATGCTTATCTTTTTAATATTTAGTTTGAAAGTATAAGGACAAAACTAAAAATTCTTTAGTTATGTATACATTCGTCGTAGTCTATAATTTAAAATGTATATCGATATTATAATCAACTTCTTCGTTAAGTTGTGAAAATTGATTTAAATCAATTCTCATATATAATTAAAGTTTATTATAATTGATTTATTTGTTATGTTGTAAGAAATAATTTAAATTAATGTATTTTAATATTAAAGTTAATTTTAATGGACTTTTTATGTAATTTAAATTAGGATATTTATATTAAAAAAATTTATTTTGGTTTATACACATAATATTTAATTATTTTTATTTTATTTATGTAAAAAACCATGTAAATAGGATAGAATAAAGGATTACTTATTAAGATAAATTCTTGCATGAAACTAGTATGAAATTAAGTGAGAAGAGAATAATAAATGCCCTTTAGGAGTGGGCTGTTAATATTTTCATTCATTGCTTGAAATATTCCTCATTCTCTTTAAATGTATATATTACGGGAACATTTTCATCTTAAAACATAAAACTTGAAATGAGCTTTTGAACTTCTTACTTCTCTGGCGAAGAATTGATTCTTACTTCATAATTTTCCTCATTCTAGAGTTGTCATTTTGGATAAATTTTTTAATAAATACTTATAGGAGTAAAATAAAATTAAAAATTATTTATATTAATCTATTATTTAGAAGCTCTTTAATTTTAACTTCTTTAAAACTGGAGAAAAATAAATTATTTTTAAGAAACTAGAAAGTACAAAAGGAAGAGTTAAAGTGTAAAGAAAGACGAGGCTCAAATGATGGAAGATTCGACAAAAAATATTTGAAGTCAGTTATAAATGGTCAGCTCTATGTAAACAATTTGATCACCGCAGCATTGTTGCTAGAAATCTCTCTTAAAGGTTTAATTTTTTTTCTTAAAACATCAAAATTTACTATGTTTGAAAGCAACTGCATTAATAATTGTTTGCTCAAATTTTCTATATCTTTTGTGCAGTGTATATATCAATTAATGGAAAATTTTCACTTAAGCTTGGTCTTCTTGTTTCACATGAAACCACTTCAACTTCTGTGGTCGCAAAGAAACAGAGAAGGGCAAAAGGCCTGTTGGAGGGGACCCACAAAAATGAAATTATAGTCTAAATTATTGTTCACAATTCATAAACATAGAGTTTCAAGAGGGCCTAGGCTTTGAAGGTGCAGTCACGGGTTTGGGCTTTGAAGGAGGAGTAGCGGGCTTGGTTAACCAAATGGTGTAGAGCAACTGTTTGTGATGCAATGGAGTCAAACAGGTTAATGCAAAGCAATCAATTTTCAGAGCTGGAGAGATTATTTTGTCGGCGGATGGTCCCACCTACAGGTTATTATTTTTACCCTGAAGATTTCTTCCTCTCTTCTCTCTTATCTTTCCACTACTTTTCTTCTCTCTCTTCCTCTCCCTCACTTCTTCTTCCTATCAAATCTATAATTTATCTTTCTTTTTATTATTCTCAACCGAGTTTTTACTCACTTAAAGTGGTAAGATTTTATTTTATTAATCTCCTTTAATTCTCCTTTTCAGATCGACCCTTTATCTGGAAAAAGTAGCTTATGAATTTTCTAAAAAAAAAAAAGTTTTTTTTTTAGGTTTTGAGAAGCTGTTTGGTCCTTGTTTAAGTGTAGTTGGGGAAGTTTGATTTGGGAAATGAACAAAGGACAATCGCCGGAGCCTCTTGATTTCTTCATCTGAACTGTGGAGGTTAATCATTTCTTACCCTCAATCACTTGAAGTATATATTTTTAATTAAGAAAACCTCTGGCATGTGACCCCCTTGTATGTGATCTGTACTTTTAATATGTAATTAAGTCTCTAGCAATTGTTAATTTAAAATAAATTAGTTGGGCGGATTACTTTAAACTGCTCCATGCTAGTTTGGGTTGTGATTCTCATTTGCTTCTGTAATTTTCTGATAGAGTGATATGTCTGATCGTACATATAGGAAATATTTTTTTATTTTTAAAAATATATATTGACATATGACACAAAAGAAAAGATATTTTAATAAAATTATAAATTTAAAAAATTTTGTCATTTTAAAGTGTTAGTGATAATTTTATTTTTTTACAAACTAGTTCATAAGATAGGTGAAACATGATAAAATCTTAATAATTTTATATAATAAAAATATGTTTTTTTTATAAATTTTTTAATTAATAGATATTTAAACTAAGGTTAACAAAATTTTAATACTATATTTTTTAATATACATTTTAAATATATTTGTAGTTATTAATTATGTTAATTAAAAATTATGTAAATTTTAATAATTTATTTTTAAATTAAATATTATATTTTTTATTTTTTAAAAAAATTAATTAAATATTAGAATATAATTTTTTTATAAACTAATTTCGTAAGTTAGGTAGAATATAATAAAATTTTAATAATTTTATATAATGAATATGTATTTTTTTTAATTTTTTAATTTATAAATATATAAATTAAGGTTAATAAAACATTATATATTTTTAATATATATTTTAAATATATTTATAGTTATTAATTATGTTAATTAAAAATTATGTAAATTTTAATAATTTATTCTTAAATGAAAATTATGAATTTTTATTTTTTAATAAATTTTAATTAAATATTAAAACACAATTTTTTTCAAACCAGTTTAAATTGATCAAAACATAATACATGATGCTGTTCTATGAGTTTTGTCTACTGTAAGGTCGAAATTCACTGACACATGGCTCAATGTGTAACAGGCGAAGACAAAACAGTTATTATTTTAAGAAATATTTTTTAAAACGTAGTAAAAAAATAAAAAAGCCCCAGACCACACCTCTCCTTTCCAGCACGCACTTGGAATCCTAAACTACCTAGGATCGGGTGAGATCATGGAGCGAGACTGTAAAATCGGTGAAATTGGATGACCTTAGTGTGCTGAAAAAACCTGATTTTTTATCCAATAACTCGTGGCGGTGCGTGGTGGTTCACGGCACTGCATGGCGGAGCAGGCTTTATCTCACAGACCTGCCAGCGTAGAACGTTTTCCTGTGACTTGCTGCAGTAGTCGCAGTCATGAGAGAAATAGGATAAAAATGTTTACTTTATCCTAAAAAATAAAGATTTTTTAAAGATAAAAAGACTTTTCATCTTTAAAAAATAAATTAACTTTTTTCTTTTGTTCTTGGTGGAATAAAAATGTTGTCCTTTTTTTTAAATAAAGTAGTTTTTAGATTTTTTTTAGGGTAAGAAAGATTATTTTTTAAAAATAATTTGACTTTTCTTTTTCTCTTAAAATACTCTATTTTTTTTAGGATAAATTTTTTTCCTTTTCTGTTGGATAAAAAGTTGTTGAAGATGTAATTAGCAAATTAGTATTACAGCTGTTGTATTTTTCCGATTTGTTCCAATTCCTCTTTTAATTCATACAAGCAAAAGTTGTGATGTGATTAAAGTTGTTCTTATATGTTGAAAAGTTGAAATTTAGGGTTTAGGGTTTATATGGTGGATGATATTGAAGTCCTCTACTCACAAATAATTAGGTAATCAAGCTTGTGCTTGCACTATTTCATTTAACTGTGAATCTCATCACCTCACTTTTGTTGTTTACAAGTTATCTGGTATTTTAATTAAGCCTCCAATGCCTGCCAGATAATTTTTTTCAATTCTTCTAACATTATAAAATTATTCATGTAATACTTTATCTAAGCTTGTTTTGATCACAAAAATGTTAGTTTTACCGCTCCTTTTACTTTGAATATTATTTCTCTCAAAATTAAAAATTATATATTTTTTAGTTAGTTTATATTAATCAATAGAAGTTTAAAATATTTAATTTTTATCTTTACAATAACTTAGCTGAACTAAAAATGCACTTCATTAAGGATTATAAAAAAAATGAAAATAAAATAGTTCAATTTTTAAACATTATATTTTTAAACATTATAACGACAATTACATATCAGTAGTCTTGAGTTTCAGTGCTTTGCTCCCATTGACAGTGTTAACAATGAAGCATAGGAATACAGCAACAACAGACCAACAAATATTCTTAAAAGCTCATATAAATATTAAGTTCCAGAGAGCACATAATGAGAGATTAAAATTATATAATTGAGATTAGAGCAAAAAATTATATAATTGAGGGTGAACGTGGCAATAAAATTTGTGTATTTACAAATATCCACACAAAAATTCTTTATTATTACTATGCTACATTTAAAACGAGACTTTAATGTCTATTGCTAAATTTAAAACGATTTTTTTTTTTAATGAATGCTGAGTTTAACTTTTTCAATATATCTATTTTTTGTGTGCAATTCTATAGATTATTTCAATATTTTATTACAAATTTTAATATAAATATTTTATATTTAATATTATAATTAATGAACAGTAAATGTTATTGATTAATTTTAAAATATCATAAATGTCATTGATTCAATATAACTTAGTTCATGTTATTTTCTTGATATTTGAACAAACTTTTTTTAAAATAAACCAGTATACTAAGTCACGTTCTGTACAAATATTTTATTTTAGAATAAATGTATAAATAATGTAATAATTAAACAACAAAATTTGTATTTTTGTAAATAATTATATATATATAATAAAATTATTTTAAACAATAATTTTTTTAAAATATTTTAACTTAACTCAATAAATATAATTAGTACATATTAAAATGATAAGGATTTAATAAAATTAAATAAATTTAAAATATAATTTATTTTAAAATAATATCTTTATTGAATAATGTCAATTTTATAATTAAATGTTAATAATTAATATATATTAATAACAATAAATTTAAAAGATAAAACTATTAAAGTTAACTCTACATTTGAAAAAATAGAAAAAATTAATATAATTATTATAAATATAAAAATATGTATTCAAAAAAATATAAAAATTTATATAAGATAATAAAAAAATTTAAATAATAATTTTAGTCTCCAAATTTTGAAATGAAATTAACAAAAATATGATTAAAAAGTAAAATTATTACAATAAAAGATTGTAATTCAAACACGGTCAATTTTAATATTAAATATATGTAAAATAGAGTATTTTTACTAATGCTTTACTTCTTAAATAATTTATTTTTATTTTTATTTTATTATATAAGAAAAATAAATTTAATCTAAATCACGTATACTTTCTCACATGATTTATTTTATATATTACTTTTATCTTTAGGATCATCTTATTATTAATAAAATTTGATGAGATTAATTTCTCACCTAATAATGATGACGATTTCAATTAAAAAAACTACGTATACTATTATCATAAGAACAATTTATAATACTTATTTAATAATTTATGTAGTTTTTTCATAATGAATTAGTCTAGTATATCACAAAATTATTATTTATGGTAATTTTTATTGTAATATTTTGAAAAAATAAAACTTCTAAAAAAAATTCAAAAGCTTGAGAACACAAAAACCTGAATAACATATGGGGAAAAATACTGGAAAAATAAAATAATAAATTAAAAAATTTAGAAAAACAAATGATTAAGGAAAAAAAAAGTCTAATAAAAAAACTTTAATATTTAAACATAGTTAAATTCTCATAATTTTACATATATGAGGAAGCTTTTCGTTGGTTTGAAGAACATGATTACACTTGTACTTTTTATAGAGATTGCGAAGTTGCGTGTCATTGACCCTTTGATATTTTATTACTTGGCTTAAGTAATAATAATAATAATAATAATTAAAAAAAAGAAAGAATTATTTCACATCTTTAACTCTGACATTTCTTTAACAAAGATGGAGCACATATTTTCGTGGGTTTCGAATTAACCATAGCATCTTCATGACTCTTCTGTTCAGGTTAATTAAACTGCACAGTGGACTAAATTGATGGACCCGGTTTGCGGATTTTTGTCTGCTATTTCAAGAGATTTGGTGTGCTTAGTAGTGAATCAACTACGTTATCCTTGTTGCTTCAACAAATTTGTTGCTGAACTTGAAAAAGAAGAAGGCAATTTGATTGCCACAAGAAATACCGTCCAAAACGGTGTTGCACGAGCCGAGAAAGAAGCGAGAAAGCCTACCGAAGTCGTTGAAAAGTGGCTGAGTGATGCTAACAATGACGCAGACAAAGTGAATCAATTGCTAACAGAAGCAAGAACCAAAAAGACTTGCTGTTTTGGGCTTTCTTCAGATTGGATTTGGAGATACCAGTTAGGAAAGAAGTTAGCAAACAAAAAGGAAGAGCTTAAAGAATTCATTCAAGAAGGTAAAAGATATGCACCACTTGAACGCATTGCCACACTTCCTTCCAGTACGCTTGGTTTTCTCTCAGAAAATTGTTTGAATTTTGAGAGTAGAAAATCTGCTAATGAACAGTTGATGGAAGCACTGAAAGATGATCAGGTTGGCATCATTGGATTGTTTGGGATGGGTGGTTGTGGTAAAACCACTTTGGCAATGGAATTTGGGAGGATATCAGAAGCAGAACATCTCTTTGACAAAGTGCTTTTTGTGCCTGTCTCTAAGACGGTGGAAGTTCTAAGGATCCAAGAAAAAATTGCAAGCTCACTTCAGTTTACATTTCCAGAAAATGAAGAAATTGAGAGAGCTCAACGCTTATTCCATAGATTAAAACAAGAAAAAAGGATTCTTGTGATTCTAGATGATGTGTGGCAGAGGCTTAATTTTAGAGCCATAGGGATTCCCTCTCATGAAGATCATAAAGGTTGTAAGGTTCTCATCACCACTCGATCTGAAAATGTTTGTCAAGGAATTAATTGTCAAAGAACGGTTTCATTACAAATATTGAGCAATGACGAAGGGTGGATTCTTTTCCAACAGCAAGCAAATATATGTGACGAAGCTTCCATTCCCCTGAAATTGGCAAGAGACATTTCAGATGAATGCAAAGGATTGCCTGTTGCCATTGCAGCTGTGGCTGGCTCTTTGAAAGGCAAGGCTGAAGCTGATTGGAAGGTAGCTTTGAATAGATTAAGAAGTTCGATACCAGTGAACATAGAAGAAGGTTTGCAAGATCCTTACAAGTGCCTCCAATTAAGCTATGATTATTTGAACACGGAAGAAACCAAGTCACTTCTATTGTTGTGTTCTGCATATCCCGAAGATTATGAAATACCAGTTGAAGAATTAACCAGATATGCTATAGGTCTAGGCTTAGGTGGAGAAGTTGGCTCATATGATGCAAAAAGGAATGAGGTAACTGCAGCTAAAAATAAGCTCATAAGTTCTTCTTTGTTGATAGCTGTTGAACCAGGGAATCATGTCAAAATGCATGACCTAGTTCGCGACGTAGCCCAATGGATTGCGAAGCATGGGAATAAAGATGTGAATGAATACAGTCCACCAAGATACCTATGGTGTGAGGAATTTCCAAATGAACTTGACTGTTCCAATCTTGAATTTATAAGGACACAAACAAACGTGGAAGCATTGGATGAAATATTCAGAAGAATGAGAAAGCTCAAAGTTTTGATTCTAGAGAGTGAGTGGTCCGGGGAGCCATTGTCGATGATGTTACTCAAATCGCTGACAAATCTTCATTATCTAGCCCTTCAAAACTGGAAATTAAGCGACATCTCAATTGCAGAAGATAAATGGAATCTTGAAGGTCTTGCATTGATTAGATGTTCATTCCCTATATTATTAGACGATGTTTTATCTAAAGAATTGACAAACTTGAAATTGTTAATGATAAAAAATTGTACCATGGAATGGAGTACTTTTGAAGTGATCCTAAGACTACCACAACTGGAAGAATTGTACATCGTCCACCGTGGAATAAGAAGTGTTGTTTGCTCTGAAAACTTTGACAAGTTCATTGTTCCACAGAGACTGCAACGGTATGACATCCAATTTGGAGGAGGATATTCGAGTGCTATTCCCACTCATGACCGAGCTTTGTGGGTTGATGAGTTTCCCATGTTAAATGAAATTATCAAGGGCTTTGCCAGAAAAGCAGAGACTTTGCAACTGTGTTCTATGATGGGATGTGAGAAAAATATTATCCCTGACATATTTGGAACAGAAAGAGGAAGCATGAATGAGTTGAAAGGGCTTGCAGTGTATTATTGTAAGAAAATAGAGTGCTTGGTTGAAAACGACAAGCCGGAGATAGGAAATGTCTTTTCCAATCTGATTCACTTACAAGTTGAAGGTATGGAGCAGCTAAGAACTTTATGGCACGGTCATTTGCCTCTCAGCGGGCCTTTCGAAAAATTAGAGAGTCTGGATATACATAGATGTCCAAAACTAACTTCTCTGTTTGCTCTAAATGAGCCTCCTCTGCAATTCCATTTCTTCCAAAATCTTCAAAAAGTTAGTGTAATATCTTGTGTAGAATTGAAATACTTATTCCAAACCTGCGTGGAAGGAGACTTATCTGAATTGAAAGAGTCAGAGACGACTTATTGCAGTCAACAAGATGAAATCATGGAGGATGAGAAGCTTCAACTTTTTCCAAATCCTCGTTTGGAATGTAATCAATTTCAAAATTTCCGAGCGAGTACTCTTATTCCATCAACATCATCCTTTGTCAACCCCCGAGGTACACTTTTATTCCCATCATTATCCTGTGTTTGATGCTGCTTGTGTTTGTGTTTAGTCCTCATATTTATGTTGCACTAATACCTTAACTTAGCTCAATATGCAAAGTTGTTTACGGGAGTATCTTTAAGAGAGTAATGGGATGATACAATATTACCGTAGAGTCACAAGTTTGATAAGAAACATTGAATTTAAATAAAATTAAATACATGTTTAAAAACACTTAAATTTAGAAAAATAATTATTTACTTTTTAGAAGTTCTCTTGTGTGTTTGAAAGGAAGATTTTGGAAAATAAAAAAAGATATTTTAATTTTTAAATGTTTCTTTGTCTACCCAGTATGATTTTGAAAAGAAAATAAAATCTCATACAATATTATATTTATAAAATTAATTGTTATTCTAAATCATTTTATGTTCATTTTTCAGGATTATTCTCTTTGTCCAATCTTAGATCGCTCTGTTTACTCAAATGTCTGAAGTTGGGCTCCTTATTTACATCATCCATTGCTAAAACCTTGATATCATTAGAAAGGTTGGAATTAGTTGGATGTAATGAATTGAAAAACTTAATAGACATTGACCATGACCAGAACAATTGGAATGCTGTCTTCCCAAAATTAAAAGAGCTGACTGTAATCTCCTGTGACCATCTGGAATACTTGCTTGGCCCATATCATCAGAAGATTCATATTCTTCTCCCATCATTGGAAATCATCCATCTTCAGTATTTACCGAAATTTATCAGATTAAACTCTTTGTTACAGTCATCGTCGAGAGATAGTTATGTGGATTCTAAGAATTCTTTCATTCTCCAAAATCTTAAAAAAGTGGAGATAGTGAAATGTGAAAAATTGGAAGCAATCTTTCCTGCATCTTGTTTGAGATACCTACCAGAGTTGGAGGTTCTGTGTATAATAAATTGCAACGAATTAAAGCATATCATTGAAGAGAACACAGAGAATCATAATTTGTCAAATTTTCTAGCGTCACAGCCATGCTTCCCAAAACTAAAAATGCTGATTATTGAAAATTGCTACAAGTTGAAACGTTTCATCTCTGCATCTAAATGTGATCTTCCCAAACTACAGGTTTTAATCATCAGGGAAGCCTCTGAGTTAGAAGAACTAATCGGAGAAGGTAACGTGATAGGGAATGTGAAACTTGAGCTTCCAATGCTGAAGGCTTTAATATTTTGGAAATTGACAAAATTTTGCCAAGAGATTGAATCACATGTTGAGGTGGATCGTGTTGTCCATGATTGTCCAAATCTCTCGTTGACTTCAACTGCCATTCTTGAAGAGCTTTTGCCAAAAATAGAAGGTAAACACAGCATTATTTGATAATGACATGGTAGCATGAAGTCATCCACAAGTAAAAATTAATAACTTCTTGAATGTTTTCCTTATTTTGCAAATAATTTACATTTCCTCTCTACATAATACTTACAAGTTGATTACTTCTTTCAAATCTCTTGCGAAACACCTAAATAAAAATATACACTGCAATTTTCTCAACAAACTCTAAGATACGAGGTTAATATGCTCTTTTTTTTTTTTAAATATCAAAACTACGTAAATCATACTTTATCTTTTGTTGTGACAATATCAATTACCCAAATTAATGTTGCATCTTTATTCAAGTTTCCACGTCCAATGAGTTCTTAATGTATATTTTTTTGTTATAGATGATGTAGAAAGAGAGTTTGATCTCCCATACGAGATACAGGAGGAGTTTGCTCAAACAAGTTTATGGCGTGAGGAGTCTACAACGGGAGACACTGAAAATCCGGGCGAAGCCACTGTAGATTCTTCAGATGACCCTAAATCTCGAAGAGCTTCAGGAAGTGGGTCGCCTTCTTCACGCGTGAGTTATGCGAGCTGAATTCAAACATATCAAAATTAAATATCTCATATTATAAAATTTTAGAAAATGATATGATTCTATTTACTATGCAATGATGCTATTCAACTTGGATTTGAGAGGTCGTGGATTGATGAAATGCGTCGACGAGTCGTAGAAAGGGACCCAAAGCCGGGCCATGCAAAGGCAAGAATCAGTGAGCTTCTTAACAGGCATGACCAATTGACTGGACAACTTTGCATGATAAAGAATGTACTCAAGAGTTATCAAGACTTTGTCGACCAGACAGAATGTTTGGATTTTTTGTGATTTGAAAGTGCTTCTGGTCGTGTGAAGTTTATATCTGTCTTCAAAAGCAAATTGTCTTTGTGTTATTTACAATTTTAAAACCAAGACTTTTGAGTTTGATGTTATTTATTGTTCTTTGGGCAATCGATTTAACTCTGTTACGTAGCCTTCTGTGACAATTATTATTATTATCCATTGGCTGGAAACAGTTCAGCTCTTTCTTTTGATTGTTCTTTGGGCAAGCGATTTAACGTTGTAATGGAGCCTCGTCACAATTCTTATACATTTGCTGGAAACAGTTCAGTTCTTTCTTTTTCTATTGGAGGCATTAAAGTTGTAAACGTTCTAGACTTTGAGTGAAATTGGGCAAGCGATTTAAAGTTGTAATTCCTTTTCTGTTATATTTTCCTCTTATTCTTCCTAGAGTGAAATTGGGCTCGGCCATACTGAGAAATACAGTGCTAAAGAAAGTCAAAGTCAAAGTCGTCCTATAAATATTCTAGACTTTGAGGCCAATGATCTCATCAGTGTTGTTCAACCTGCTGAGGAAGACGGTGAAGCCCAACTAACCACTTCTTCTATTTATGTTGTCGCTGGCACTGCAGAGCATCATTGCACCAAAGGTGACATAGTTGTAAAGGCCCTTGTTGAGCTGGAAGAGTGTCTAAAGATGCCTCTAAAGGACATAGCTAGCTTTGAGGCGAACAGCCTTCGCCTTTTGACAGCTCTTAACTTCTTGTCCCACCTTCCTTTGAAAGATGTTACTCTCTCAGTTGAACTTAAAGCAATTATAGACTCTATACACAAGGAGTTGCCAAGCATTCTATGTTCCTTCAAGCAAGCCTCCGCTATTACTAACAAGCTGGGAGCGCTTGAAGCTCATTGGAATGAGTCAGCTGTTACTCCTCTTTCAAAAATTTCGGAGGCAAAGAATTTTATGGATGAAGCTCAACAGAAGGAAACAGTTTTGAAGGAACGAATGGTTAGGTTGGAGAAAGAATTAAAAGATTGTCAGGCTAACCTATCATCTCTTCAAGAGGAAAAGAAGAAATGCATTGCAGAAACTATAGAGTACAAAGAGAAGATTGAAAATATGAGGCAAGACAAGTCTCAAATGATCGAAGATCAAAGAAAAGTTGGGGAAGAATTATTTGAAGTTGGTTATCAATTTGAGCACCACCGCATTGTTGCTAGAAGTCCTTCTTGAAGATTTTTCTTATTTATTGCTTTATTGAATGGTTAGATTTATTATGTTTTGAATGCTATATTATTGTTTACTCAAAGTTTATGTAGATAACGCTTGACGCAAAAAGAAAGACCTGGAACCACCATGCTTTTCAGGCTTTTGTTTATGGTACTGTATGCTTCAAAATGGTTTAAATTAATGGAAAGTTGCATTAGCATGTGTTTGGTTTTACGTTACAACGACTTGGACGTGCAATTTGCATCCCTTGTATGAGTATTTGCGCAAGTACGTGAAAAAAGACTCTCTTGTATGAACTGCCGTGGCACTTTCATTGCTGTTGAAACTGGGGCAGCCCCGGGAGATGGTTCATTTCCATATTGTCCTTGGTCATATGTGCCACGAAATGGGTATACAAGTCATTCATTTGAAGTAGTAGCCTATGTTCAATACAAATTTAGATGTATCATTCTCCTGTAGTGAACCACAGGAAGATAAACTAAGTAGACCTGACAAGAAACAAGTTGTTGTGGCAGCCAGTTTCAGAAATGGCTATGAAGAGAAGGGGTCAAAATGTGCTTCAGAGTCAGTAGTGGCTAATGGAAATGACTGCATGGGACATGGCCAGAAGCCTTCCAGCACAAACGAAGTTCAAACCAAACAGTGTTCCTATTTATTGAAATTCATAAAATTATGTGAGACTTATCAAAGAAGAATTGTAAAGTAATTTCAAGAATCTTAAAAAATTTAGTTAATAATAAAGAATGTGTTAAAAAGTATGCTATATGATAACTAAAAGTTGGGAATTAAATTTTTATTAAATTTCAAGAATCTTAGTATTAAATTTTTATTAGTGAGACAGCTATATGCAAATATGCTGGTACCACAAGGGATGAATCTTGGGAATTATGTTATATTTGGCTTATCGTTTGCAATATAGTGTAAACAGAGTTTGTGGATGTTTGACAAAATTATGGTTGAATTGTGTTTGAACATGACCTTGAATTGGGTTTGAATTTATAAAGTAAAACCCAACCAAGTTTAGATCAAGTATTGATTTAGTAACGTTTTAACTGTATTTAAATTCAATAACTGAATTAATTACATGTGATGCACAATTGATTCCTTCATCACGCTATGCTTCTTCCTTTACATTTCTTATTGAATATTAGGGTGTGTTCGGTGCATCTCTATAAATGGGACTAAAAACACTTGGGGGCAAGTTTTATATGAAAAGTTATCCTTGAATTTTTCACTGCAATTTTTTAAGGTGTAGCAAACTAATCATTAATGGTATTGCATAAACCTATAAATAAGCATCAATTTCACCTTGGAATCATAGGATAATGAGGTAATAGAGAAGAAAAGAACTTTTCAGCGATTATTATTTTTAAAAGAATTAAAATATAATTTATTACAAATTTTATAGCTTTACTTTGCAATTAAGTCATTCCATATTATCATTTCTTCTCTAAGTTTGTACATTGATTTCAAATTGTACATATCGTCGAGTGCGCATATCATAATTGTTTAGAGCCTGTCTGTTTAAATACTCTTATCGAGTTTCCACAAACTTCAATGCAAATATAATCATTGAAAATTAAATTCTGTGAAAGGAGGAAAAAACCATTTTGAAGAAACTCGTTTTTGGACTTTGAAGCCCCTTTTCCCTCTAAGTCTGCAATCGCTCCTAACTCAACTAAAAGAATCTTCAATAGCATGGATATGGTGAAGAAGGTAAGTGTACCCATTTTGCTCACTTAGTTGAAAATCTTTGGACTTGTTTAATTGCTCATAGCTCAAGCATTTGTCTTATTTCTGTTATTGCACGAGAATAAATGCTTGTAGCTATAAAAATATTTGTCTTATAGAATAATGTCATCTTAGAGGCAAGTATAACAATATTTTTAAAATTAAATATTATAATTATAATATTTAACATTCAATAGTATTATTAAACACAATTATACATTCAAATATAAAGTGGCTACTGAAATAATTATTTTTAAATTTATTTAAGTAAATAAATCATAATAAAATCAATTTAAAAAATTAGTATATTTTATTTTATAATTGATTTATTTATTTTATATTTTTAAATAAAATTGTATAAATATGGTGTTGAATTTGAGTGTTAAGTATGTAATTATATTAAATACTAAAAAAAAGTTATAATTGATATGATGGTGTTGATAATTGTGCATAAGAATATGTCAGCATACTTGTATCAAAGTATTCTTGAAATTACCTTGTGAAGGTCAAGCATTGCACAAAAACGTGTTTAGAACGTTTGATTTATTCTGAGCATTCTATTCACGGAAAAAAGATATCTGGTTCCGCTTTCACTTTTGTTTTATGACTGAAGTTAAAATGTGGAAGCATCAGATTAAATATTCAGAAGTATGAGAAAAGACAAAGTTTTGATTCTAGAAAATGTGGGGTCCCAGAAGCCATTGTCGATGATGTTACTCAAATCGTTGACAAACCTGCGTTATCTAGCCCTTGAAGAATGGGAATTAAGCGACATCTCAATTGCAGAAGATATATGGAATCTTAAAGGTCTTGCATTGATTAGCTGCTCATTCTCTAAATTATGAAACGATGTTTTAGCTAAAGAATGGACATACAAAATTGCTAGAGATAAAAGATTGTGGCATGGAATGGAGTACTTTTGAAGTGATCGTAAGACTACCACAACTGGAAGAATTGTAATAACAAGTGTTGTTTGCTCTGAAAACTTTGACAAGTTCGTTGTTCCACAGAGACTGCAACGGTATGACATCCAATTTGGAAGACGATATTGGCATAAAATTCCCCCTCATGACGGAACTTTGTTGGTATATGAATTTCACATGTCAAATAAAATTATCAAGGGTTTTGCCAGAAAAGCAGAGACTTTGGAAGTGGATTCTATGATGGTATGTGAGAAAAATATTATCCCCGACATATTTGAAGCAGAAAGAGGAAGCATGAATGAGTTGAAAGAGCTTGAGGTGTATTCTTGTACGGAAATAGAGTGCTTGGTTGAAAACGACAAGCCGGAGATAGGAAATGTCTTCTCCAATCTGATTCACTTAGATGTTGGAATTATGGCATCAGCATAATCTTCATTTTAGATAAAATTTTTAATAAATAAATATAAAAAATAAAATAAATCAAACTCTTCTAATAAATTAAAATTAATATTTATGTATTCAATTTTTAGAAATTCTTTAAATTTAACTTCTCTAAACTTGGGAAAAATAAATTATTTTTAACTTATAAGAATAATTTTATTCATCTTTTCATGATACTTTTCTTCTCTTCTGACTTCTCCTCGTAACTTATCTACAAGTAGTCAAATTAGGCCTTAGTCAATTTAAATACATCTATGTGAATCAATCTCTTACCTTTCATGAGTTCTGAGAATGGTTTCTTCTTATAACTACTTAACTCGCTAATAGCTGATTGAGCATTGGTCATTGCTCTTGTTTCCAAAATTTCGGGCCAAAGAATTTAATGGATGAAGCTCAACAAAAGGAAGCAGTTTTGAAGGATCGGATCATTAGGAAGCATTTTTCAAGAAGAGGAGAAGAAATAACATAGAAACTAGAGTACAAAAGGGAGATTGAAAATGTAAGGAAAGACAAACCTCAAATGATAGAAGATAAAAGAAAATTCGACAAAAAATATTTGAAGTCGGTTATAAATGGTCAGCTTCATGTAACCAATTTGATCACTACTGCATTGTTGCTAGAAATCTCTCTTGAAGATTTTCTTTTTTATTATTTTTTTCCTTAAAATATCCAAATTTACTATGTTTTGAAAGCTACTGCATTAATAATTGTTCGCTCAATTTTTCTATTTCTTTTGTGCAGTGTATGTTTCAAAACGGTTTTCAATCCATGGAAATTTTTCACTTGGGCTAGGTCTTGTTTCACATGGAACCACTTCAACTTTTGTAGTCGCGAAGAAACAGAAAATGACAAAAGGCCTATTGGCCGGGACATACACTAAAATGAAATTATAGTCTAAATTATTGTTCACATTGCAAAAACAAAAAAGTTTCAAGAGGGCCTGGGCTTTGAAGGTGAAGTAGCAGGCTTGGGCTTTGAAGGGGGAGTAACGGGCTTGGTAAACCAAGAAGTGTAGAGGAACTGTTTGTGTGCACCAACATGGTTGCAAACAAGACGAACCTTCTGTCTCTCTCTCATCCATCTCAGCACCACTTTCATGTGATTTTTGCTCGTCAAATCTTTCAACCCTACTTCCTGAAATCCAATCCAATCCAATCCAAGACATGCACGCACAAACCTATATCTATAATACTGAAATTAAACAGAGTGAAAACGTACCTTGACACGTTCCCACGTGTTACCAACGGTGATTGGACCATGCTCCTTCACGATATCGAATAGAACCCTCGTGATCGTTTGCCTCTGCTCCGGTGGTGTTTTCAGAACTACGGGTCCCATCTTCGGCTTCGATTTCTTCGCAAAACATCTAATCGCCGTCCCAAACATTCCTCTCCTCAACTCTATTCTGCAATCGCATCATATGTTTATCCATGAATTAATCGACGCATTTTCTAACAACTTTGATCGAACACACGTCACAGATTCGAAATGAAACAAACAAAACCTACAATTAAATTCAAATGGCAGTGCCTCTACTTTCCTCTTCTTCACTGTCGTCCACTGAGAGATAGATCGACTGAATTTAGGGTGTAATGTGTGGCCAGTTGGGCTTTAATAGTGGGCCGCCTCATCTGGGCTACGCCATTTTGAACATATCGTTAGTTTGTTATTGGGTTTGGGCCGTGTGAAGAAGGTTGCAGTTTAAATGAAAATGAAGGGTTTCACTCCATTTGCCTTTCATGAAATTTTTTTTATTTGTATCTATAAATTTAAGATGTTATATATATATTTTAACTTATAATTATGATTTTTTAATATATCAATTATTAAAATATATTTATATTTTTTTAATAAATCGTTAATTCCAGACATAAAATTAACAGTTATAATTATTTTATGTATAAGACTTAAAATACATTATTAATTTATAAGTTTTAGTAGAATTTCTTTTTTTTTTCTTTAGATTATTTGAAGTCTAACTTTTGTACATAAAATAAAACTGTGTTAAATTAATATTAATATTATGTAACCTATGTTTAAAATATCATATTTGTCGTTGTTAGGTCTTATAAGACTAAACTACTTGTAGGGAAAAAAAGAGTGGCTAAGAGTGTGATAATAGAACAAACTACCATTTAGTAGTACATAGATTACAGGCCTCCATGAACAGATCAAGCACTTCCCAACAACTGTTGGAGTAACATGATTTGGAAATGATAAATAAATTAAAGAACAATCTATTGATACACAAACTCTATAATGAAAATGTCTCGCTAGAGCTAAACTACAAGTATTATAATAATCATAAACACTAAACTATAATAATCACCATTCCAATCATGTTTAACCAAATAATAATAGGATGAAAAGATAGTTGACCAATAAACAATAATTTGACCTTCAGATACTTCAAACATCAATGAAAGACGACGCAAGTTTTGTGAGAGGGCTTCTTAAGTCCTGCTTTCTTGAATCAAAATTAATTCATGCATATGATCTATACAACCTTTATTTTTTTATGCAACCAATAATCATAAACATGACACATAATACCCACAAAGACAGCTATTTCTTATATTTACTTGTAACTTTTTATAACAGATTCCGTGACAAGTTTCTGAATTATTTATGTTAATTAACATTTTGGTGATTATGAATTATTTTAACATTTGTAATATAAAGTAATTAAAGATGTAAATATAAGACGATATATTAAAATTTAAAATTTAGAATATAAAGATTGATATGATTTGAGTTTAATTGGTTTATTGAGCTTAATTAATGGAGCTTGGGGTGAGAAAATGAAATAATATTGTTACTGAATAGTAGTGGAGCTTGTTCTTGTTCAACCAAATGAAGCTTAATTATGACTGTAAAGACGCTTTTATGTTTAGTCAATCAAATCGAACATGGATAGTTAGTTGAATTTTAACTTATCTTTCTGGATTCTTTTCCTTTTCACTCTGATTTTAAGTTGATCAAGAGGACCAATTTTAACTTGTGATATGCCTTTTTCACTTTCTTTCAAATCAGATAAATTTTGAATAATAAATTCCAAAAATAAAAATATATATTTCTCTGTACTCTGTTGAGTCTCTTCTTCTTCCATACTACTCAAACTTCATTTCCTCCTCTTTGCTTGATCTTAATTTCCCTAATCTTGAATACGTCGATCCAAATAAAATATTACAAACTAAATGATATTTATTAACTATATACTATTATATTAAAACTATACATATTTTCATGCCTCATTGTTTAATTTAAGAACTTAAATACAGATTTGTGCAAAATGCGTCATGTCCGTATTCTCTGTATCGACAGACTTGTGAGGAGGCACTTTTCAAGTCTGCATCCAAGTTGAAGTCCAACTGTTTCCTTTTGCAATGGATAATCCTTATATAAAATACAAAGTATTACTAAAATTTAATAATTTAAATTTTTAAAACTTTTTTGGGTATAAAATATATTTCATTATAGTTTAAATAAGTTGTAAGTTTTTAATTTTATTTAATGATTGTCCCTATAACTTATTTATATATAATATGTTTTTTCACCAATTTTTTAACATGATCCTTCAATGGTTTTTTTAATTATTTCAATTTACTACCTCTACTAACAGTATTTTATAACATGAAATAAATAAACAAAACATTTTAACTATCATACACCAAAACTAAAACATATGAAAATATTATACGAATATATAAATTTTTTTCTATTTATGATTCATATATATAACAAATTATTTTTTTGTAAATTATTAATGATAAATATATTAAATATATTAATTTGTTTCTAAAATTAAAAATAAATACCAAAAATTTAATTTTTGAAAGGTTAAAAAATTCGAATAGCCAAAAACATATACATACATGAAATAAAATAAAATAAAAAAATAATGTTAAAAACAAAAAAATATAAATAGTCACGCAGTGATTATAAAAAATCATTCAATATACAAAGTTATTATAAAAAAAGAAAAGTCGACATATATATATATAGAGAGAGAATAAACAATGAACGGGTAAAAATAAATAAATAATTAAATTAATAAATTTTAAAATATCAAAATAAAAAATAGTGTATCATTTTTATAATATATATATATATATATATATATATATATATATATATGATTTACTCCCTTCCTATCACACTATATATATATTTCCATCTTAGAATTAATCGAATTAAATAAAAGAAATTGTATATATAAAGAAAGTGAGATTAAGTTAATTAAATTACTTTACTTATTAATTTTTTTATAAATATTAAATTTTAATAATTGATTTTTTAAATTAAACATTATTTCTAAATATACTAAATTTAGAAAAATATAAAAATTAATATTTATTCAACAATTTATCAAACAATTTCATATTAATGTTTAATATATATTTCTAAAATATAAATACATATTAGTTATAAAATGACATATTTATCGACGTCTGATTTATTTACAATATAATTTAATTAAAATATAATATATAATTAATATGAATCTATTATCTTATTTACTAGTTAATTGATAGAATTTATTATTTTTAAATAATTGTTAAATAAAATTAACTTAGTTATTATCAACATTTATAATTTATTTTATTTTAAAATAAGATAAAATATGAGTAAAAATTTTATTTTATTATATTTTTAAAGTTTACTTAAAACTATAAAATTATGTGAATTTTATATTTTTAATAAATTTTAACCAACAAATAAAAGTATATTAAACAATATATTTTAAAACATTTTTAAAATTAAATTTTATTATATTTATTATTCAAATAAAATAATTAATATCTGTAGAAAATAAAATTTCTAAATATAATAAGTATTTTTAAATATTTATATAAAATTTTATATTCAAGATGAATATTTTTAAAAATATATGAAAAAAAGGAGTATTATCTATCAATAATGTTAGCACAAAATTTAAAGCGAAATATGCGTACTTTGAGCAGTGAGCAGTGAGTGAGAGGCTGGCGCGTGGCTTTGTAATGCAACGGAGTCGCGTGGTCGGCATCAAACACGTTAACGCAAAGCAAGCAATTTTCTGAGCTGAAAAAAAGGCTTCTCCTCTCTCTTCTCTCTTAACTTCCCACCACTTCCCTTATCTCTCTCCGTCTTCTTCTTCATATCAAATGTATATTTTATCTTTCTTTTTTTAATTCTTAACTGAGTTTTTACTCACGCAAAGTGGTAAGGTTTTATTTTATTTTATTTTATTTATTTCCTTTAATTCTCGTTCAATTTTCCCAAAAAAATGAGTGCATGAGATCTTGCAATTCTAGCTTCCATTTTGGTCGGTTGTTCAATTTTCTCCTTTTCAGATCGACCCTTTATCTGGAAAAAGTTGCTTATGAATTTTCTAAAAAAAAAAATGTTTATTTTTTGGGTTTGACAAGCTGTTTGGTCCCTGTTTAGGTGTAGTTGGGGAAGTTTGATTTGGGAAATGAACAAAGGACAGTCGCCGGAGCCGCTTGATTTCTTCATCTGGACTGTGGAGGTTAATCATTTCTTACCCTCAGTCAATTGATGTATATATTTTTGATTGTTTTATATATTAAGAAAAACTCTGGCGTGTGATCCCCTTTTATGTGATTTGTACTTTTGACATGTAATTAGGTCTCTTGCAACAGTTAATTTAATTAAATTTGTTGGGTGGATTGCTTGAACTTTCTCCATGGTAGTCTGGGTTGTGATTCTCATTTGCTTCTGTACCTTTCTGATAGAGTGACATGTCTGGTCGTCTATGATCGTGTCTTTTTTGAAAAACTTTTTGTGTTGGAACTTGGAATTTGATAGCTGCTATGTTGTTGAAGATGTAATTAGCAAATTAGTATTACAGCTGTTGTATTTTTCCGCTTTGTTCCAAATCCTCTTAATTCATACAATTTTGAAATAAAGTTTTGGTTCTTATTTCTTACACTTCACAAGACATAAGGCTTAGCTTAACAAGCAAAAGCTGTGATTAAAGTTGTTCTTATCTGTTGGAAAGTTGAAATTTACATCCTCGTTCAAGTGGGAAATTTTGGTGGATGATATTAAAGTCCTCAACTCAGAAATAATTAGCTAATTGTGCTTGTGCTTGCACTATTTCATTTAACTGTGAACTCATCACCTCACTTTTGTTATTACAAGTTATCTGGTAATTTAATTAAGCTTCCAATGCTTGCCAGATAACTTTGTTCAATTCTTCAGTTTGACGCTCACAGTTTCTTAGGTCATTCAAAAGTGAGGGATATAACATTTTTCTCTCAATGAAGAAAAAAATAGTTTATACTGAATGCTTACACCTTTGTTTGCTTAAGCATATGTGTAAATCTTCATTTGACCTGTCCCCCCTGCAGAGCTATATGCATCCTTTTTTAGATTATTGCATTTTAAAATTCTTTAGTTGCAACTATGTTTTGGAAATATAGCATTGAAAGGAGAGATTACCTATGTATATTGTCTGTCTTGATTATGCCCTTAGTCCCTGTTCCTCTGTCAGTGATATGACAAGCTTATGATTTATCCTTGTCATCAATTACTCGGTTAAGTAGGTATGTAGAGCCATATGTCAACCTCAAGTGTATACTGATATAGATACAGATAAAGTGGTATCATCTTGTTAGTCTACTTTGATGTTTATGCCAAGATCACAAGATTCAGTATCATTCTGCTTATGCATTATTAAATATTTAAGTACATGCTTACATAGTGCTGTCTTATAGGTCTAGACTCTACATTATAATTGATGCACTGTTACCAATGATTAATATAATGTAGTGAGCTGTGGAATGCTCCTGCATCTTTTCTTTTTATTCATTTATGTTACTGATTGTACAGTAAATTGTGCAAATTACAAAAAGAGCTATTTTGGGAAGGATCTAAGCTTGGTGAATATAATTACCTCTTGACTTCTTCTATGAGTACTGTTATACAGACATATCATATAATGCTTATCTGTGGCAGAATCAGAATGTAACTGAGAATATAAATTAACAATTGTGTTCTCACTCATCTTTTGTCTGTTTTATCAGGATGTTGGCTTGTGGCTTGAGACTATAAATCTTGGTAGTTACCGTCAAATTTTTAAAGAAAATGGTGTTAATGGAGAATATCTGGAAGGCATGTCCATGTTTACAACTGAACAGATCCTACGGTTTATAAGACGTTGCCACATGAAGTGGGGAGACTTCATCACATTGTGCAAGGAATTAAGACGGATCAAAGGTCTCTCACTCTCACTCTCTCCCCTTCCTTAAACAGTAAACAGACAAACACACGTCAATTAACTTTCTCATTTGAGTTTTTCATTTTTACCAATCTGTTTCGTGCTATTCTCCTAGCAAGGTAAGATATGATCATTGTTGTTATAAGTGTTTTGTGCTCTTCAAACTACCTAAGCAAACATGAATATACTAGAAAAACAACTAATGTGGACGTTTAGTATTAGTGTGAGATATATCTAGAAACGGATGTCCTGCCTATATTTTATTGGTACACCTGTTATTTTCATTACGGGCAACCATCAACATGGTCTCACTATCACATAATTTTCTATATTGTGCAATATTGTAAAGAAAATTTATGAGTTACATTTTCTTGAAGTACTCATTCCCTATATAGTTCTTAGTCCTTAAAAAGTTTGTGATTTTCTAATTTGGTTTCTCATTTTTTATTTTTTTCAAACGAGTTCCTTATAAAATATATTTCTTTATCAAATGGTCCCTTTATTAGTCTTTTGTTAGCTTTTCCATGTAAGTGTAGTTTTCATCTCCTGTTTGATCCTTGTGACTATCTCAAGTTCTAACTTTCTGAATGAGGGATCAAATGAAAAATTTGTGATATTTAGAGAAATTAAATAGGGAAAAAAAATCCAAATAAATAAAGGAATATCAAGGGAACCATTTAATAATAAAAATAATTTATGGAGGACTCATTCGAAAAAATAATATAAAAATGAAGATTGAATGCAAAAGTCATGATGGGTTTTTAGAAGACAAAAAACATGGTAAGTCCCTATAAAATCTATATTCTTATTTGTAGGTCGAAGTCATCCAAAACTTGATTGTGAAAACGTCATTTCCTTAACATGTGATATGTTTATATATAAGGAGACATGAAATGTGCATATGCCTATTATGTTTTGTTGTGTTGTGACTTTCCTTGCAAGATGATATTCTTGTGACATCATTAAAGGAGGGGGAGGGGGGAAGGGGGGTGTTTACTCCCCAGCAAGTTGTTGGAAAAAAAATGTCCCTATCTGTTACATGCTCCTAACTTCTGAATGCTATATTCATGTCTGTAGTGGCTTGTCTGAAAGGGGAGCAGAAGGTGCGGCGGCCATGGTGGGCACCGGCATGCCTATCTGCAGTGTTCTTAAAGGTTGCAAAATCCAACAGACAATCAAGAGTTGTTTCCCTGAAGCTGGAACCATGATACAATAAACCTCTGCATATGTGTACGTATAGCCATTTTCTTTTTGCCTAGAAAACAGAAGATAGGAAAGAACCTTTTTTAGCCCTTTTTGCCCTTTCGATTCCAAAACGTGGTTGTTTCTTCTCCGCTGGAGAACTGTTATGTAGAAGGTCCTTGTGCACTAATTTCTGGTGCTGTGTAATTACGTATTCTCTCCCATGTGAACGAAAATACGATATATGCCGTTTCTCTTCATGTTCAAATGCCCTTCATCTCCTATTTTCTAGACTCTAGACAATAGTCATTTGCATGTGTTCTACATCTCCACCAAATCGTATATCCATTGGACCGTTAATTTCTTAATGCTAGTTAAATTATTTTTATAAAACTTTACACTGTAATATTTTTTACATCAGCTGACTTATGCACTGACGGAATCCCTTTAATATATGCAATGCTAAAATATATAAATTATCACATTTATAATGTATTTTTTATAAATTTGTCATTTTGAGAATGAATAATGTGAACTCTGGGCTAGTGATGGCAAATGGCGAGCTTATTATATTTCAAAGTATGTAGTCATGGTTTCGTTGATGACTGGCTACTGCTTCATATGTACGCAAGCTGCTCGAACAGCAATGGCGCCCAAAGTCAAACAAATTGGATTTTTTATTTTTATTTTTTTTTCATTTGTTAGTTAGGTTATAAAAAATGGTTTTGAATTGATTATACAAATTTTCAAGCTGTTCAAAAATTAAATTCTACTTGTTCTCTTTTTATATTTATTAATTTTTATTGTTTTCTAGGGTATTGAATAGTGAAATTGTATAAAAAAGGATTAGGAGCCCTGCTCACAATTCATATTTATTTTGAATATAAATACTCTAATGCTGTGTATTTCTCAAACCTTGAATAAAAATAATATTAGGACAGATAATTAAATCTTCAATTTTTCGATTATTTAAAAAAACAGGTAGTTTTCTATTTAAATCTTAATTAAAATTTTTAAATATATAAAATATATGAAATTTTGTATATAAAAATGTATTTATCATATTTTTTAATCTAATTATATTTGATATTATTCAATATAATAAAATTTTATTACTATATATTTTTATATTTAATTTTTTTAAAATAAAATAATTTGATAAATAATATAAATAAATTTGTATAACACATAAATATATTTACTAATTTATAAGTAAATTATTATTATTAAGATTTACTATGTTTAAAGTTATATATAAATTAAATTTAACTGTTATATTTATTTTTTATAAGTTTTCTAAAAAATAATTAAAATTTTTATTTAACATTTTTTATGTTTCTGTTGTATTAAAAATAATTATTTTTATATATTTGTACAAATTCATGCAATACACAATCATATTTATTAGATATAAAAAAATTAATATTTTTTTATTTTTAAATTATGTGCTATATAATTTTATAAGATAGAATATGTTTTTAGTATTTATAAATATAGTTAATATTTATTTTAATCCTTCAATAATTTGTATTAAAAAATTTTAAATATATAAAAACTAATTTTTTTATTATTGATCATTAATATTGTAATATGTATATATATATATATTTCATTATTACAAATTAATTGTACGAGTCATTTTTAAATTTATAAAATTAAATTTATAATTTTTTAAATTAAAATAATATTTGAATCTAATTTCTTTATTTTTAAAATTAATTTATAAATATTTAAAAGTATATTATAAATCTTAATATAATATATAAAATATTTTTATTAGTAATAATATTAATATATATTAATTAATTTTAAATTTTAAAATAATTTAAATATTATTATAAATATTTTATATAAATATTTTTTATTTTATAATTATTAATTATAATTTTATATTATGACATAATAATTACGGTGAGTTAGCACGATCAGCTTCCCCTCCCAGTGAGTGAATAATATTTATTACAATCAGAAGTAAAAACCAATGTTTTGTTCTTTCCTGTTTTCCCTCTTGCATTCAAATGTTTTCATGTGAAAACGCCATAAACCCTAAAATCTGGTGCTACTTACTGAGTGATCATGTTTTCGTGTGGAACTAAGAAGAACAATGCGAGGTCTTGGAGAGAGCAAGGTCGCGGCTCCACGCTACTGTATTCTCCGGTCACTCCAGCACGAACCTCCTTCAACGATAACGCCGTCCCCAATCGCCCAAACACCGGCACACCCGCTCCCTGGGCTCCTCGCTTATCTGTTCTTGCTAGGTACTCATTCGCTTCTTAACCAAACACGCTTTTGGACGCTCCAAAGCTAGAAAGAAACTCGCTTTCTGCTTCTTGCTTTTCTGATTGATTTCTGTTTCCTTTGCGTAGGGTTCCTCAGGTTAATACAAGTGGAAAAGGGGACGACACTGATCCTACCAAACCTGTTTTTGTCGGGGAGTTTCCCCAACTGGTTCGTGATGAGCAGGCCACCTTGCTGCACAAACGAGTTCCCGGTGAGGACAATTTGATTTATCACTTAATTGTGTTGGCAATTAGCATGGGTGTTAATTCCTTCAGATTCAAAGTATGAAATGGAAGTTTGATGTGTTTGAGATACGCTGTGTTGCAATGCAGTTGAAGATCGCCCGTCTGGCGGGATTGACAAGAGCACATCCCTTGCTTGGATTATTTGTGGAAACAGGGTCTTCGTTTGGAGTTACTTGTCGCCTGCGTCTTCCATGAAATGTGTTGTTCTTGAAATTCCATTGAATGATGCTGATGTTGGCAAAAAGGATGCTGGTAGTTGGTTGCTGTGCATTGTTAATTGTGATCCCGCGTCTATGGGAACAAATAAAGTTGCAAAACATTGCAACTCTGCTGCTGTTGTTTTGTGTAATAGACACACTCGGGCTGTTATATACTGGCCGGACATATATTCTCGATCACTTGATCCAGTCACAAGTCTTGCATCTTCTGATGAGTTGGATACATTTTTGACTCCTGATGGAAAAACGTCCTTCAACAGGCAGCGCCGACAAAGTAAACTGGGAAGTAGTTCAAATGGGTTGCACATTTTTAACTCTCTGATTGCTTCTGCTGCCCCTGGTTGTAATTCTGTATGTGTTGCCCTTGCGTGTAGCTCAAGTGGTGAACTCTGGCAGTTTCAATGCACTCCTAAGAGCATTCATCGAAGGAAAGTATTTGAAAATATTATGCATTTCCCTCTCCAACGGGGTGAGTCAGGTCAACTTGTGAGCAGTGTAGGGTACCCAAGGTCTCTGACATGGTGTTTACCACAGCATTCTAGCCAGGAATCAAATAGGCAATTCTTGATGTTGACAGACCGCGAGATACAGTGTTTCAGAGTAGAGTTTGGTTCTGATATGCATATTTCAAAGCTTTGGTCTCAGGAAATTGTTGGAACAGATGCCGAGGTTGGCATCAAGAAGGATCTGGCTGGGCAAAAGAGAATATGGCCTCTTGATGTGCAGGTAGATGATCGTGGTAAAGTGATTACCATACTTGTTGCAACCTTTTGCAATGACCGGATTATCAGTTCAAGCTACATGCAGTACTCGCTTCTGTCCATGCAATATAAATCAGGGTTGGGGGTAGAGACTGCAAACGACAGGATTTTGGAGAAAAAGGCCCCTATTGAAGTGGTAATCCCGAAAGCTCGAGTTGAAGATGAAGACTTCTTGTTTTCCATGAGGCTTCGGATAGGGGGCAAGCCGGCAGGATCTTCGGTCATCATATCTGGGGATGGAACAGCAACTGTCTCCCATTATTATAGAAACTCTACACAACTCTATCAATTTGATTTACCCTACGATGCTGGAAAAGTACTAGATGCTTCAATCCTTCCTTCTGCAGATGATTATGAAGAAGGCGCCTGGGTTGTGTTAACAGAGAAAGCAGGAATATGGGCAATACCAGAGAAAGCTGTCATACTTGGAGGGGTTGAACCACCTGAGCGGAGCTTATCACGCAAAGGCAGCTCAAATGAAAGATCGGCACAGGAAGAGATAAGAAATCTTACATTTGCAAGTAATTTTGCTCCTAGAAGGGCTAGCTCAGAAGCATGGGGTACTGGAGATAAACAAAGGGTGGTTTTGAGTGGCATCGCACGCCGAACTGCCCAAGATGAAGAATCAGAAGCTTTATTGAATCATCTTTTTAATGAATTTTTGTCATCTGGGCAAGTTGACAGGTCTCTTGAAAAGCTAGAAACCTCTGGTTCATTTGAAAGGGATGGAGAAACAAATGTTTTTGTACGGTTGAGCAAATCAATTATTGACACCTTAGCTAAACACTGGACAACAACCAGAGGTGCAGAGATTTTGGCCATGGCTGTTGTTTCCACCCAACTCATGGAAAAGCAGCAGAAGCATCAAAAGTTCCTTCATTTTCTGGCCTTATCCAAATGCCATGAGGAGCTGTGTTCTAGGCAGAGTATGATTTTTGTACTTTATTTGCCAGTTGCCATAAATTCATGTTTTTGATTCAATCTTCAAACCATTCCTTTTAAAATGCTATCACTTCCAATTGACTTGTTTGTTTATGTTTTAAGCCAGTTTGTACATGATGTGCATGGGTGAAGTGGGTATAAGTTTGATTTATCGACTGACCTGAATTTATTAAAAAAAGATCAGCTACCTCAAAATGATATATGGATTTTGCATCATCAATTTATCACTTATTGTGCAGATGATGAAATAGTCAACACTTTTTGGGACAATTTCATATGAAAAATATCATAAGTAACTGAAGGGAGTGTTTTTTCACTAATAGCATTTTGATTTTTATAAATTGGGTGTAACTAATATTAGCTTATTTGTCACCTATCTACTCCTCTGCCTCAGCATGTGTGAAGGAGATTAAATTGTGAGTCTGTGACTAAATGAAAAAAGCTTAATTGTCTTCTTTTGTCTCCTTTGCCTTGCATGTGAGACTATAAAATACTATAAACTTAATTATAGAGGGAGGGAGTGAAATAATCAATAAAACAGTTTTGAAAGTTGTTGACTAGATGAATTTGTCATTAGATGATAAGTATGCATGTGGATTTTCAATTCTAGTTGTCATTTGACTTTAGGATGGGATTGTATGTGATTATTTGTTTGATTTAGGATTTAGCTAATGATTTTGTTTTCCCAGCCATTTTTTTAAAGAGTTGATTAAATAAAGGTAGTAAAATAATATTTTAAGTTCATAAAAAGATGACCAAAAAAACAACATATAAGGAACAATAGGTGGAAATTCCATGACTAAATTATATTTTTTCAATTGTCAGGACATTCCTTGCAAATTATCTTGGAGCATGGTGAAAAGTTATCTGCAATGATTCAGCTGAGAGAGCTGCAAAATCTGATTAGTCAGAATCGTACAGCTAGTGTTGGCTCCTCCCATTCTGGCGTAGATATTCAGATGTCAGGTGCCCTTTGGGACATGATACAGTTAGTAGGTGAGAGGGCACGGCGGAATACTGTACTTCTGATGGACAGAGATAATGCTGAAGTTTTCTATAGCAAGGTTTCCGATCTTGAAGATTTCTTTTACTGCTTAGATGCAGAACTAGAACATGTTTTAAAATCAGAGCACCCATTTGGAGTCCAAATCCAGAGGGCATGTGAGCTGTCAACTGCATGTGTTACCATAATTAAGACATGCTTCAACTATAAGAATGAGAATCGATTATGGTATCCGCCTCCTGAAGGCTTAACACCTTGGTATTGTCAACCTGTTGTACGGAAAGGGATTTGGGGTGTTGCTTCTATCCTCCTTCAGTTGTTAAAAGAAATATCCAGGCTTGATAAAACATCACAATTAGATTTGTATAATCATTTAGAAGAACTAGCTGAAGTACTACTTGAGGCATATTCTGGTGCTGTTACTGCTAAAATTGAGTGTGAAGAAGAACACAGGGGTCTATTAAATGAATACTGGGAGAGGCGAGATGTGCTTCTTGAGTCTCTCTATCAAAAAGTTAAAGAATTTCAAGCTACTGAAAAGGTTATTATTCTGTTTCACTTACCTTATTGTTGCAATCCTAGCATGGAATTCAATCATTTTGATCAATTAATTGCTTGTGCAGGATTCAATTGAAGGAGCTGAAGAGCAAAATTCAGAAGCCATTTTGAAGGTTACTTCACATCTGCTATCAATTGCTAAACGGCATGAATGCTACAAAGTTATGTGGACAATATGCTGTGATGTAAATGACTCAGAGTTATTGAGAAATATTATGGTACGAGTATATATTTTCCCTTTTGTTGTGCCCTTGTATTGCTTCTATTCCCTTTTTTCTAGATATTTGCAATGATGATTTTCTAGATATTTGCTTCTATTCCACTGAGATGAAATATTTGCAGTCCTAAACTGAACCCCATACGGATGTCCTAGTAATAGTCCTATTTCATAGCTAGAATAGTTGGGGCTGTAAATGCTCCATATAGATCTTGTCATTATTATCCATCCACAAACTCTGCATCCCCACAAAATTTGCACAGCCACATATTTATCCTACCTTCTTCCTTAAACTGTTAAATATTGTTGGAAAGAACTTCCAAAGAAAGACCATGCAAATGAGTGTACACCAGGTATACCAAAAACTTAACACTAAATTCCTCACTGTTATGCAATGTGTTGTGAGTTTTACCTTTATGCAAGTATATCCATTAGGAGTAGTAAAAAAAAATTATTTAAGTAAACCTGAGTATCGTCCCATAAAAACTATTCCAACAAACATTAGATTTATTGAATCTATGATTACTGTGACTAACTAAAGAGTTGATAGAATTGCATATTATAATAGGGAGAATTAAAATAGAAAGCTAATGAATGAGAAGCAAAAAAGAGATAGATTCAAGGAGTACTCAAAAGATTAACTAATTATGAATGAACTTAGAGTTTTGTTTCACCTATAAGTTTCTTAATCTTTTTATCTTTTCATGAACTAATCCTAAATTATACTACTAATCACTGATTTTAAATTTATTAGTACTCATTATTCAATGATCATACCGTGATAATATTATTTTATCTCTTTACTAATATCTTCAATGATCATGTAAGACAATTATTAATGAAGTACAAAAAAACAATGACTTTGTTAAAATAAATGATTAGCAACTTAGAATTCAATTAATTTTCTGAAATCCTAAGTTCAATTTATTTAATGAATCTCCTAACTAGACAATGGTATGATAACTTATCTAATTAACTATGAATTATTAAGAGTAATTAGTTCTTAAAAATGAAATAAAAATGATGAGACAAATATTATGAGTATAATAATGTTTACATTTTAATAGAATTCATCGTAGTCTTTTGCTATAGATTTAATTACTCATATTAATAAAAATATAAAATCAAACTAAATTATAAAGATAATTCATATTTATGTAGAAAAGAACTAGAAAATAAAATCTTTGTATCTAGATGTTTTAATGTCAAGGAATAAAAAGTTGATCCTATGGATGCTTGATAAGCCCCAATCCTCTCATGAGGGAGAGCTAGAGATGAGATAGATGATGAATAGATTCAATTAGAGGAGTAGATTGAAGAATTTGATTAGAAATTAATTTCTTAAGAGATACAACAACAACAACAACTATCAAGTCTTATCTTATTAAATGAGGTCAGTTACATGGATCACACAACGTTATTAAATTAGGTCAAAAATCAAAATTTCAGAAATCTTGTTAATTAAAAGGTTTCTTTTAATAACTTTGTCTAAGGTTTTTTTGGGTTTCTTTCAACTCCTCTTTATCGTACTAGGAGTCAAATTAATCTCTCAAGAAATATATAATAAAATAAGATAAGAGAATCATAAGATATAGATAATAGATATCAAACCTCAATTTAAAAATTCAAATTTTGAACTGGGAATGATTAGGCTCCAAATTCCTTAAAAAATAACTTAGATCTGATTTCTTTTTTTGGTTACAAAAATACTCTTCAGCCTCTTTACCTCTTTTTGCAATAAAATAGAAAAAATAGGTGAGAATGGATCAACTAATAAGCTCAAATAACTAATAATTTTCCCAAATTCTTATGAATAAATTTTCAAAATTGTAGTTTATCAGTTTTGTACACTGAAAACAAAAGGCGTGTGCGGAAGTGTCTTGTTTTGGACGAAGGTCCTGAAGTAAGTCACTAGTATTCACCTAAACCTAAACTAGTGGTTTACACCAGTTACACCAGCAATGTCGAATAGAACCTCAGCCTTCCACAGAAAATTGGCATTGTATGACTTCTATTTGGTATGATTTAATCTTAAAAGATTCTATAAGTACCATTGTTACATGTTGTTTTTCTCACTCTCAACAATGTCTCTGTCGTTTGTGTGCAGCATGAAAGCTTGGGACCTAATGGGGGATTTAGTTATTATGTCTTTAAGAAACTTCATGAAAGCAGACAATTTTCTGAGCTTTTAAGGCTAGGGGAAGAATTTCCAGAAGAGCTATCCATTTTCCTGAAGGAGCATCCTGATCTTCTCTGGCTTCATGATTTGTTCCTTCATCAGTTTTCCTCTGCTTCAGAAACACTGCATGCATTGGCTCTCGCACAAAACATTCAATCAACCTCAGTTGCTGAGGAGGAGGGAGAACCAGTGTATATGAAGACAGAATTCAAATTGTCTGAAAGAAAGAAACTTTTATATCTCTCAAAAATTGCTGCCTTTGCAGGTATACTGCTGTGTATGTGTCATGCGCCATGCAGATCCTTCATGTTATTTTATATTTTCTTAGATGTTTTCCTTCCAACTGTGATAGTGACTAACTTATGAGATATTGAACTCATTTTTGTTCATACTTCCTGCAAATTGAAGTTAAACTCCTCCTGACTCTACTTTTAGTATTCAGTTATCTTATAACATGCAGGTTTTTTTTTGGTCATATGATAACATCAATTACAAAGTTGGCGTAATGACAGTCTGTATGTTTAAAATCACAGCAATGCTAATTAATATAGATGTAGCAAAACTGTCACATTGCTTAAGCATTGACTTTACCCTAGCTTTACACATAACCTGTTGCCTTATATATCCTTGTCTTTGGTTGGGATTTCTAAATCATTGGAAAAATATTGTTGTTTAACTGTTTATTTTCAGATTTCCTTTATTTCTTGTTTCAATTGGAAACGACCAAATGTGTACTTTTATTTTAATGAACAGATACCTAATTAATTGTATTTGTAATAAGTAGTGTTTCCATTTTTTGTTCAACAGCTGGTAAAGATGCTGGTATTCAAGTGAAGGTGGACCGCATTGAGGCTGATTTGAAGATTCTAAAATTACAGGTTGATATTTTTTTTTAAGATATTGTAAAGTTGAACATGGGGTTACTTATATTTTCTGGATCACATTCATTGTTTTTCAGCATGAATATTAGGCATCAATAACTCCAGGATCTCATGTAGCCAAAGTTTGCGAGCTAACTTGCTATGTTTAGAGCTTATGAGCCTGATGCTAAAATGCTTTGAATTTTCAATTTTAGCAATATAAAATGTTTGTAAAGTTGTATAGGCCAATACACAAATATGAAATCTTGAATGTTAAAAGTTCAGTTGTCAAGATATTGTGAACTCATGAGTGAGCTTTATGAAGAGATTAAAAGTAGCCTGAAGTTTATCTTATACACCCTTTTACCTAATCCCAATAGAGCTACTAAGGGGCAAAGTGGCTCAATTATCAGTTGTGTTTTCTAGAGACGGTAGTTGTTGTACTTAGAGCACATCTTGCAATTTGCCAGTTTTGATTTATTCTTCATCCACATTATTCCATCTATTAGTTAGACTATTTTCCCACTCAATTTCACAAATGCAAGCGTATAACAAGAGACAAATCAAAGGAAGCCACTCTAAAGATGTTTTAGTTTAGTGGGAGGGCAAGTAACAAAGGGCTGCTCAAGGATTTAAAGAATACACGTTTAGCAACGATGTGTGACTGTTTTATGTGCCACTTGAGGTCTGAAATCATTATTTGCTTTGGGTTCGTGAGAACTTGTTAAACCTTGCACTGATAGACAAGTGTTGTCGCACAAACTCCTCTTCATCCATTCTTATTTATACACTTTACCTGCAGGAGGAAGTAATGAAACATCTCCCTTCCATTGAAGACAAGCAACTTGTTGAAGATCAGCTGCTTCATCCAGAAGACTTGATTAAACTATGCCTAGATGGTGAAGAACGAGAACTCCCATTGTGGGCCTTTGATGTGTTTGCATGGACCAGTTCATCGTTTCGGAAGATCCACAGAAAACTTTTGGAGGATTGCTGGAAGAATGCTGCCAGTCAAGATGATTGGAGTAAATTGTATGATTCATACACAGTTGAAGGATGGAGTGACGAGGAAATCCTGCAAAACTTGAAAAATACTATACTTTTCCAGGCTTCAAACAGGTGTTACGGACCCCAAAATGAAACTTTTGAAGAAGGGTTTGACCAAGTGTTGCCCTTGAGGCAAGAAAACATGGAGACTTCTATTCTGGGGGATATGAGTTCTTCAGTTGAAAAAATATTAATGCAGCACAAGGATTATCCAGTCGCAGGCAAGCTTATGCTAATGGCAATCATGTTGGGCAGTGAGCATCATGGTGATATCAGAATAGAAGAAGGGCCTTCGCCTATGGAATAGCGTGGCCAAAAGATTATTGCTAACTGTAATACAAACTGGTATAGGTTTTGTACTAGCAAGACATGGGGGGAATGCAGTTGTGTTCGTTTCTCTTTTGTAGGCATTGCATTCACAACTTAACCATGGATGATTATCAGTAATGGTGTTGGATGGAAGTCTAAGTAGTACAAATACGCCAATATTATAAGAGAAATGCTTATTGTATATGATACTAACACCATTCCTGGATCTCACTTTTTATTTTTTCTACACAAGTCTTTCAAAAATCATTCTTTTATATGGTTCCTTTGTTAATAATTCATTAATTTTTTTAGTATCTACCTATGACTCATAATAAGACATATAATGGATGTAATATTTATATTTTTCATTCCTTTTATATTTTTAAATTTTAATTTCATAAATAAAATTTCATTCTAAAGTATGAAATATGTGATGCTGTTAATGACACCTTATTTATATAATATATTGAGCAAATTATATGCGCTAATTTAAGTGTTATTTAAATAAAGAAAGAAATAAATTAACAAAATATTAATAGAAGGATCAAGTAAAAATGAATTATTAATTAGGAGGGATTAAATTTTAAAAAATAAAGATCAAATAAAAAAAATCATGAATTTTCAAATGATCATAACTTTATTTAAATTTTAGATGATTAAATATTTTTGGATATGCTTAGACAACAATAAAATAACTAACTTTATTTCTATTATTGATTTTAACAAATGTATCTTGTAAGAGGCATTATTATTATTATTATCATTATTATTATTATTATTATTGAATTTATTCCGTGTCTTGGGCTTTTTTTTTCTTTAATTAATCTTAAAACAGAAATGACAAATATGATTAAAAAATTTGAGTGTGAGCACAAAAATGAAAAAGGGAAACATGGAGAGGATGTAGAGTTATATTTCATTGTCACTTCCAGGTCAACGTTATGTAATGCGAGAAAAAAGGTCTTGGATTTCGTTTGGTTTTTGATTGGATGATGAAGAAACTTTGTTTCATTCTAAAGTGTCTTAAACGTGACTTTTGTAAAGGAAAAAAATCTATTCTTGAGAATGGAGGTTTCCAAAGACAAATCAAACAAGTTTTTAAGAATTCTAGTAATTCACGTTACGCTGAGTAATGTTGACAAAAAAAAGGTTATACTGAGTAACATATTTGCAGTAAAGGGGTTTCTTATATCATCAACTCAATTCTGTAAGACGAAAAATAAAGTGCGAAAGATTCAGTAACATATATGCAGTTGATTTACAGTGTACTGCATTGTTTTCAATGCCTGTATATATGTTGCTTTTAATATTTCATCTCTCTTTTCTTTCTTGGGGAAAGGCGGATAAATTATTTATTTACATATCTTCTGACTGATTTATGGTTATCCAAATTCCAATCTTTTATCATTTACTGTCTTATTCCCAAAATCTGTTCAAAATAAGGATGTTCGGAAGAAAGAGTAATGAAAGTCAATGTTGAGTTATTTTGTGAAGTCAATGGACAGTTTAGAAAGAGTAATGAAAAAGACAACAGATGCAAGAGAGATTAAGAGTTGTTAAGAAAGTTAAAAGAGAGACAACAACTGAGGAGAGAGATGTTTAAATTTTGTCTACGTAATTAGAAGACAGAATTCAGGACACTGAGGTAATCCTAATTAAAGTTCGTGTCTCGAGTTTTATATGCTTATAAAATAGATTATCAGTAACTGATAATGGTAATAGACGAATCGTAAGGTTTTATTACGCAAGATTCACTTATGTTTTTGGGAAATGTTTAGTATTCACTTATGTTTTATTACTCTTTAGGTTTTTATTTCATCAAAGATAAATTGGCCGTATTATATTTCATGTGCTTAGTCAATTAGTGCATGAATATTAACGAGTGTGTGTGTGTTTGTTCTTTTTAATTAAAAGAAATAATTTAAAAACGATCTAATAACTGTTATTTCGTTAGTGTTCAAAATGAAGTTGCTTGGTTTTTCAAAAATAAAAATAAAATGTTGATCTAACAAGTGAAATACAATTAATAGAAGGTTGGGCTCTTCAAACATTCTAATTAGAAAATGTTAATTTTATTAGGGGAAGACAGTAATATCTCTAATTCAAAAAGAATTTATCATTAAATTGGTGGATATTTTTTGTACAAACTAAAAATGTCGACATTTATTATTAAAAATAAGAACAGTCAACGCTTATAAACGTGTTAGACTTTTGAGTAGCAAACAAAAGTTAACCTAATTTTTAATTCTTTTTCTGAGTACCCTTTTTAGTTTTATTCTTTAAACAAATTTATTATTTCTTTTAATAATGATATTTATAACGTCAAACAAAATTTTATAATTTTGTTAATACGTGACGATAATCAATCACGTTTTGCCATTGTAATTACACGGAGGATGGAAAAATACGAATATCAATTGAATCATTTGAATATAGAAATAAAAATACTTATGTATGTGATTCAACAATTAAAATAGATATAATTAAAAAAATTAATCTCAACAGTGAAATTGTATGTGTCCTAGTAATGTTTCTCTCCGGGCCACTACAGTATGTATAGTGCATGAAAAAGAAAAAATGAGTGTGTAAATTGCCTGTACAATTGCTTATGCAACGAAATGCACCATTTTTCCACAAATGCTACGCGTGTAAACCGCGTCATAGGTGAGTTTTGTGCCAATTTTGTTACTTCCAAATACCATTTATACCCTTGAATTAGCTTATAAATGTTACCCTTCTTATTCGAATTGAAATCATCACTCTCATTTGAGCTTAGCCTTTCTATTCTCTCTCATTTGAGCTTATAATTTTCATAGATCATTATTCATCCCAATCATTATTCTCAGTCTAGTTGTGTGATTCAGGGGAAAACAAAGAATGAAAGAGGGTGTGTCATAAAACGATGCCATAATATCGAGGCTCAAGTTTTAAAATTTTCCCTATATAGTCCAAGAGTTGCCTTTTTTGTGATAACACCCAAGCCATTATGGTCTCTTGAGAGCACGTGTTTATAGTGAACGTAGATTTGTTCAGTTTGAGAAATAGGAAAAGAGGTAGTTGCAATCATATTCTGGTTCTTGTTGTCCAAAACAACAACTTAGCCGTCACAACACACAAACATGTCTCAAACCCAAGCAAGCACTTGTTCAGGGGGCGCCAACATTGAAGTTGGTGCCACCACCATACTCCTCAGCAGCAAGTACAGGAAGAAATGGCGCGTATTATACACAGCCACAGGAATCGTCATCTCTCTGACGAAGCGTGGTAACTATGAGTCTCCACCATCACCACTTTCTTCGGTACCATACACCTCATTGCCTGCATCTGAGCCTCCTGCTAGAACCTCCTCTGTCAAATCTTGTGTTGCAATTGATGTAGCCCCTGATACCGAAGAGGTGAAAGAAGAAGAAGATGCCGAAGGGCACATTAGGAAAAACATTGAGCGAATTGTGAAGGAGGAGGACTTGAAATCGCTTCATAATCTTGGTGGGGTCGACCTCATTTCCTCGGTTCTTCTTCGTCAACGTCAACACTCTGAGGTATCAACCTACTACCCTCCTCATATTCATTGCTCCGATGAACTTTTCTTCAACCATTAAATAAAAATAACGTGTGTGCGTGTGTATGAAAAGGAGAAAAAAAAAAAAAAAAAGAGACCCGTTTGATTTTTCATCCACGTGACGTGTTGGTCGTTATGATATTTGGTGGATCACTTTTGTTTTAACGCTAAACTAAATTATCTTAATGCTTGGTTTTAAGTTTATTAAACTATGAAGGATATGTGGATCTACTAACTGTTGTTTTGGCTGCATAAGAAAGATGTACTTATTTTTTAATGGGATTTTGGTTGTATGAGCAGGGTGATGGGAACCGAAATATGTTGGAGTCCACAATACCGATTCTTGGAACAAGCTTTTGTAGCTTTTTGTTGATGAACTGCAAATGCAATGGTTACACAATTTTGATGTTGTTGATCGCGGCGGGGTTGTCCTTCGCCATAGAGTTGAAGCAGGAGGGACCTAAATATGGTTGGCATGATGGTTTTGCTATAGTTTTTTCTGTTTTCCTGCTGGTTGGAGGAAATTCAGTAGCAAACTTTTGGCGTGAGAGAAAAATGTTGAAACTGGCAAAGAGAAGGAACAAGTTGGAGTTCACTGTTGAAAGAGGTGAAGAGTCCCTAGAGGGGGTTCCATTATCTGATATTATGGTGCTTGACAAGGTGTGCCTGAGGCAAGGTGATGAGGTTCCTGCAGATGGTTTGCTTGTAAGTGATGACATTCTTGAGCTAGCTGAGGCAACAAAAAGTAAAAGGGGAAACCCATTTCTTGTATCCGGTTCAAAGGTGATTAGGGGCCAAGGATGGATGCTTGTAACATCAGTTGGAAGTTCTCTGAGTTATAATCCAAAAAGGGGAGGCTTGTTGGAGACTCTAATTGAAAAGCCTATTTCTTACATTGACAAGTCTGCTCTTTTGATCTCTGTAGTGATTACCCTTGTGGTGTTCATTCGCCTAATCTGTCTAAAGGATGGGGGGAATAGTGGCTTGCCAGAAATGAAGGGGAAGGTCTCAGTTGGCTTGTTGATGGAAATCCTTGAGAGAGTTTTTTTGAGACCACACGGAAGGGTTTCCATTTTAACAGGTCTTGTTACTTTCGCAATACTATTTGTGCAACATGGAATGCCACTTATGGTTACAATTTCTCTCAAGTGCCAGATTGATAGGGTAGTGTCAAACCAAGAAGCAGTTCTTAATGATTTATCATCTTTTCCAACAATGGGGTTGGTAACTGTGATCTGTATTGATGCGTCAGGTGGGCTCATGTCTAATCCAAAGGAAGTTAGCAGAATATGGATGGGGGAGAAAGATATCATGAGCAAGGTTGAGGAAGCAGAAACAGATCAAGTTGTGCTTGACATGCTTAAACAAGGAGTTGGTTTATCAGTTCTTAATCCAGAGCTTTCTCTTACCCCTATGTGCCATCCACTTGTTTCTTGGGCCAAAACAAATTGGGAAATGGACATGAAATCTTTCACAGAAAAATTTGTCATTGTTAAGCACAGCAAACTGGATTCTGACAAAGAATGCAGTAGAGTTTTGGCCAGAGAAATTAGGTGCAATGAACAAGTACTACACTTGCACTGGAGTGGGACAGCATCCACCATATTAGAGAAGTGTTCATCATACTATGATAGTGAAGGGGCATGCCATGCCATGGAAAACCAGAAAATCAAATTTGGGCAAGTGATTAAAGAGATGGAGGATGATGGCCTTAAGTCAATTGCTTTTGCTTATAGAAAAACAGATGCTGAAGAACTTGAGCAAGATGAGTTGATCTTGTTAGGAGTGATAGGTATCAAAAGCACTTGTCAAAAATCTATAAAACCAGCTTTGGAAAATCTCAGAAAAACAGTACAGATCAAACTGATCTCGAGAGATGATGACATCTTGGCAGTGAAAGGCATAGCTTGTGAACTTGGAATAGAAGTGCCACCAGATGGTATTGAGCTTGAAGGAGAAGAACTTCAAGATTTGAATGAGGAAGCTAGATTACACAAAATGGATGGAGTCCTCGTAATGGGAAGCTTCCATCTTAAAGACCTACTTCTCATGATACAGGAATGGCAGAAGAATGGTGAGGTGGTTGCATTCATTGGAACAAGGATGATGACTAATCATACTTCTATTCTGGAGGAAGCTGATGTAGGGATAGTTCATGATTCTCTAGGAAGAATAGTGGATAGAGATTGTTTCGGTATATCTATGCAATGTTTTTGTGCATTGGAACCAATTGTGAAGGCTGGTAGGAGTATATACCACAATATTCAGAAGTTCATTCAACTTCAACTGACATGTACCATATCAGGGTTAGTCATATCCTTGATTACAACAATATCTACTGGAGATTCCCCTCTAACAGCATTCCAGTTGATTTGGGTTAATGTTGTAATGAACATTCTGGGTGGCCAAATGATGGTAATGGAGTTAACTAGCGAGGAACAACTTGCCAAAAAACCATCTCAGTGTAGAAATCAGTCAATTATAACCAAAGAAATCTGGAAAAACATTGTTATTCAGGTTTTATATCAGGTTTCTGTGTCTATAATACTTGAGTTCGGGGGACATGTTATGGACAGGGAAAAACACGTTAGAAAAACCATGATCTTCAACACATTCCTATTATGTCAGCTCGCTAATCAACTCAACACGATGCAGTTGTTGAAACTGAAACACACTCAGATTGTTCTTCAGAACTACTATTTTTTAGTAGCTTTTGGTGGTTGTTTGCTCATGCAGGTGCTGATGATTGAGTATGCAAAAGGCTTATCCGATTGCATGCGGCTGAATGCTACTGGATGGGCTATTTGTGTGCTAGTTGGTGCTTTTTCATGGGTATTTGCATGGCTCTTGGAGAGGATACTTGCATTTATTCTCAGTACCAATTCTGCTTCACAATCAATGACTTCACCTTCCTTCTATCTTTATCCAGCTTTTCCATTTCTGATGTTCCTCTTGTTCCCTTTAGGCCTAATATTTGGCCATTTTGGCATAAAAATGGCATTTCGTTAGTGGTGGGGTAACTCGACACGCCCAATGATTTAGTCAGTTTCTTGTAATATACCTTTGTAGTCAATGCATAGCATAGTGCTGTTTTTTCAGAATGTCATTCTACCACTTTACGATATTTTAACTTTTTTTTATTTTTTTTATTTTTATTTTTGGTAAGACGTGATAACAATACAGTTTTATTTAAAAGATTTAAATAATAAAAAATAGTTGAAATAAACCAAGAATGAGTAAATTTTAAATCTAAATTTAAAGTTTAAATTTAAGAACAAGCAATTATGTATTTCTTATGGATAAAATATATACTTTAGAGTAAATTATATATATTTTAGATCAAATCATTATTTTTTGAATTCTACGTTTAAAGAATCTTACACACTTAACATCGTACATTTGACCAATTCCTCTTTTCATAGCAGATCAGTCACGTAGTTCTTCTTTCATTATATCAACATTTTGTATTTAGTTTTATAATTATACGTAATAAAATCGAATTATTATAAGACTGATGTGAATTTTTGTGATATAACCTGTTTTTAAACTTTAATTTAACTGTGCAACGTTGATGTTATTTGTTATTTGTAATTTTTTTTATGTTATTATTCTTTAATTGATCATTCAAAGATAAATATTCGTTATTTAATTAATACACAGTTATACTATTAATAGGTAAATAAAATTAAGAAATAATTTAAATTTAAGAGTTAAGAAAAGTCTAAACTTTTAATTATTAAAATAAGTTTTAAAAATCTAATATTTATTAATATTTTTATTTATTTGGTAAAATATTTATGATCATTAAGATAACATTTAGATAAAAAGACTACTGTTATTATATGATTATTAAATAATTGCAATAATCGGTAAAAGATTGATAATTGTTTTAATATAATTAAATAAAATTGAATCGAAAAATATACAGTTAAACACAAGAAAAAATTAAGGCCTCATACTTTTCTTCATATAAATTAATTATGTGATTTCTTTGATTTTTACATTTTTTTAACTCTTTAAATTATTTTTCAATCTAAATATCTTTATTAGTTGCATTGTTTAAAATACTCTCTTTTATTATAATTAAAAAATGTATTTGCCTTGGTAATTAAATTTTTTTAAAGAGTTTAAAATCTTAAAAATATGTTGATATGCATTTAATCATTTGTTAGTAGAACCTTTGTTTATAGTCTGTGAGTTGATTGTACTACCTGTGAATGAATATAAATAATTAAACTTCTTTCCACCATCATTTACAATTCTACACATAATTTCACTACAACTTCTTGCTTGTGCTCATGTGCTCCATCCCTAAACGCGTACCACATATCCAGATTCCGCGTATCACTTATCAAAATTATCTTAAAATGTCTTATGATAATAATAATAAAAAAATTAATGTGTTAACGCGCGTGTGTGTGTATATATATATATATATATATTAAAAATTATAGAATTTAATATGTTAATAATATTCAATGTTATGAATTTTAATAAAATATTTTTAGTTATTAATTTTTATTGTGTATTTTTTTAATAAAAATACCATCTATTAAGTAAATCATAAAAAAATTCATGGAAGAATTATGTTTTAATAGACTTTTTCATGGTCAATCCTACATGTGGCAACATATAAACTATCTAAAAGATAATTTAAAATTATTCAGTAGTTACATATTATAAAATTCTATAGTAGACTTGTGACCAAATGTAGAGTTTATCATGAAATTGAACCTATAATAAAGTGACACTTCATGTAATTGTCATGTGTGTGACTATAAAATAAAAATTTTAAATAAATTATTAGTTTCTGAAAATATATATTTTTATTTTAGTTTTTATAAAAAAATTATTCTATTTTAGTATTATATATATATATATATATATATATATATATATATATATATATAAAGAATGTGGAATTAGTTCTTGGCGAGAGCCGCAAAAACCATGCTTTTTGTATTAAATATTAGGACTAAAATCAAATAATTTTTTATAGAAACTGAAATTAAAAATCATAATATCATCAAGAGCCCGTTACATATTTAAACCTAAATAAAAACTAGTGAAACTTCTGAATGAGGTCTTTAATCGAAATTCAATACCCTTCTGAATTTTTAATTTATAGTAATACGATAATTAAGAGATATGCTATATATGAAAAACTATATACTGGCAAAACAAAATATTTTTTTTCAGGATCAGTTTTTTGTTTTAATTACGTCTATTGTTCACTTAAACAATTTTTTTTACTTAATTTTTGTGCTATTGGAGGTTTAAATAGAACATTTTCACCATTTTTATTGTTTCTAACTTTATTTAAGGGGCTTTATTTTTCTCTTTCTTTTAGGCCAACAGATTTTGTTTTTCTCTTAATTATGCTAAATTTCACGTAAATACAGTTGGTCTTGGTTATGATATTATTGAGGATTAAAAAACCAATAATGTACTGAGTTTCAGACTAAAACTTCATTCATGATTTTTTTTTCACCAGTTTTTTCACTGTTTGCTTATTAAAATCCTAAGGTATAATTCCCACATAAGCCAAATTTGTAATCTAGCAAGGGTGAGCTGCCACCTTGTGTTCTTGAGGTTGAGGTGTTAGTCGCCTCTTTGCTCTTGTTTATTCTGAATTGTGTGGTTTCAGAAGCTTTTTTCACTAGCAACAAGTAATTTTAAAAAAAGGATGTGATGGGCAATGGGTTTGCGCTGTAGTAACATCAGCCCAGCCCAAACTCTTCCAAGTTTTATTTTTTCTTCCAAAACTTTGGTGGACCTGATTTGTGTGGCTTACATTCACCCTCTCTAAAACATCTGAGCAAGTAGATCTTTGTATCCACATGGCAGAAGGAGAGCCACTTTACCATCGCAAAATATCAGCTTGAGAATCCACATCCAAATCCGGCACCAATGAAATGTTGCTGACTTGTGCATATCCTCATCCACAATATCATATGATTTCCACCGTGGCCTCTCCCCACACTTCTATAAACCTTTGTAGGCTTCTTCCCGTAGCACAACACTAGCTAGCAACAAAGGGAGTACCAAAGTGCAAGAAGCCTAACACAATCATGGCCACCTCTGCTATTCAGCAATCAGCATTCGCTGGTCAGACTGCTTTGAAGCAGGCAAATGAGCTCGTCCGGAAGACCGGAGGCTCAGGCAAAGGTCGCTTCAACATGCGCCGTACCGTGAAGAGTACTCCGCCCAGCATTTGGTGAGTTGTTCAATTGCAGTAAATATTAGCCTTCCCAGTAGTTAACTAACAAAATGTTAGTATTTTTTTAATTTGATATTTTAGTATTTATGATTTTTAACACTCCTTCATCCCCATGTCACAGAGAACATAATTAATAATTCTCAGCGATATGGGGTTAACTTGAAAGCCAGTAATTTTGCTGGCATAATAGATTATATAAAGCTTAATAGCTCGTGATACGTAGTTACTATATTGTCGTGTAAAGATAAAAAAATAATAATAATCACAAACTGTGCTAACATATGAAGTGAGGTCCTGACAATTTGTTTAAAAATCTGATTTTGCATGACATGTTGTCAAAAACAGGTATGGCCCTGACCGTCCCAAGTACTTGGGTCCCTTCTCTGACCAGATTCCATCATACTTGACTGGTGAATTTCCTGGTGACTACGGCTGGGACACAGCTGGATTATCAGCTGACCCTGAGACCTTTGCCAGGAACCGTGAGCTTGAGGTAATTCACAGCAGATGGGCTATGCTTGGTGCACTGGGCTGTACCTTCCCAGAAATCCTTGAAAGGAATGGTGTCAAATTCGGTGAGGCAGTGTGGTTCAAGGCTGGTGCCCAGATCTTCTCTGAGGGTGGCCTTGACTATTTAGGCAACCCAAACCTTATTCATGCTCAGAGCATCCTTGCAATCTGGGCTTCTCAGGTTGTGCTCATGGGATTTGTTGAAGGCTACAGGGTTGGTGGAGGACCACTTGGTGAAGGACTAGACCCAATTTACCCAGGTGGTGCCTTTGACCCACTTGGTCTGGCTGATGACCCTGATGCATTTGCAGAGTTGAAGGTGAAGGAACTCAAGAATGGCCGGTTGGCAATGTTCTCCATGTTTGGTTTCTTCGTTCAGGCTATTGTTACTGGCAAGGGCCCTATTCAGAACCTTTTCGACCATCTTGCTGATCCAGTTACCAACAATGCATGGGCTTATGCCACTAGCTTTGTCCCTGGACAATGAGGATACCAAGATGTGTCTTTTCAGCTGCAATCTTCTGCTCCCGTGTGCAGTTCCTTTGTGTTTAACTCCATTTTCACTAATGTAACTACACGAGCAGAAGAATCTGTATGAGCACCATATTATGTAATAGAAATATGGATCCCCAGAAATATCAACGCTTACGCATGAATTCGGAACACTGTTACGATTGTGTTGAAATTTATGATTTCTGCTTTTTCCCAAAACCGGAACCTCCTTCCCACTAATATTAATTAGTTCAAATATTGAAAACATGTTGAAGGCCTCCACTGTAAATAAAAAAAATTCCTGAACTATGTGAAGGTTAAACCCAACCATATGCAGAAATTTAAACTTTTGAACTTTGTCTATCATTTGTTTGACAATCAAGGTTAGATTTTTCGCTTAAACTCGAAGATAATTTTGAAAATGCAGAAACCTTAAAATGAACAGAAGATGCCAGTTAAAACTGAAAGACCATAATTATCACTTCCGGGGATTATACACAAAGAAAATGACACTGGGAGTAGTACATTATATACAAATGATGGCGCATATTCATCAAGATTATCTTTATCAAGTGAAAAAGAGGCCATGATAAATTTCAATTACATAGCTATAAATAACCTTTTCGAAACTGACATCTCAGCAGGGAGGCTGGGAACTCCAGTGATGTGTGTCAAAAGCTGCCCAAAGATCCATGACATACTAATGGAATGGCAGTCACCAAAAGTCATTGCAAGAACATGATCCATTTTTGAAATGATGGAAACGGCTATTATCTCTCACTATAATTTCACGATCATAGATAGCAGAGAGGAGTTTAGTAACTACATGGCAATCATTGCAGACTCGAAGGTTTTTTATAATGCGAATAGGTGTTCTGCTTTCCATATTGATGAGACCAAATGAGATCGCCAACCTCTCACTGTGGTTCTCTAGTTCAGATTCTTTTTCTTTCTCGTCTTCAATATTTAGCAGAACTTGGTTTGTGTCAGGAACATGTCCCACCAGTTTCAGTTTCTCCCTCATCTCCCTCAACTTAGCATATATATCCTCGGTTTGGGGATGTGATTTATCACCCACAATAAACCGATGGAGTTGACCTCTGTGCTCAATGAAGCTGCATCCAGCATCCTTTATCACTCCTCTCCTCTTCATCATTTCTCTTACTAGTGAAACTTTATCCCACTTCCCCGCTGCGGCATACATGTTAGAAAGTACAGTATAACACCCAGTAGCATCTGGATCCGCCTTAATCAAATTACGAGCTGCATATTCACCAATTTCCAAGTTTCTACGGTTCCTAGCACCACCAAGCAAACTCATCCAAATGACTTTGTTTGGTCTCATTGGCATGCTCTCAATGACACTTTTTGCCCGTTCAAGATGCCCAGCTCGACATAGAAGATCGACAAAGCAACCATAATGTTCAACCGTGGGTTCAATTTTATACTCATTTATCATCATATGAAAAATTCGGCTTCCCTCGTCTACTAAGCCTGCATGACTACAAGCATTCAACACTCCAATGAAAGTTATAGCATGTGGCTTCATTCCAATGCTACGCATTTCAGAAAATAGTTCAAGAGCTTGATCAGCCAAACCATGCATTCCTAACCCCACAATTATAGCAGTCCAGTGCCCCAATTTCTTGTTAGCAATTTCTTTGAAAACAGTAATAGCACTCTCTATGCTGCCACACTTGGAATACATTTCTATCAGTGACGTACCAAGCACGCCATCCAATTCAAAACCTTGCTTAACCATGAGCGAATGAATCCATCTTCCATTACCAAAAACAGCCAAACCCGAAACAGCAGAAAGAGCACTGAGCATAGTAACATGGCTAGGCACAAGCCCTTCTTCCAACAATTCTTCAAACAACTCCAAAGCTTCAAAAAAACACCCATTGCGCTGGTTTCCGGCTATCATCGTGTTCCAACTTACCAGATTCCTCGCCGGCATCTGGCGAAACAATCGCCGAGCCAATTTTGTTTTACCAGACTTCATATACCCATCAATCATGGCATTCCAAGAAACCAAACTCTTGCTAGGCATTTGATCAAATATCTCTCTCGCAGCCTCAACATTGCCGCATTTGCATAACCCATCAAGCAAAGCAGTCCAAGTAAAGGCATCTCTGTGGGGCATTTCATCAAACAGCTTCATTGCCAGTTCGACATTCCCATTTCTAGCATACCCATCAATCAGAGAATTCCAAGACACAACATCCTTATCAAGCATAAGATCAAACACTCGCCTAGCCAAAACCATGTCACCCCATTTAGCGTACATGGTGAGCAAACTACTCTGCACGAACTTGTCGGAAGCAAAGCCAATTTTGAGGAGAAGGGCATGGAACTGTTTTCCTTCGGGAATGGCGTTGAGGCGAGCACATGCCTTGATGACACAGGGAAGAGTGAAGGAGTCGGGAAGGTGGTGGTGAAGCATTTGGCGAAAGAGAAGAAGCGCGTGGTGTGAACGGTGGTTGTGAAGGTGGGTGGAGATGGCGAGGTTCCAAGAAGAGACGCGTTGAGGATAGAGAGAGGAGAATGGTGTCTGCATTGTCATGGAATCCATAATTAAGCTCTTAAAAATTAATTTATATATAAAAAATGTTAACTTCAGTTTTTTTTTTTTTTTACCAAAGGTAGATAATTAAAAATATTAACTTTTTACTAAAAAATATTATATTTTGATTTTACTTTTTTACATTTTTATTAAATAGTTAATTTTGATTTCTTTCGTTACTGCAATTTTAAGAAAATAATATATATGACACAAAAATTAACACATTATATTAATTAAGAACTAAAAGTATATTAATTAAAATTTAAAAAATTATAAGAACTAAAATTAAAATACATATTTAAGCTTAAAATTAGTTCAACCTAAGTTTTCTCTCTTCAACGATAAGATTTTTAAAAATGATTTTAAATAAGAATACTTGTAAGAATTCATGTTTAATTATGTGGTAAGATTTTTCTTACATTTAACCTTTTTGATTTAAACTCATTTAATATAAAAATATTCATTATAAATGATGAAAATGTTACCTCTTTTTAAACTTATAAATTTTATTAAAATTAAAAATAGCAATGTAATACACGTTCAATTTTTTTAATTTAAAAATATATTTTTAATTTTACCTAAAAATATTTATTATATTTTTCAATGGTCACCACATATAAAAAGAAAATTTTCAATTCTTTATTTTCATTCTCATCAATCTAAACATCGCATTTTTTTCACTTAATAAAATTTATGTCTATTTGATTTCATTCTATTTCGCTCCACTACCCAAACAAAATATTAGACTACCCGATACTTAATTCCCCACCACATCATCACATGTCTAATAGTCATAGGGTAAAAAATTCTTTTAAACTTAAATAATATATTTTTACCATAAATAACAATGAAGAATTGAAGATACACCTCCATCAATTTCATCCACCCTGTTGAATCACATACTCTAGATTACTTTTTTTTTTCTTTCTTTTGTCATTTTGTATGATGGGCCAAAGTACATAAATTATGTTACTTTTAATACGATGTGTCATATTTATTATTCTTACCCCATGTCATGCATATATTACGCGCCAAAGGAAGAAATTTTGTCATCATCATCATATATCCTTGTTTTGGCTTTCTTTTCATTTGCAAAACATTCAATTCTATCCATTTCTCCATAGCTTTTATTTCTCTGATCACCAAAACAAATTAAACAATACAAGTTATGAGTTGTATATTACTATAGAATATAGATCCGGGGTTACAATCACAGCGACTAACGTTAGCATGACTTACAATTTAAAAGTGGGTAGAGTGCATGGTTGAACAAATTAACCATGTGTTTACATAATAGAGTGAGCTTTATCTAGCTAGCTATCTCCTTCATTGACACACTATGAGTACTTAAATCATTGATGGCAAACTCCAAAGATATTCCTTCTCGATTCCTTTTGTCTCTTGTGCACAACACGACCCTCCCCTTGTAGCTCCAAAACAAGAATAGCGCATTCAACAGTAAAAACCCATTAAAAAAGGAAGTATTATACCAACAGGAGCAAACAAAGAAGTACCATCTTCTCCGAAGCAAACAGCGGCTAAAATTGACAAGCCCAGATAAGCATTACCTAACCATTTATTCCCCACAATACTCCCTTCCAAATGCTACTCAGCATCATCAATTTGGACTCTACCTCTCACCCTTTTCCTCCTTCAAAAAGTCCCTTTGGCCACACATCTAGCGACCCTGCCTTCCTCTATACTAACTTTCAACAACCATCTCTTTGGCATCTTCTCCAACAGCACTCGATTCTAATCTATGTTGCTATCATCAGGAATCAATTAGAAGGACCCAAATGAAAAAAATAAATGCTGAACAGCAAAAAATGATTATCTCCTATATATGCACTCCCTTGTACTATATACCACTTCCAAACCACTACATGCCAAACCCACCAAAATATAGCTCCCCCTCCTCTCCCATGAACCCAATAAAGAACACCCCATATTGAAATTTTACTCACTGCCAAATGGGTAGGCAAGATAATGATCCTACCACTGTGAACTCCTCCATTGCTCTTCTTCAAGAGAGGTTTAGACAGCTAGAGAAGGTGAAAGAAAGGAGAGAGGGGAAAGAACTTCTTAAATTGTTGTCATCAGAGACCTCATCTATGCGCAACCCCCCATCACATAACTCTCAACAACCAAGGTTGGTGGTTCCACACAGGCCAACTCTCCATGATTCTCTTTCTCTTGGTCTCAACTTTACAACCAAACAAGGTGATCACAACACCATGAAATCACCCCCATCCTGGCCTCAAGGTGCATCAACATCAAGAAATTTTGATAGCTCAGACGTTGATACTTCGCTTCATCTGTAAATATATATTTACTATTGTTTGTCTTTGCTTCCCTAGTACCTATATAGTTGTATAATATAACCCTATGTTCTCCATCATTTTGTATCAGTAATCAAGGAGGATATGTATCAGTTATGTTCTTCTTCTTTTTTTCTTTTTCTTTTCCCTTTAAAGTATGCTGAGTGACATGAAATGCGTAATTGTATATGGAATTCTCTAAGCAAAAATAATTACTTGGAATTTTATAGGCCATGAAAATAGTGTTTTTGTGTTGCTTGATATCAAGAAGGCGATGATGAAGGTAATTCAGTTATAGATTTTATTTTGATTTCTTTTGTTTTCATCAACTATTAAATTGATGGTTGTTATATCTTGGGTGTGTAATTCAACTTGTACATACAAGGTGAAAGGAGAGAGGGAATAAAAAGATGAGAAAAAAGACAAAACGCATTATAAAATCTAACACAATTCCACATTTTCAAAATTCACTTTTTAATGCTTAATCACATGAGCTAATTTGCGAAGACTTAATTTACACAATTTTACTATAAAAAATTCCTAAATATTAGTTATTTGATTTCAATTTTGTAAGAAAAATTTTAAAAATGTTATCATTTCCTTGTAAGTAATCATTTCCAAACGTGAAATTGATTAATTACTTATAATAACTTCATTGCTATTTATAAGTTGTGTAAAATCATAAATGCATCATGCCTTACTCCAATATCAATTATCAAGTGACCTCCAGTTATACATGAACATCGAGACACACAAATACGACAATTGTATGGATTAAGCTTTTTCAATATTTAAAATATGTAAAATGATAATTTATCTATCTTTAATTTAAATTAAATTTTTTTTATAGATATAATTAATTAAAAAAAATTTATTTTATACATTTTATTATTTTAGAGAAACCAAGTCTCAAATGTATTACGATTCTTAATTATTATTATTATTTGGACAATATCTTAACTTGTGCTTTTTGTTGGATTGATACTTATCAATATAGTAGTATTTTTCAAAAATAAATACGAAAGGTAGAAAAGTTATGATATTTTACATTGATGCATCTGATTTTATTTTATGTTTTTACAATGTTTTCAATTTTTTAAAATTCGAGTCTTGCTTTACTAATTGTGATCTTACTTATTAAAGAAAGTAGCTTAACATTTTTCAAAAGTCAGGAAAGAATACTGACTAATAATTTTTTAGCAGGTAAAGTCGAGTAAAAATATCAAATATGAAATAACGTTATATGGTTTACAATTAATCATATTTATAAGCAAATCACTAATATTCAAACCATTCAAATGTCAAAAGAAAATGAACATAAAATATCAATTCACGATTATTTACTTACATGGAATGCTAAAGTAAGTGTAACCTTTACAATAAACATTTAAAAAAAAGCACTTTAAATTTCAGAATTTCGATGAAATTAAGAACCAGTGTCAAAACTTCATGACAAAAATTAAATGTATACTAAAAATAAATCTTTATGCAAACACTTTCAGTACTTCGGTTCTCAAAAACATAGTAATGTTTCAATTAATTGTCCTACTTGGTAACAATTTAATTTAGTGTTGAGTAGAATTAATTTGAAATTATTAAATATAATTAAATTGTATGCTCAAAATAATTTCAACAACAAAATTAATATTAAAATATGTTTGATGTGAAAATTTCAAAACAAACAAGTTCTTACAATGTTGATATGATGTTTACCTCACATTAGCTTGTCTTTGAAAAAATATATATTATGGTTTGTTTAAATTTTATGAGAAATTATTTTATTTGAGTACAAAATGTTTATAACGTGATAGTTAATTATTTTAATAATTTCATTAAAATATTTTGACAATATAAACTAATTTTATACTATTATTTAATCATAAATAATTACATTAATAAAAATTATTAATCTCTATAATAATTAATTTAAATTTATATCTATCATACATTTTAATTAATTGATAATATAAAAAAATACATTAATGGTTTTAAAATTGAATTCTGGTTTTAATAGAGATTTTTCTGTATAAAATTCAATTTGATATATTGTTTAAATAAAAACAAACATATATTACTTAAAATCAATCACCAGTTAATTAAGTCAATATATATGGGCTAATTTACATTTTTAAAGTAAGATAAGAGGCATTTCATTTACACGAAAATGGCTTGTAAGATTCATAAATTCTATCTTGGGTGAGTTATAACAAACTATTCTAACGAAGGAGTGTTTTATATTATGGGTTAGAAGCTGAAGTTCTTTGAGAAGAAGCAAAAGAAGGGAAAGAATAAGGGTACAAGATGTTTTATTTGTGGAAAAATATGTCATTTTGTAAAAATATATGACTATAATATTTTGTACTTTTTTTTTCCTCAATGTAATAGAAACACGTTATCTAAATATATTTTTGGATAAATTGTAAAAATAAAAGTGAAAATAACATTTTTTATATTTCTAATAAGAATGTAAAATAAAACAATTCCTTAAACGAACAAATTCATAAACTTTTAGTGATATAATATCAGTCACAATTTACAATGCATATTATAATTAAAGCTAAAAAAAATAGTCGTGCAGCGTTTTTTTTTTTTTTTTTCCAAATTCTTATTTTCAGTAATTTCCAATTTTTTTAAAGTAATATTTATCCCCCCAAAAGTTGATGTCTTTATCAGACATTTTCAAAATTGATAAATGAATATTAATTTTAACATAATTAATATTATTTAGGACAAAATATAGTTATGGATTCTGATTTGCTAGTGGTACTTTTTTGTTTGGTTCAAAACATATGTATTAGTTTAGTTATTTTATTACTTTTATGGTTAAAGTGTAGACGTGTAATATTGTCGAAACTCGATGAAAAAAAATTATTATTATTATAAAAAATTTATATAACAATACACCTCTTAGGACAATAATTATTCAAATTAAACTAAAAAATTTGGGTATGAAAAAAGAAATGGAAATGTTCAGCGAGGTGAAGAAACGAGGAGCATCGAGAAGCTTCTAAAAGCCATTTTTTGATCACACAAACAAACCCTTCTAAAACCCTACCATTTCGCTACTCTGTTTAACGCAGTTTCTGAATCTCATAGTTGCTTACTTCTCTCACTCTCTGTTCTCAATATGCACAGACTTTCTTGCCGCTCCTCCTCCGTCTCCGCCGTACTGCGCTACGGCGGCGCACTTCGCCGGGACGTGGTTGCTCCGCTTTCCTCTTCTCACTCCGCTACGGTACTCATTTCTTTCATCTTTCTCGCTTTACAAACATGTCTTCATTTCAAATTCCATAATCTCTAGTCCTTGCTATTCGGGGTTAGCTTCAGTATCCAATCCATTTCCTTTTCAGCGATTGTGTTTAGTTTTTATAATTGTCTGTTAGATAACATCATGTGTTTTTTTTCCAAGTGCAACTGATGTGTTGGGATTATACATGTTGTCATCTTGTATAATTGTCGTGTTTTGTGTACACTTCTCTTTCTGTTACGTGCAGGTCGGTGAGAATGATTCCAAAGCCAGATGGTTTTCTTTCCTCAGTTCGGAGAAATCAAGCGTGACTAAATCCACAGATCAGGAAAATTCTAAAAGAGATTTGTTCTTTGGCAAACGGTATGAATCAACTGCTGCAGAATCTTCTTCATCAAGTTCTCCACCTGCTGAGAGATATGAGTACCAAGCAGAGGTATGGCTATTTTTAATGTCCGCTGTTCGTGTTGCTCTCTGTTGCGAATGATTTATTGTGGGCATGATTTTGGATAATATGCATCGTTGGCAGGTTAGTCGACTCATGGACCTCATTGTTAACAGTTTATACAGTAACAAGGAGGTGTTTCTTAGGGAACTTATCAGGTGCGTTCTACCACTGTCGTAGAGCTTAAGCAGTATTTGCATGTATTTGGTCTGGTAATCTTTTTGGTAACTCAAATTCGTCTGTTAGGTGGGTGATCGCAAATGGAATTATATTGTTATGGCATTTGTGTTTGTTATGTTCATTGTTGTGGAATGTATTTATCAATATAATGAGCTGAAGTTGCCTTTTAACGGCATCTCCTGGTTGCGTTGGTGTATGGTTTCCCCGAGATATATTGCAAGAAGTTACAGGATGTGGTTTAGAAAATTGTATTTAAGTTTCACCTCTGTCTTTTAGAAAATTATTTATAGAAAGAGATTTGAAAAATCCAAATGCCGAAGCCTTTGTCTGCATTGAATCTATTGATTGAATGTTACCATTTCTACAGTATCCAATCAGTTGATCTATATGCATTTTGTTTACAGTAATGCAAGTGATGCCTTGGATAAGCTGCGATTTCTGAGTGTAACAGAGCCTGAACTGTTGAAGGATGCAGTTGATTTTGATATCCGAATTGAAGCTGATAAAGATAATGGGATTATCAGTATTACGTAAGAGAAATAGCTATGATTAGTTTTTGATGATTCTTTTTTCAGTTGGTGCTGCAACTTATGTTTTATGCAGTGATACAGGCATCGGTATGACAAGGCAAGAACTAGTTGATTGTCTTGGAACTATTGCTCAAAGTGGAACTGCAAAGTTTTTGAAAGCTCTAAAGGTCTTAACTGCTTCTGAAAGATGCTTTTGAATTTTATTGTCTTTATTTCCTTGTGGTTATGTATCTTATGTGCTGACAAAGGTGTATCACTTTAAAGGATAGCAAGGATGCTGGAGGTGACAACAACTTAATTGGTCAATTTGGTGTGGGATTCTACTCTGCTTTTCTGGTTGCTGATCGGGTATGCATTTGTGTAAAAGTAAAAATGGGATACTATTTTTTCCTTTATGGTGGTTATATAATTTTTGTTGATTGAAGGTGGTCGTCTCTACCAAGAGTCCAAAATCTGATAAACAATATGTTTGGGAAGGAGAGGCAAATGCAAGCTCATATACCATATCTGAGGAGACAGATCCTGATAAGCTGATTCCAAGAGGAACTCGCCTTACACTATATCTTAAGGTATCTTCATAATCTCCTTTTCTGACCTTCAAGTTTTTTCTTTGTTCCTGAGCTAATGACTGTGTTTGCATTTTATCCTACTAATTTTCAGAGGGATGACAAAGGTTTTGCTCATCCAGAGCGGATTGAGAAGCTTGTGAAAAACTATTCCCAATTTGTCTCATTCCCAATATACACTTGGCAGGAAAAGGGATTCACCAAAGAGGTACGGCTATACACTCCTGACTCCAGATATTTTTATTTTGATAGCACTATCCATGACCATATTATTTGCCTTTTGGGTTAATTTCATCCCCCCTCTAGATTGTAAAGTTAATTTTCTGGTCTTTTTTATATAATTTTGAATTCATTCCAGGTGGAAGTTGATGAGGATCCAGCTGAGGCCAAAAAGGATGAGAAAGATGAAAAGACTGAGGTAACATTCTAATTATTTTGCACATGTGCTGAATTAAGTATGTGTATGAATTTGAATGGGTGATTGTTTAGCTGCTGCAAATTCACTCATTGATTTATGACTTTGATGCATTGTTTATTTTTATGACAGAAAAAGAAAAAAACTAAGACTGTTGTTGAGAAGTACTGGGATTGGGAGCTGATAAATGAGACCCAACCAATATGGGTAAGTTCTATGATTTTCAATTGCATGATTTGCACTTATATTAGAAATTTATTACATGAATGATGATTTAGACATTACTCTATTTGTGCAGCTTCGTAATCCTAAAGAAGTCACCAAAGAGGAGTACAACGAATTCTACAAGAAAACATTTAATGAATATCTGGAGCCATTAGCATCGTCACACTTTACCACAGAGGTAAGACTTTTATTGTCTCAACACTCAAGTGACCATCTTGTGTGTGTGGATATTTGTATTTGTTAATGTGAATTCAGAGTTCAGCTGGAAAAAATAGCTTGATAATATCATTTTTTCTGTAGAGGAGATTCATGGTACTAATTTGACTGCTAATTTGCAGGGTGAAGTAGAATTTAGATCAATACTTTATGTTCCTGCCTTTGCTCCCTCAGGGAAAGATGACATAATCAATCCCAAGACCAAGAATATAAGACTTTATGTGAAGAGAGTGTTCATTTCTGATGACTTTGATGGAGAACTGGTATAAGCACTTTACTATGATCCACCTTGAATAACTGGATGGTGTTCTCATAATTTTATCCTGCACTAATGTGTTATTTTCTTAAACAGTTCCCCCGATACTTGAGCTTTGTCAAAGGTGTGGTTGACTCAAATGACCTTCCACTCAATGTGTCACGTGAAATTCTTCAAGAGAGCCGAATAGTAAGTAGATAGGTGACTTGGTTATTCTTTGAGTTTACACCTGACACCTGGCTCACTCTTTGAAGATATAATTATAAAATTCCTTAGCATTTATATTTGCTTAATCTTTTTCTAAATGGTGCTTGAAGGTGAGGATTATGCGGAAACGTTTAGTTCGAAAATCTTTTGACATGATTTTGGGGATATCCATGAGTGAGAACAGAGAGGTATGTTATTAATCTGACAATTGTGAGTTGAATAGAGTTTGCTTTTATTGTTTTTAAAGTTATAGAGGAGCTAGGATTAATTGAGTGGAATTTATCAACATTGTATATATCTTGGCAGTTGGTTTTGGTTTCTTCTTATGTAACTGCTCTTTATAAAAAAGACAGTCAGTTTCCTGTTAGTATTTTATTGGCTGATTTGTTCTGCATACAGGACTATGAGAAGTTCTGGGAGAACTTTGGCAAACACCTGAAATTGGGTTGCATTGAGGACCGTGAGAATCACAAACGTATTGCTCCATTGCTTAGGTTTTTCTCATCCCAAAGTGAAGAAGAACTGATCAGCTTGGATGAATATGTGGAGAACATGAAACCTGATCAAAAGGATATTTATTACATTGCTGCTGACAGCGTGACTAGTGCAAAGAACACACCTTTCTTGGAGAGACTCATGGAGAAGGATCTTGAAGTATAAGCATATTTTTATTAGAGTTTATAACTTGTAGCTTTGGATCAACTTATTTCTATTAATTTAAATATATTGGTTGTTTTTGTATTGTAATTTTTCAGGTTCTGTTTTTGGTGGATCCCATCGATGAGGTGGCTGTTCAAAACCTTAAATCATACAAAGAAAAGAATTTTGTTGACATTAGCAAGGAAGACTTGGATCTAGGTTTACTTTCTTCTTTAAACTTTTTTTGATCATTTGATTGGACAAACGCTCAACTTATTTGTTATTAGCTTTTTTGATTGACCGAATTTGTTAGTCTTTCTTTGGAACCACCGTTAATGCTTACAATGATGGAAATTCATGGCTTGGTTCTTATTTACTGTTAAAAATTGTTAAATTTAGTTTGATGTTTCTGCAGGTGATAAGAATGAGGAAAAGGAAAAGGAGATGAAGCAGGAATTTGGCCAAACATGTGACTGGATTAAGAAACGTTTGGGAGATAAGGTTGCAAGTGTGCAAATTTCAAACCGACTTAGCTCTTCACCTTGTGTTCTGGTGTCTGGAAAATTTGGTTGGTCTGCTAACATGGAAAGGTGGTCGTCTTTTCTATTGGATATTGAACGATGTATTTGGAAGTTTGATTAACATTGTGCGGTATATAATCAAACTTACTGCAGGCTCATGAAGGCACAAACCATGGGTGATGCCTCTAGTTTGGAGTTCATGAGGAGCAGAAGGGTGTTTGAGATAAACCCTGACCACCCTATTATCAGGAACCTGGATGTACGATAATTTGAGAAACCCACTTTCTTTTCCTTGTCGTGAGTTTAAATTGAGATTATGATAACGTATTTTAATCGGTTATTTTCAGGCTGCTTACAAAACAAATCCAGAGGATCAAGATGCCCTCAGAGCTATCGATCTTTTGTATGATGCAGCTTTGGTTTCCAGTGGTTTTACGGTAAACTCATGGCTTGATACTGTTGTTCTGAATGTTTCATTGAAGTTCCATTGTGAAATCCTAAACCTGTATATCTTTTGATTCTATTTGTTGGCGTGCAGCCGGATAATCCAGCACAACTTGGAGGAAAGATATACGAGATGATGGGTATGGCTCTCACCGGTAAATGGTCAACTCCTGGTCAGTTTCAGTCCACTGTAATCCAACCCCATGCCCCAGAAACTGTAGAAGCTGAGGTGGTTGAACCTACTGAGGCTGGCGGACATAAGTGAGAGGATTGTGCTGTGGAGATTTTTGTTTTCCTCCCATTCCCTTCCGCTGTTTATTTCAACGCCGCTAACCGGCGAAATTATATTCTTGAACACTGGTATTTGTGGTAGTCTATAGGTATCCCGAGGAATTCGGCATAACGCAATATCTGGAAACACATGTAATTGTTCCTTTCCGGTGAGATATAAGTAGTTGAAACATCCAGCATCACCAGTTTTTCTTTTATTTTAGAAAATCCTATACTTTTATAATTTGGATAATTGTGCTTCGAGACAACTGAAGCAACTTTTACTAATTAACAGTTGCCACAGCTTCCGGATCTGTGCCAACTGAGTAATTTTTTATAAAATAATTATTAATATTTTTTCTTTTCTTATAATTTCTTTCTAATATTTGTTATATTTTTTTACTACTATAAAAGTAATTTTTTATATTTTTTTATATTTTTAAGATATGAAAATGTATATATTTTTGAATGCTTATTTTTTTTAAAAATAGTAAGAAGATTATTTTTAAACTTTTAACTTGCTCTTTGGTCATTGATAATGAGATGGTAATATGATTTTGTGAATGGACAAATTTTAAGCGCTGTTAGGTGCAAGTTCATTGGAAGAATTGTAATCAAGCATATATTAGGGTGAAAATTTAGTTGTTTGGTAAGGGAGTTTTGGAGAGGGGAGGGGAAAATAAAATTTATATTTTAAATAAATATATTTAAAATTAATTTTTTTAAAAATAAAAAATATAAATTAATATATTAATAAAAAATTATTATATTAATAATGTATTTGTAATTATAAATAATATATTTTTTATTTTTTATTTTTTAAAATAAAAAAATATGTCCTTTCTTTTCAAAAATTCTCTCAAATATATATTTAGGTAAATGCTTAAAATATTTATTTAAATTTAAACTGAATAACCTCATTAAGATTTAAGAACAATTAGAGTAAATTTTGATAAGCAAATCGTAGAGAAGATTTTCATTGTGGTAACTTTTATGATTTATTTGGATGGGTGGGAAGAGTAGAATAATAATTTTATTGCTAAAAAGAAAATAAAAAAGTTTAAAATGGATTTTTTAAAAGTAAAAGTTTAAAATAATATTTTTCTTATTCTTAAAAAAAAAATGTTTGGCTATATACATGGATAGTATATTTTGTTCAAGACAGAAGATGAGGAAAATAAAAGGCCCACTAAATGAAAATGATAATATCTATCCAAAATTATCAATAAAAAATAAGTAAAGTACCAGTGAACAAAGTCAGACAGAAACAACGCGTATAGGCAGGTCAACCGGCTGAATCGGTCATCTAACAACGTTGCGTTGAAAAAGGAGACTTCTTCCCGTCTATGGAATTCAACCAGACTGGAGTTTTGCTTATAAATAAATATAAATTTTCTTTAATTATGTAATATTATATAAAATAAAAATTATATACAATAAATTTTATTAAAATTTATTAATATATAAATTTTTATTCAGTACAATATTGTACATATTAAAAAGTTATATATAATATTTTAAAAAGTAAATATTAAATAAAATATATATATCTATTAATTTACAATATAAAAATATACTAATTAATTTATTTGATTAAAATTTATAAATATAAAAAATGAAAATTTATTAAAAATTATAAACTTATAAAATAAAAATATTAATTTAATAATAATATTTATGTATTGTAATATATTTTAATTAATAATTAAGTATGTATTAAAAACAGTATTTAAAGTATATATTAGTTATTTATTTTATTTTGTCGTGTTCGTTCACCGGTTTGGTGTTTTCGCCGGTCAGGGGTAAAATGGGCAAATAAACCATTGTTCTTTTGACCTAAATTCCTTTTCGTTCACCTTCTGTCCGTTCCCATTTCCATTAAGAAGATACCGCGATCTGAGGCTTCTGTCGAGTTTTCTTCTCTAAGGGTAAGCGTTTGAATCCAAATTTTAATTTTAATTTTAGTTTTTCAAGATATTTTGCTGCGATTGCTTGTTGAATTTCGATTCAGCTCTGTGAACATTTGAAACATCCTTTGCAGCAACTTTTTATTCTTTTTGTGGTCAACTTTATGTTCTGCGATTTTCAAGTTGCATCTTTATCACTTGATCTGTTATTTGAGTTGATGAGTTAACTTCTATGATATCAGTTTCTGTGAGATTGCATATGTAGCTCTCTCTCTCAAGCTTTTTTTATATGATAAGAAGCTGTTGCAAAAGTGTGTCAAGAACAAAATCACTTGTATTCAACTGTTTAATTTTATTCTCTCCCGTTATTACTAATGACTTTTCTTCTGCGGGTTACCGTTATATGCTTCCTCAATTTTTTTTTATTTGGGATCTGGTGTAAAATTTATTATTCATCTCCTGTTTATGTATTTTGGAGGTCTACTTGCAATGGAGAGAAGAGTAAGGCTGCAACTTTTTCCAGATTATGAATATTCTGAATTTTCATATCTATTTTCAACTTTTTAATATTTGATTATTTATAGTACAACAAAGAATATGTAATAATCATGTGCAATGGTATATAATGTGTATAATCACCTCCGCCAGTTACTGACAACAAGTTCTTTCATGTGCACATCACCAGGCTCTAACATAAAACAGTACCCTTCACAAAAAAATGCTCCCTCCACGACAGCAGTCACGAGTTGGAGGACTACAAACATCTCTGTCTCTAGTGTCATCAGATCCTCGTCTCTCGCCTGAGGAGCCAAGATCAAACTCTGATAATCTCCGAGAATCTCCTACTGAAAGTGCCAGTTCTCGAGAAACTTGGCCTGCTGCTGACGCAATTGCTGCTAAGAAGATGGAAAATGGAAAAGCTGAGATTGATTGCCCTGATCAGTCAGTTATTCGTCGAGTTTCTAGTGCAGACAAAATTAGTCTTCAGGACATTGCAAGAGAAAAAGTTGATATAATATGTGGAAAAATGCATCATTTGCCTGAGGAATTTCTTGAAGAGCTGAAAAATGGACTTCGAGTTATCCTTGAAGGAGGGAATGGCTCACAGCATAGAGATGAGTTTTTCATTTTACAGAAGCTTGTTCAGAGTAGATCTGATTTAACAGCCAAGACATTGATAAGAGCACATCGTGTACAGCTTGAAATCCTTGTTGCCATAAATACTGGAATTCAGGGATTTTTACATCCTAGCATCAGCCTGTCACAGACTTCACTTATTGAGATATTTGTGTATAAAAGATGCAGAAACATAGCTTGCCAAAACCAGCTTCCTGCTGATGATTGTACCTGTGAGACATGTGCCAATGGCAATGGTTTCTGCAATCTTTGCATGTGTGTTATCTGCAGCAAGTTTGACTTTGAAGTAAATACTTGCCGCTGGATTGGATGTGATTTGTGTTCTCATTGGACTCACACAGATTGTGCCATTCGTGAGCAACTTATTTGCATGGGCCCTTCTACAAAGAGTGGAGCAGGGCCAAGTGAAATGGTTTTCAGGTGTCAAGCATGCAACAGGACTTCAGAACTGCTGGGTTGGGTTAAAGATGTCTTCCAACATTGTGCACCATCTTGGGATGGGGAAGCCTTAATGAGGGAACTTGATTTTGTTAGTAGAATCTTTGACGGTAGTAAAGACCCACGAGGGAGGAAACTCTTTTGGAAGTGTGATGATCTCAAGGAAAAATTGAAAAGTGGAAAAGTGGAATCTAAAGCAGCATGCAGGGCAATATTGATGGTTTTCCAAGGTTCAAGTTCTTTATTTTTCCTTCAAGTTGTAGCTTTACTATTTCTGCCTCGGCATAGGCTACACACACATGTACATGCATGCACATAGTATTTATAGGATATTAATGTGGTTTGCATTTTTTAAAATCTTAGTCACTATTTTTATATCATGTTTGGTTGTAGTAGAAGGATGAAAATTCTTAAAAACTTTGTTAGGAATGATTAAGAAAAACAAAAAGCTTTTAGACTGCATTTTGAAATTATGGCTGAACTGCTTGTTTTGTCCTTAATAACCTAATTTTGAACACATCTAAGAATAAAATGGTGGTTTGCAATTGTTAGAAAAATATATATAATTAATAGTTTATGCTGTTATGTTTGATTAATATCCTTATTTCTTGTTCTAACCAATTTTTTCCTACATGAAGAGCTGGAGTTGGACTCTCCAAAGAGCTTGGAAAATGCAGAAAGTGGAAGGCTGATTGCTCCTCAAGAGGCGTGCAATAGAATTGCTGAAGTGGTGCATGAGGCAATAAGAAAAATGGAAATAGTAGCTGATGAGAAGATGAGAATGTGCAAGAAGGCTCGCTTGGCTCTTGATGCTTGTGATCGCGAATTAGCAGATAAGGCCAGAGAGGCGGGAGAACTGAAGATGGTCCGGCAGGAAAAGAAGCTACAGATTGAAGAACTGGAGAGAATTGTGAGGCTTAAAAATGCTGAGGCTGACATGTTCCAGTTAAAGGCTAACGAGGCTAAACGGGAGGCTGAGAGGCTCCAGAGGATTGCTCTTGCAAAGTCAGATAAATCAGAGGAAGAATATACTAGCAACTATTTGAAACAAAGATTAAGCGAGGCTGAGGCTGAGAAGCAATATCTGTACGAGAAGATTAAATTGCAGGAGACTTCTCGTGTATCGCAGAGCAGTGGTGGGGGTGACCCCTCTTCGACACTGATGTATTCCAAAATCCATGATCTTCTCTACAGTGTTCCCCCCAAGACAGACAGTCAATCTAATGAATGCCACCCGTTTAGAACAAACCCTTGAGCACCAGTTCAGTGGAGTATTGGAGTATTTTGTAATCTTTTACATTTTATAGAAATTTCATTCTGTTACTCAACAAAGAGTCAGTCTAATTCCATTAGGTTCGAGACAACATAAGCCTTTGTAGAGGGAGGTGGTAATGGTAAGGGCTTAAATCAGTCTAAAATTAGATTTGTTCTATGCAGTGTATGTATGAATATGCGATTGTGCGAATTTTTTATTATTGCTTGACTTGTGGAATCTTAATTAGTTGGTAAATATGTTTAACATGTGGTGAGCTATGTAGTCATATCTTCTGATAGTTGGATCAGGACTAGAGGCCAAATAAATCATAAGGAAAGTAGAAGTGATGTTATATTATTGATGAAAGTGCACGACATTACAGCTGCAGGCAAGTATTTTTCTAGCTTTACTGGAAAGGTGGGATACTCATCTTTTTGACAGATGAGGCTAGGTTTGGCATATTACTGTTCTTTGGGGGATCCTTATGTTCTGGAGACCGGTGGAAGGGCACACTGTTGTCAAATATCATTGCAGCACTGATTCCGTGGCACCTTATTAAAGAGCTTTGGCACACATTTGGTGTGACAATCCTTGCATTGTTGACAAACAAGCCTGTTCTCCCACTGTTGGTGATGCTGATCACCCTACTTGGAACGCTAGAGGGAACTACAGAGCCATTTGGAAAATGTAATAAATGACTGAGCACTAATGGTGTTGGAATGGAATGGCTGAGTATGAAATCATGGAGCTGATCTGGGATTATTGAGAACTGTGATAGTTCTTCATCATTTGGCATTAGGAATGTCAAATCATTGTTTTGCAGGGAGTTGGGCTGGCTGTTGAGTATTTTGAGGAGGATGACAAATCCATAGTAAGACCGACTTCTCATGTCAGCCATGGCTGCCTGCAGGTCGGTTTGGTTGAATGATGATGTGGACTGTGATTCACCAATTGCAAAGAGTGCAAGAAGGACAACAAACCAAAGAGCCATTAGGGAAAAGACCAGGTTTTGCTTGAATGTTTACTGTTTGTGTAGAGTGCAATGAAATCTCACTTTGATTGATTGGTATTTATAGCCACGTTAATGTTTCACGCCTATGTTGCCACACGTTTTCCCTTTCTAGGTAGGTAGGTGCCTAGGTGGTGGGCCGGTTGTGCATGAAGAGGCCCTGATCATGTAGTAGTTAGTTCAGAAAGATGAAAATGCTTTAGAGGATGGAGAACAAAAATTAATCAATAATGAATCACTGTTGTTAATTATCCTAAAAGTTGAGCCCGAATCTGCATCTTATTATAACTTCACATTTTTGTATTTTACCTGAATTGCACATCAAGGAGTGATCGTCATGACTTCAATCTCAAAATTCAACATACTCTAATTAATCAAGACCCAGTTTCTTATTCTACTCTAAGCACGTATAGGGAAATAAGAATAAAAATTATTTTGTGAGAGGAATCATAAACAGATGAAAGGTGTGTTTGTTTGTTTCGCGGCCAACGGGATTAAAAATCACAGTTATACTTTTTCAGGAAAAAGAATCATTGCGAAAGCAATTCGTTGAGTTAAACAATAAAGGGTCAATGTCATATTTATGTACCCAAAAAAGAGATGGTCAATGTCATGTTAGAGGTATCAGGCGATTATTCAGACATCTACAGGACATAGGTTTGTCAAAACTTAAGAGCTGAAACCTGAAAGTGATACAATTAAATGAGCCTGCGTAATAAGGTAGAGTTTTATGTTGCAATCAACCTACCTATGCAAATTGTAGGTACTGGTAGCAATTGTTGTATTATGAGAAATGATAAAACTTAAATGCAATATGATAAATAGTATTAGATTATCTTTGATAAATATAGCTTATAATTTATTTACGAGTTTGTAGAATATTGATTTGGTAAATAAATTTAAAAAGATTTGTAATTTTTAAAAAATTTATTTAAATAATGTTTAGTTTTGTAAAGTTAAATATCAATTTTTATTATATTTGTCCTTTCAATTTATTTTATTTCTAAGAGTTCATGACCTATATTAAATTAAGTTAATCCCTATAATGTTTAAATTTGACTTTTTTCTGAACTTAAAAGCTCAAGTCTTGCATACTTATCTAATAATAGATTTCATCCTAAGACATGACTTTATCTTTCTTTTTTAACATTTAACTTGCTCTAAATATTTATTTTAAAAGTTCATATATAACACAATATGGTAAATAAGTAAAAATTGCTTTTATATAAACTAATGATCAAATTTATATAACAGGTTTAAGTTTTAAATTCACTAAGTATATAATATAAAATTCATAATTAAAATTAAAATGAAATTAGACATGCATTTTTATATTGAAACATTAAAAAAATTAAAATAAATTTCATTTAACTTTAAAATAAGTTCAGTATAACTTTCATCTAATTCATTGTGTATATCAATTACCTACTTTATCTTTATATATCTCTTAGAACTTTTTGGCCAACAATGTTATTCTAAGAAACATCAATATGCTCTAAATTGATTCAGTTGTTGAAAACTTCAGCTGCCACTTGTTTGAAGTGGTGGTCGTGTCTCCACCAAAGGTGGGGGACACTTCCTCACCTCAATTGCCTCCAAACACTAGCTCCTGTGTGGGTAAAACAAAAATAATTTTGAAAATTTCGATTTGACCCAGAGTCAAGATAGTAAACCATTTGAAGACAAGCTTGAAGATTATAATCTTTCATACTCAATTTATAAAGCCATTTGCATCAGCATGTCCTCTTCATACCCATTATTATAAAATATAACAGATAACTGACATCTTAATATTATAGAGGTTCAAAATTTGATGAATACATCAAGCTTACAGAAATAATATTCACAAGCTAATCAATGGTTACAAACACTTGCATTGATAAAAATCAGCAGAGCAAAGGTTGCTATCAAGCTTGGTCAAGACAAGGTTGTGTGTCAGGGAAATAGATAGGCGAGCTAATTTATAATGTCCTTTGTCTTTTACCATTTTTTTGTCTCTATCTTGATTAAGTTGTCAACTTCAAAACTTGTACATGGTACAGTTGTCGAATTTTTAAAGAAGAATTGTGAAAATATTATGATATTTAGTAATATTTATAAAGAATGATTTTAATAAATCTTTCCATAACATTTTAATGACTGAGAATAAACAATTAATAACAATAGTTTAATTTAAAAAATATTTATTCTATTTTTAATTTTAATATAATAAATATAAATTTTTTAATAAAAATTTTCTAGATGCTTTAGCTCAGTCCTGATAAAACCCTTTATAAAATACTGAAATCCAACCTAAATAATCATTTAATTATTATAATTATCTGATTCTCTCAGTCCCTAACTACGAGTAGGGCAGCTAGCTGTATACACAACACAAACTATAGGCTACAGCTTCTTACGTTGAAGTTGAAGGAGCAGTTATTGTGCATCCGAGGCAGACTGCACATGTTGCCTCCCATGTACTGTGTTCAGATCTTCCTCCCTTCAATCAAATGTATGATGCTACCTTACCTAGTTATGTTCTTCCTTTTCTCTCAATATTTCCTCAAGCTTTATTTAAATGATAAAAGAAGAAGAAAAATAGAAATATATATTATTTTTTATAAATTAAAATGAAAAGATAAGTAAAAAGAATTCTCCATTCTATTTTTAGTGAATAAACTTAAATTTGCTGTAAATTTTTTGAACTTGTTTTGAAAGTAATATAGGCTACATTTTAAAACTCAAATAATTTGCTGTAAATTTTTCAATTAAATATTGATAATTTAAATAAGTTAGATAAACATATTACTTTATATATTGTAGTGGTAGATATTTCCATTATAGAGGTTTTTTATTTTCATTAAAATATGTTGGTATATAAACCACGAGTAATTAAATATATACTTCATACTGAGGTAAAAACCTCATATAAAGTATTTTAAATATTTATATCATCTATATTGTATCAATATATTCACATCAAATTAATACAAATATAAAAAATTAAAATGAAACCTTAATAATTAACATCTCTTTTTTCTATGTAGAAATATTTATATTACACATAAAATAAAACTTTAAACAGCAGGATATTAATATTTATATTATAAAAATAATATTTATATATTTTTTGGCATACATTTTTTTGCGAGCATACAATTTTTATTTAAATATATTTACTTATTAGAAGATAATTATGTAAAAAAATATAATCCATAAATCACCTGAGATTAAACTACTAGTTGTTTGTTATTAACAATGGATAAACGCCACAGTAGGCCCAGGTAGATTATATTTACTAAATTAACTTTATTCCTCTCATAATCTCGTGCTTTCTCTGATATTCACGTAGTTGAAACTTTAGAAAACTTTAGAAATTATAATAAATACATTGGAACAACAATGGAAACTTTAGAAAGAAATGTAATAGATATAATTCGTTTCTTAAAGGTTACTTACTTTTTTGTGAAAACGCCTATATTTTTTAAGCAAACTTTTGATTTTTTTATATCCCTCAATCAAATTATGAATTTCAAAGAAAAACATCAAATTGTTATATATTTTGCCTATTATATAAAATTAAAGGCATTAACTAATGGAAGTTTAGATGCAGAAAACTCCAAGATAATGTTACTGCATCGATAATCATGATTAGCACTCGTAAAGATATTTTTCTAAAACCTTTACAAGCTCATCGTGCTTTGGCCAATTTTAAATCATCATGGAGATCGAATTCTAGTTGATTTGTTGCTATTACTTCCAATTATTTCCAACATTTAAAATAGATATTCAAACCAATATATATAGCATTTGTCTTTTCCCCCTTAGAAGCTAGAGACTAAAGCCATCAAATCTTGAAACTTACTCTCTTAAATCTTAAACTATGATTAGATGGTGTATATGTATGTATAATTCCGTATCTTTGTCCACAAGTTTCATTAATTGCTTAGCTTAGGCAACTTGACTAACTTTAAAATCTGGGTCCTTAATTAATTTCAGATTGAATTATTGGAATTACAAAGAGGGAACATTAATTGAATCATTTGATTATCATATAATAGCAATACTAGACCGAATTGGCTTTGTTTTGTCGTCCTCAACATCGAGTTAGTAATAATCCATGGCCAAAGACACCCTCCTCTTCAATGTGTTTAACTAAAAGAAAAAGAAAAAGAAAAAGAAAATACTGTATAACCATGCAAAGAAGGAAGTTGAAAATAATTTTATCTTATATTTATGAAGAGCATGCTTGCCTATAGAAATATTCTATGAAGAAAAAGACATTAAAAAGTACGTGGAAAGATTATAAATTCCATGGCTTTAATAGGTTAAATTAATAAATAATGAAGAAAAAGGTGATAAATAGTGTAGGTGGAATAATTAGGAATAGAATGCATATTCTTGAAGAGAAATCTTCCTAGGGAGAATAATAGACATTGTGGTGGGTCTATGCCCAACTGGATTTTATAATTATTGAAGCTACACATAGTTACTTGATGTGCCCCATACAGTGATGCACTTCCACATGAACATAGTACTTAGCTCCAAAAGATAAATAAATTGATATAAATAAAATAAATGGTGTGGTAGTTTCCATGGCAAGAAGTGAAAAGAAAAGTTGGAAAGGGAAAGTAAGAAAGCTTCCAATGCCATTATGTGGAAGTGGATTACAATGAAGCATGGCCCTACAAGATTAAACCATCTATGAGTTACTTTGATGATTGGATTAATTCTTTTCTGCCTAGTCACTTTCTTTTTGACCTTTAAAATCGATGCTATGTTTTAACATTTTCTTTTCTCTTTAAATTTAAAACCACCTACCCCTAGCAAAGATTTTTCTTTATATAATAACCATCAAAAATATTATTTCTTTTATTGCAATTTAATCTTTTATGATTTTAAGTGCTACACGTACTTCATAGTAAAGGTGCCAATTTGCCAATGATGAACACCCCCACCTCAAAAAAGTGCATTTCTCGTAGTATTTTTTTAGCTACTGTGAATAATCTATGCTACAATTTTATTGAAGATTTATATTAGTGAAAAATGAATATTTATTTTTTCAATTATACGGTAGGAAAGTATATAAACAATAAAAACTACTAACCGTTGAACATACGTCTAATGGATAGTTCTACTATGGTGATATAAGCAAATGAAACCATCTCAGTAAGGAAATATTCAAGCTTTATTAGATGATAATGATATTACAAACCTTATGTTGCACTTATGTAGGTGTATAAACAGCCTATTTGGAATAGTGAAGGAATTAATTCATACTGAAATGAAAATTTAAAAAAATATATCAAATTTAAAGGTTAAATCTAAATATTTAAAAAATATTTTTTTCTTAAAAAATATTACACTCTTTAAAATTTAATGTAGTAAATATTTTATTTTTAATAAAATTTTAATACTTTTAAGTGTGTAAGATTAACTCGTAGGATTGAAGTTAAAAAAAATAATACCAGTCAATTTGTTTTATAAAGTGTAAATCTACTTTTTATCACTAATTTTTTTTTATTGATAATCAATTTTGAATTTTTGATGAGGTAAATGATAAAATAAGTAAATTTACATGCTTCTTCTTTATTAAACTTCATGAAAACTTCTCTCCTAGAGAAACTTATTTCATTCTTTCCAATATATGAAAATTGTATAGCCAATTCTAGTTAGTATTATTACAACAAATATGTTTAGATTCACATTTAAATAAACATAAATCAAGTTTACTTTAATGCTACTAGTATTATTTGAGCAATAAAAACACTCAGGATCACAGATGAAGTGGCATGACAAATCCAACAAGAAGGCTGGTTATGTATGAAACAGTGTTGTTGGTAGTTACTATTTTGACTATACATGGCAAATCTCATAAAGGTGGGGTTTCACTTTAAAACTCAATATAATTCTGAAAAAAAAGGAAACTCACTAATGATAAATCATCACTAATTAATATGCATAACCCTACTTCCCTATTCCTCAATGGGTAATTAACCCTCAATGGAAAATTCAAAGATCTAAACTACAGGGGTTTATGTGCCGTTGATGGCCACCTAATTAAGTTTAACTTATTAAATGTACAAATAATAAAGAAAGATTAGCTTAATAAAATAATATCCATGCAATGATGGTCAAAGCAATTATGCTTTTGATAGTAGTTTAAAATGAAATAGGCACTTTGTTTAGTACTATTGGTGGTTGATTCTCACTTTATTTCATTATTATATATTGGTGGGTAAGGTATATAGCCGACATTCATTTTCTTTGATGCCCCCATTACACCTATATACCCCTCACAAAACCTATATAATTTTCTAAAAAACATCGATTCCAGAATCTTTTAACACCAGGCGCACGATAGCCTTCACCCCTATGAATAATTGCCCATTCTTCTTGAACATAATATTACAGTGTTACTTTCCACTTATGATGGAACTTGGAACTAGACAATGTGCTACGTGTTTTGCCACATTTACCCCTTTTTCTTTCTCTCTCTTCCTATCTTTCAAATTCTTATTCCCTCTCTCTCTTATTCTCACCTCCCCGTTTCACCAGAACCATTTCTCTTCACCACTTTTTTTCTGACTCTCTTTATCTTTTCTGGCACTTAAATCCGTATTCTGCAGTGCACAGTTGGAGTACCACACTCTTTAAACACTCAAGGGTGCGGTCTTTTTCAACCCTTGCAAAAAGCTAAACACCAATATAGAAGTAAAAATGAATAAATGCGAATTAAGATTAAAAAACTTAGGAAATTCAATTATGTTAAAATATAAACAGTAATAATTGACATAAAAATTCCTTTTAAAATTCATTTGGCCTTGTTTTTTAATCATGGATTTTTGTTTGCCTTTGGTTAAACCTTCCCCCACCGGATGATGAGATAATCATGATCCATCCTCAATTAGCTAATGCTGCACACCAAACTGTAGAGAGAGAGAGATTCAGAAAAACAAATTGGGGGTTATATCAGCATTAGCAAGAAGAAGATGGGCACTATCTGATATTGTAGGAGTGTTGATGCTTCTTTTGGGTGTTCAGCGGTCAGTGAGGCAGAAACAACCTGTTGTAGAAAAAGAACAAAATTTCCCGTCTCATTCACAACACTCTCTGTGAGAGACAACTGGGTTTGATTTGGTGTGATTATTACCCCATGCTCCTCTGCTTATCGTTATCTCTTCGAGCCTCGAGGATATCGACAAAAAAAGCTAACTTTTTGGGCTGGACCACTCACAACAGGGTGTTTTGTTGAGGGTTTCATGCAAGTTTTTCTCTTTTTGCTGTGTTCTTCTGTTGATGGAAATATCATAAAGCATCAAACTTTATGAGCTCTGAGGGTTGGATTGCTGAAAGAACATTTGGGGTTTGCTTCAATTTTGTTTTGCAGTTGAAGATTCATGGTGGGGTGCTTGGTGGTTCAGTTTTTGGAATGTTCTGCTGAAGCTGAGGCTTCCTCTGGATCTTCAAGACAGTTTATGAAGATGCGTTGGTGAAATTGGCAAGGATGTCTGTGAATCGAAGGCTTTCTGGTTCAAATGGTAGATTGCCATCAAATATGAAGTGTTGGAAGGTAAATGAGCCTCTGCATGGGTCTAATTCCCCTAGGACATGTAGGAGGAAGCCGTTGCTACTTTGGATTTTTGGCTTTGTTGCTATAGGGACTGCTTGGTTCATCTTGAGTTACAATAGTAGGTATTTGATGAGTAAGGAGAAAGAAGCAATTTGCGAAGAGAGGGCACGAATCTTGCTACAGCGTTACAATGTAAGTAGGAAGCAGATTCATGCTTTAGCTTCCTTGCTCTCTGGATCAGATCAGGTGACTACTTTCGCCCACTCTTTCGGTTTAATTGATTCGTGGTTTGGTATTGTGGTCTTTGAAGACAATTAGTAATTACTCGGCTTCTTGTATTTAGTAACTTTTTTTTTCCTGTTGAGTGTTGTTTTCACTAAACAAAAATCTTCTTGTTGAATTATTTATAAATTTGAGCTGAAGTGAAAATGTAAAATGATGAGAACCAATGGACTGTCTTAAATGATAGGGTTCTAACTGTACTCTTCTGGTGCTTTTTCCTCAAGTTTTTTCTTGGATCGCTTTATGTTGTACAACGGTTTTTTAATTACTAAAAGTGGCGGTTCCGGATACGCTCGCAACCTTTTTAGAAGAAAAACAGTGATGACTATGAGCAGTAAACAAATTGGTGCACTTTGTCCTCAATCTTACTAGTTTATAATGCAGATTTTATCTAACTGTGTCGATGAAAGAAGACTTCAAATGCTGTTAAGCAGTGGCATAGTCAGCACTTCGCAGTTAAAGTGTCCAGAGAATCAGGACTTACAAAAGGAGCATAGATTTGTTGCAGACGCTGTAGAGCCCATGGAACAATGCCCAATTCTGGATGATTATGTCCAGAGAAGGCTTGAATTATCATTCCTATTGAAAAAATATGTATCTTTGGCCTCACACTTTGCGCATGCGTCCGAGTTGGTTAATTATTTGCTCCATGGAAAGGTAGTCTTTTATTAAAGCTGAGTCATTCATGTGTTATGCCCAAAACTTACACAATTTTAATTGTTGATTCTCCTAAAAAATTAGTTTGTACATAAGAATTATAGCCTAACTTGCAGTTCCCATTTCTCAATGCTCAAACCTATCCTAGGTCCTCGGGGTGTGGTATGGTTGTTGAATAGATATACAAAAGCATAGTGACTGAGCTTAAGGCTTCCTGTATGTCATTTCCTGTAAGAGTGCTAAGTTTGTTGAAGTTGAGTGAGAAATAAAACTATTAATAATCCATCATGTGGATCTACAACAATGCTATTTAGTAAACACTTGAACATAATCAAAAGATTCCCTTGAATTGCCTACTCAGCATCATAACATTTTTTTTAGTTTGGCTAGTGCTATAATAAATTCTTGTTTTGATGTGTTAAAGGAAGCACCAGCAATGATAGTCAGCATTTCAATTCATTTAACATATAGTGTATTATCATTACTATATAAAGTCATATCCATGTACAAAGTAGTGGATTTTTGTTTAATTGCTCCAAATATTTCCTTTCCTATGTTACTTGTGATTTTTATACTACACAGACTCTGCTTCTAAGCTTGTGCATTAGCTGTGAAATGTGCAGAGTATGCATGCTTATTTGAAACATGTACATCTACAATATAAATAATTTGCTTTTCCATTTTGGCTTTGCAGAATAGTTTTTTATCATGGGAACTGATAGTCTCTGCAGTTTGGGATCATGTGAGTTCATTTAATTTAATCAAAGGATGCTGGTGGGTCCTTATTGGAATTATAATGTCCTGCAATTTGTCCTGCTTCTGCTTGTGGAGAAGTCAAAAGAGCAAGCTTGTTCAGGGTCATCCATCTGCTCAACAAAAGCGGCTACAACATTTTGTGCAGGGTCCTTCGAAGGGTGCTGGGAGGTGGAGGAAAAAGTTACTAGTTATATTTGTGTCGCTTGGAATAATAGGGTCTGTTTGGTTATTCTGGCACCTAAATGAGGACATTATGCAGAGAAGAGAAGAAATGCTTGCCAATATGTGTGATGAGCGAGCCCGTATGCTGCAAGATCAATTTAACGTAAGCATGAATCATGTTCATGCTCTGGCTATTCTTGTTTCTACTTTTCACCATGGTAAACATCCTTCTGCAATTGACCAGGTAGTGTACTCAAATGTCCTGTTCTTTTATTGATATTTTCCTACTCCATCCTATGCAGACTTATTTATGGCAAATGTCTCATATTTTGCATTTTGTATATCCATTAGCTTTTGCCAAGTGTGTCTTATGTAAATTTTACTAACATATTTGTTTGGCGGCATAGGAATAAAGGAGAAAATGTAAGATTCTTGTGTGTAAAGAAAAACAGAAACTGATTCCCATTCATCTGTAAAACTAGGGACCGAGTTGCAACTGCATGTATATTATAGTAATGTGAAAATATGTTAGTTGGGGATGATGAAAATATGTGTAGGGAAATATTTTTGGAAGAGTTCTGGTTGTGCTATAATGTGTCAAAACCTTGAGCTATCGAGAAGTATATACAATGAAGTTAAGCTCTTGCTCTATGGTTAATTTTTCCTCCACAGCTTGCCTAAAATAAAATTTGTAACTTCTTTCTGTTTCTTCATTGTGTTATGGTAATGTAGTTACCAAAATTGAATCTTGAATGAAAATGTGAATAAGTATATCAAACATATTTCATTAGGCACTTTTTCTAGCTACAATAAGAGAATCATGTTTGATAGCTTTATGCAGCATCATTTTGTTTTCCTTGTTATAAACTTGTATTAGAAATGGACCTGACTTGAATCAATCTTGAAAGCTGATGTGGGACATATTAACAACTTTATAGCTGCTTTTTTCTCAACTATTTGTTAATTTTTTGAAAATGTACAACATTTAAACTTAATCCCTCTTTTCACTTGTAATTCTGATTTGGTTTATACAGTGAGTGTATTAGTCTAGTAGGGTTCAGATGTGTGTGAAGATTGCATGGATGTTAGTCTCCATGTTCAAACCACGTTAAATTTATGAGTCTTCTTCAACTCTCTGCCTTTTATACATTGTTCTTCTCGTAATATTATCCATCTTAAGGGAAAGCAATTTAAAAACGAGAATGAATATGTTGAAGTTTCTGTTTCACTGCAGAAAACTTTTGGAGAATATACAGAGAGTACAGCATTTGAGAGACCACTTACTAGTGGTGTTGCTTATGCTTTGAAAGTTCTCCACTCGGATAGGATGCATTTTGAGAAGCAGCATGGGTGGACAATTAAGAAAATGGAAACTGAGAATGAGGCACTAGTCCAAGATTGTATTCCAGAAAATTTGGATCCAGCACCCATTCAAGATGAATATGCACCAGTGATATTTGCTCAAGAAACAGTTTCCCATATTGTATCTATTGACATGATGTCAGGGAAGGTGTGCCTTGCTTAGCTTGCTTTCACCCTATCATAATTTACTTTTTCTAAAAATTGTGGAGCAATGGCTTGGGCTTCAAAGTTATACATTCCTGTGAATGTTATTACCCTACGTATACTGTACTCGTATGAGAAAACTTGAGTGTGGAGTTATCAGTTAGGAGCACTTTTTCTGTCTCTATATTTTCTTTATGCAAGCTGGTAGCTTTAGATACTTGAAGCTTTTGTATGCATGAAACAAAATATTTGACCAGAAGACCACTTAACACTGTATCTCATATAATTTACTTTGCATGGTGGAAGTTAAAACTTAAATGTTGGGTAAACATAATCAACTACATAAAAAAGTTTCAATTACAAACTTAATAATGTCTCTGAGCACTGGTATAAACTGTTTTTCATGCCTGATCAGTTTATTTGCAGTCATCTCAGCGATTGAATTAGCAGAAACTGGATTAGGAATTATTATCTTCAGAATTTTGCTTTAAATTCTTCATTTATCTGGCTGTCTAAAAGAAAATGTTATATTGTTAAACAGGAGGACCGTGAGAATATTTTGCGAGCAAGGGCATCTGGAAAGGGTGTTCTGACATCCCCTTTTAAACTACTAAAGTCCAATCACCTGGGCGTTGTACTCACATTTGCTGTCTATGACACTAATCTTCCTTTAGATGCTACACCGGAGCAGCGTATTGAAGCTACTGTGGGGTAATAACTTCAATTAATCTCTACATCTAACTCTCTAGTCTCTAGCATTTGTGCTCTCATCCTCATCCCCCTAAGAAAAATAATATTAAAACAATTACAAACTCAGTGTTAATGTGTTTATACCTATTTGTTGGAAGGTATCTGGGTGCATCTTATGATGTTCCATCACTGGTGGACAAGCTTCTGCACCAACTTGCCAGCAAGCAAACCATTGTTGTAAATGTTTATGACACCACTAATGGTTCTGGACCTATCACAATGTATGGTACTGATGTTGCTGATACTGGCCTACTACACATAAGCAGCCTAGATTTTGGGGATCCGCTACGAAAACATGAGATGCACTGCAGGTTTGCTTTCGCACTAAAACAATTGCATTGTTTCCAAAGAATTGAAATGCCAGATAAGCGCATTTCCAAATTTCTTTTCCTTTTTCTTTTCTTTTTCAGGTTCAAGCAAAGGCCTCCATTACCTTGGACAGCAATCAATGCATCAGTAGGGGTACTTGTTATTACTTTGCTTCTTGGTCACATTTTTTATGCAGCAATAAATAGAATAGCAAAAGTCGAGGATGACTATCGTCAAATGAGTGAGCTGAAAAGTCGCGCTGAAGCTGCAGATGTGGCAAAATCCCAGGTGCGATATATTTCTGGGATTTAGGCTTTCTGTTATGCAACACAATTGTTAGTGTGATGGCAAGAATATTGTGTGATGGCAAGAATATTGTGATTCTCATACGCATTCCATATATCTAGTGCATCATATGATTATCATTCAACTTCAAAATTATTTTTCATAATTTATAAAACCTTTTACTCAAAATTAATATTTCGGCCTTGACCTCCAAAGATTGATTTTCCCTTTTGTAGTTTCTTGCGACAGTTTCACATGAGATCCGGACTCCAATGAATGGTGTTTTAGGTAATTGAAAAGTATTTTATATTTTTATAGATATTCACAACTTATCAATACTTGGAGATAATTGTCAACTGTTTCAAATTATTTTGCAGGTATGCTGCAAATGTTGATGGACACTGAACTTGATGAAAACCAGATGGATTGTGCCCAAACTGCTCACAAGAGTGGTAAAGATCTTATATCAGTTATAAATGAGGTTCTTGATCAGGCTAAGATTGAGGCGGGAAAGCTTGAACTTGAAGCTGTAGCTTTTGATCCACATGCTATTCTAGATGAAGTTCTATCACTTTTCTCTGAAAAATCTAATGAAAAGGGAATAGAGGTGAAATCTTATCTCTTAGCCACTGTAGTTTTGTACCTCCTACAATTTGGACATTAAATCTTACATAAACTGTGTTCTTTATACTTTTGGGTGAATACAGTTGGCTGTTTATGCTTCCAATCAAGTACCTGAAGTTGTCATTGGTGATCCTAAACGGTTCCGACAAATAATAACTAATCTTGTTGGCAATTCGCTCAAGGTGTGCTCTATATTTCATGCTGCATTTTGTGTTTGACTTTGACCCATTTTATTCTTGATATATGCTATGCTGCTGGAAACATCTTGTAATTTTAAACACTGCAGCATTTTTTTTCCCTTTGAAGCATACTAGACATTGTCGCCTCCATTATCAATTAATCCGTTTGATCTTGAATATGTTGTCCTTTTGGAAGTGTGTCCCTTTGCTCAGTGATCTTGAGACATTTAAGCAGATTTAATAAGTAAATTATTCATCAATAATCCTGGTGGTATTCTTTTTATTCATTATCTTTACAATGTCACCTAGTGTATACATTTTTTTACTTTCACTAGTAAGTGATCCGTGCAATGGGCTGACATTGTAATAATACACAAACAATATTTTTATATACCTTCTTCTCTTTAGACTTTGATGCAATCTTTCAGAACTTTTATATTAAATTACTGGATCTTCCTATCTTCAGAATAAAAGAGAACGAAAGGAATCTTTTTACATATTTATAATCTCTTCTAATTAGTTTACTTGGTGCATTTCAGTTCACTCATGATAAAGGACATGTATTTGTCTCGATTCATCTGGGGATTGAAGTGAAGAACCCACTTCATATTATTGATATAGTGCTGGGAGCAGGCTTAAAATTGGATCAGGACATGTCAGACAGAACTTATGACACATTAAGTGGGTTTCCTGTAGGCAACAGATGGAAAAGTTGGGCAAATTTTAAAAAGTTAAGTAGCATAAATGAACCTGAAATTATTCAACTACTAGTAACCGTTGAGGACACAGGTATAGGAATTCCTACAGATGCACAAAGCCGCATATTTACACCTTTTATGCAGGCTGACAGTTCCACCTCTCGAACATATGGTGGAACTGGAATTGGACTGAGCATTAGTAAATGTCTAGTTGACCTCATGGGAGGAGAAATTGGATTTGTCAGTGAGCCTGGAATTGGAAGTACATTTTCATTTACTGGAATTTTTGGAAAAGGAGAAAGCACATCTCTGGATGCAAAGGGGCAGAAGAGGCCTTTTGGTTCAGAGTTCCAAGGATTGAGAGCATTAGTGGTAGATAGAAGAAAAATTCGAGCTGAGGTCACAAGATATCACCTGCAGAGATTGGGGATGTCTGTGGATGTAACTTGCAGTCTGAATTCTTCTTGTCTATCTAATCCTTGCAACACGAGGTAATTTGTCATTTTGGCAGTTGAATTAAAAATCCATGAGTTGACAGTTGTGCACAATAAACCATAAGAAATTACCTATCGAAGTTCTGAAATTGTTTGATGGCATAAGAGCATTACGTGTCACAGTTAGAATAATTGTTGTTCAAACCTTTTTTTACAATATAAACAAATGATTTTAGAGTATAAATTATTAGTATTGCTTGCTTTATGGGAAATGGAGAATAAAAATGGGTGACATATAGTGTAATTAGGGAATTTTTTTCAGGCTGATCTGATCCTCAGTGCATGGATCTTTCATATGAAATATTTTTTTTTAAAGATCTTGTGAAGGTTTAAAAACTGTCCGATGCTCTGGGGGAAATTCAGTACCTGTAATTTGTCAATAAATTGCATTAACTGGTTCTCGTGAACCTATTTGGTCAATTCTAGGATTATCAAGATTATGTCCATTTCCTCAAACTTGGTAATTGCTTGAGTTCAAAGGTAGTAACTTAAAGGTGCAAATAGACATTAAGTAAACATGAAGATTTTTCATTTCTAGTTCATATTAATTGTTTTCAAAAACCTTGTACTGTACAATATATTATTATTTACTAAATTACTATTTTTTCTTTTGTTTCTTCAGTATGTTGACACAGTTAGCAATGATTCTTATAGACAAGGATGCTTGGTATAAGGAAAGCAGTATTTTATACACAATCAAGAAACATAGACAGAAGGGCATCAAAGGGGACCCAATACACTCACCAAAGATTTTTCTCCTGGCCACTCACCTTAGCTCCAATGAGTGTGATGAGCTCAAATCAGTTGGTGTCATAGATGATATACTAATGAAGCCTCTTTGGCTCAGTTCTTTGATTCACTGCTACAGAGAATCACTTGGCACTGATAAAAAGCAAATAAATAGGAAGAAAGTATCCAAACTCGGAAATTTATTAATACACAAACAAATTTTGGTGGTTGATGATAATGCAGTGAACAGAAAAGTTGCAGAAGGTGTTCTGCAGAAATATGGGGCAATAGTGACCTCTGTGGAGGGTGGCAAGGCTGCTCTGAAGAAGCTTAAGCTGCCACATAATTTTGATGCTTGTTTCATGGATCTGCAAATGCCAGAAATGGACGGGTAATTTATCTTCTTGTTCCTAATTTTTACTTTTGAATGAAAATGGAGGCACAGTAGTTTCCTATAAGAATAAAACCGAGGAGCAGTGAGTGGTCAAGTAAGTTTATTTCATACTAGTGAAAACACATGCAAAATAGAATATAATTATTAAAAGAACTGGTGCCAAAAATCAGGCCACTATCCTTATATACTTTAGCTAATTTTTTCTGGGCCTCACAGCTGGCTTGTTGACCTGTAAAACTGTTTACCCAATCTTTAAGCCAGATTGAAATAATTGCTAAGATAATACTTTTAGAGATTATGCTTTGGCCTTGCGGTTAGCAACTTCATTTGATTTAGTCTGGGTCTCTTGGATACACTGATGACCAGTATAAGTGTCTATTCAGTCTTTCTGCATGCTTTTCTTAATCGGATGTCTCAAAACAAGATTCTTGCTAAAATAGTTAGTTAGTTGTTTCGAAAGAAACTATGTGCGATATTTTCACCTCATCATGATGAACTACTTTATTTTGACATCTGAAACAGTAGTACAGGTATATTGCTGTACTTTTGTTGGTTATGTTACTCTTAGGTGTTAGAAATCTGAGATTCTGAATGCTTTTCTAGATAGGATCTCTCACATAAGGATCCCTGACTAAGATATGATTTACAAATATTCTCCTTATCTTAAATGGTACAGCTTTGAAGTGACAAGGAAAATCCGCAGCCTAGAGAGTGAGGTAAATGAGAAAATTGCATATGGGCAAGCATCAGCTGAGATGTTTGGCAACATCTCTTATTGGCACATTCCTATACTAGCAATGACAGCTGATGTAACTCAAGATTCAAATGAAGAGTGGAGAAAGTGTGGGATGGATGGCTACGTGTCAAAGCCATTCGAAGACGACCAGCTCTATATGACAATGTCACGTTTCTTCAAGTCTGATTCATAGTGTGGAAGTGCATTGTTTAAAATCTTTGATTACCAGTGCAGGCACGCTGTTGACAAGTTTTGAACGACCTCCAGTGTGATATGTATTATGAATTCAATCAATGCCACATGCCAAGTGTTGAGTTTCCACTAGTAGAGCTAGCGGATGGATTGATTTTGGCTAATTATGTTCTGATATTGTAGTAGTCGGATATACCCAGCTGATTTGTTTCTAAACAAGACTGTGTGCCAGCACCAAAGCTATCAATTCAGCATCGTGGATTGCATCTATGGTCTTGCTCAGTGATAGTAAGTACCGTCTTCATCATCCCTGGATTTTCATATTATAATTGCATTTCATACATATTATAATGTGTAGAAAACTTTGGTCATTGAAAGATACCTATACTACATTTCTAAATTTGTCCCTTCTACTTAAATTTTTGCATGTCTTACCGTGTTTCAATTTTGCTGCAATTTGGTTTTTCATACACGTCTGTGATGTTGGATTTAAGACATCTAGTATGGCAGCACCAAGTTAAAGCAAATTAAAACGTTCAAGAGTTCAATTCAGAAAGTTAGAAGTGGAAGGACCAAATTGAGTAATGTTGACCGAAAGTCTAATATTGTCCATCATAATTAAATTAGCTTGACCCATGGAGAGGAGTTTAATAAGGTTCTTCATGCATTAACATTTTTTTTCTTTTGTTTTTCAGGATATTTTCGAGTGCTATAAATTATCGATTTCTTCTCTTTTGGAAGGGACAATGTTACTTGGACCAGCGTCATTCATGCTAATTATCACTCATTGAAGGACAAGAGGAGGTCAACAGAAGGCATATTTACATTTTTGTGTACATAACTCCTTTTTGGTTCCTGCTTTTCATCTCTTATTATTTTTTGTAAATATTCATTTGGAGCGAGTAGGTTGAGATAAAATGTTATAGTGATGACAGCATTAATTCATTTTTTCGGGGCTAAGATTGAAAAAATGACATCTTTGAACCCTCAATTTTGTAACTAACGTGTAAAGCAAAATTGTTACATGATACAGTAGAATGGTATATGTATCAATATTTTGTGAGATCCCAACTTGTACTAAGAAGTGGTAACCGCTTTTCCTTCCCCATTAATATTATCAATAATAAAATTGTGCATTTCATTACAGTTAAAATATTGAGCAGAACATGAGGACCACCAACGGACTAAGAAATTTCCCCCCTTAAAAAAGGCAAAAAAACAAAAAAGGTTGTTAAACAAAGTGTGTGGGGGAAGAAAAGGAAATGAGATAAATAATCATTTTGTCATTGAGAGGGAAAAAGGTAAATCTTTGTTGAGTTGGAAAAACACATGACAGAAGAGAAAGTTAAGAATATAAGCCTTTTCTGTGTGTTTCTTTCGGTGATTGTGAAGCACGTGACAAAGCATAACCACTGAAATTGGAAGCGGCATAAAAAATAACAAATAAGATTTGATATGCTACAGCTCAGTTCTTTTATGTGGGACATATTTGTGACCACCAGAACCTATCAATGGTTTATTGTATTCTTGAGGAAGCACTTTCAAACTGACTCTGCATGATCCACTTGCAAGGGAATAAAATAAGATTCCTTCTTAGCCGTTATAACTCTCACAAGCCCATAACTTCCTTGCCCTTTCTTTGGCTATGTGCTACATAAGTAACCAAATTGTTGGTGTCTTGGGGTATTCTATTAAGTCTTTATCAGCAAAACCTCTCTTATCTTCTCTCTCAAAATGGCAACATTCATGCTGAAGTTAATGCTTCCTCTACTTTTTTTGTCCATGATTCCTTCAGAAACAGGTGACAGAAACGTACTTGTTCACCAGTATGAAACTCTCATTTTCTTACACTTAATCCAATGCAGAACAGTATTTACTTCAGAAATGTATACCCTAAAATGTTATTAGGATATGTTGAAGAGCTTATGAAAAATAACTTATGACTCTCATAAGTGATTATTAGCTTATTTTAAAAAGTTTTATTGTTAAATTTATAACGTAAGCTGATGTTTAAAAATAGCTTATTAAACAAGCATTTAATTAGCAAGTATCTTAAATGCACCCTTGTTACTTCTTTTCCTCCCTCTCTTTTGTTTGCATAATGTTTAATCTTAAGAAGTACATTACGTGCAGCAAATGCGGAATTTGAGCAATGGTGTGTGGCTGATGAGCAGACCACTGACAATGAATTGCAGGCAGCCTTGGATTGGGCTTGTGGGAAAGGAGGTGCAGATTGTAGCAAAATTCAAGTGAACCAACCCTGCTATTTTCCAAACACGTTAAAAGACCATGCTTCTTATGCCTTCAACAGCTACTTTCAGAAGTTCAAGCACAGTGGAGGTTCTTGCTACTTTAGAGGTGCTGCCATGACAACAGAAGTGGATCCTAGTAAGTATTTAAACGATTTCCTCATAATCACTCTCTGATTTCCCCTTTTGCTTTAACTTTTGACATACACATGTTCACATGGCAATGAGTCAAAAAACCGTAGTTAGACAACGGTAGGCCTTGTAACTTTGAATAGCTGATAAAATATTAAAATGTGATAATTGATTTAGTTAAAATTATGCCAGCAAAAGAGGAAAAAGAAAACTAACTTCGCTAACAAGTTATGTTACACTACATGCTGATAGAAGCTCCATTTAGCAAATCAATGTGTCAAAAGAATTACCCAAAATTAAAGCTTCTTGTGTATGAATTCATTAGGCATGCATGAGTAAACATATAATGAGTCCCTTTGTCAGTTGTTGATGAATATTTATAACCTGTGACTGTTAATGTTTGAATGCAGGTCATGGTTCTTGTCACTATGATTTCATTCCCTGATCGCAACTATCAGTGAAGGCTTCAAATAACTCAAGCAAAGACTAGATTCAGGCCTTTTGTTTGTGTGTGTGTCCCATTGAAACCACAGTTTTTGCCTTTTCTGATTGGTAGAGCTGAGTCTTGCATTGTAGTTTATCTCAGTCGAAGGCTGAGAAGGCATAAAATGTTCTCCAGCAAACTAGCTTCCAATCTTACAAAACTAAATTAATCTTTTTCCTACATTGATGTACCTGTAGTCCAATTGAACTTAGATTTTTTAACACGGTAGTATGGTAAAATTGCTAATTAACGATGTGAAAAATAGATTCTCTGTAGTGATTTTGTCTTTGCATGAGATATAAACTTATAATAATATTTTTAATATAATATATTTTATTTTAAATAAAAAATTTGAATGAGTGGTAAGATTAAAACAATTGATGTGACGGTATGTAGTTTTCTTTTTCACGTGAGAGGATTTATACCATGTATATTTTGAAAGGGGAGTGACTCTGAGGATAGTGATATAACTTTATAGTCACAAAAAAAAATCATTTTTGCTCTTCTTTTTATCTCTACAATGAAATCAACTTTTAGCATAAACTATACTAAACTTGTGTCTTGTCCACCCTAAACATCTACTTTTTTTTTCCTTATGAATGTTAAATTACTCCTTACTTGTCTCTCAAATGATTATATATGTTTTTAAATAAATCATACGGATAAACAATTTCTGCTCTCATATGTTAAGCAACTGAGTTTAGTTTTTCAGAAGAAAAAAAAAACTAAAACAGACCTTTTGATATGGTTTTTATAATAAAAATAATTTGTGAGAAAGTTATATATAATAAAAGAACAAGTCATGTCTTTCTTACGTGTCTTTCTGAAATAAACACGATTCTACGTCAATTTAGCTTATATATTTTCAACCTGGGGAACAGTTGGGTTGACTTTAAAGTAATTGCAGAACCTTTCGAGGAAATTTCGAGTAATAAGAGAGGAGTGTATATGAAAGCATTTGTGAATCCATAACCATACACGAACGAAGATGAGGGTGATGCAGGCGCAAGTGTGGAGATTTATCTGTTTATTATCAACGGTAGTTGGACTTATCTGCTACGCTTTCAGTTCCTCTTTCAACCTTCTATTCGGAGAATGGAACCTATGGAAGATCTTTTCTTACAGTTTTTTCAGTTTTATCATTGCCTTAGCGGTTTTGTTTGCAAAAGTGTGGCAACGTTCACACTCAACGAATTTCATGTGCAAAGCTCATCTTTCAGTTGTCGTTTTAACCTCCACCTCTGGCTACTCCTTTTTCTACGACAAAGCAGTTAACACGAAACCAGACACGTTTAGTATTGTTTCATGCGTTGCATTCGCAATCATGTCGTTGAGCTTGTCGAAGCAGATTCACTTCGGATTCGAAGTGGATCTCCTTTACTTCTTCCTAGGTTGTCTAATCATACAACTCATGAAGATTCAGTTATTGTTTGCCATTGTCGGAACCGGTTTCAGTTATTTCCTGGTCATCCTTCGTTCCTCTTTAGAATTTAATGACTCACAACAACCTAATCCAGATTCTGTTATTAGTAATCATAACGGTGATGGAACAAATCTTGTGTTGCCTGAGATGGAAGCAATCCTGAAGCACCTGCTTGTTGCATGTGCCAAAGCAATTTCAGACAATGATTCGATAATTGCAAAATGGTATATGAACAAATTGAGGGGTATGGTATCAGATTCTGGGAAACCAATGCAAAGGTTGGGAGCATACATGTTGAAAGGATTTGTTGCACGGTTGGAAGCTTCTGGAAGTTCAATCTATGAGGATGACGCTTCAAAACACAAACAAGAAAATGCAGAGGTTCTCTCCCTCTCTCACATGTTTTATGAAATTGTTCCCTACGTCAAATTTGGATACACGTCTGCAAATGGAGCTATTGTTGAAGCTATGGAATATGAAGACAGAGTTCACATAATAGATTTTCGAATTGATGAAGGAACTCAGTGGATCACTTTGATTCAGGCTCTTGCGAGTAGGCCCGGAGGGCCACCTCACCTGCGAATTACGGGTATTGATGATTCAATGTTATCTGATTCTGGTGCACTTAACATAGTGGGAAATAAGTTATCAAAAATTGCTATGGATTTTAAGGTGCCGTTTGAATTTCATGCTGTAGCTGTCCCTGCTTGTGATGTTCAACCACATAACCTTGGAGTTCGATCAGGGGAGGCTCTGGCTGTCAATTTTGCATTCATGCTACATCACATGCCAGATGAAAGTGTTAGTGCTGAGAATCACAGGGACGGGCTTTTGAGGTTGGTGAAGACCTTATCACCAAAAGTGGTGACACTTGTTGAACAACATGCTGACACAAACACCCCTTCATTCTTCACACGTTTCCTTGAAGCTATGGACTACTACACAGCTATTTTTGAGGCAATAGATGCCACTCTTCCCAGAGACCATAAATTGCGAATCACGCTGAGCGGCATTATTTGGCAAGAGACATAATTAACATCTTATCTTGTGAAGGGGTTGAGAGGGTGGAACGACATGAGCTGCTTGAGAAATGGAAGTTAAGATTTTTAATGGCTGGTTTCACTCCTTACCCTTTGAATCCACTTGTGAGTAACACTATAAAGAAATTGCTTAAGAACTACATTGATGGCTATAGATTTGAAGAGAGAGGTGGAGCTCTATATCTGCGTTGGATGGATAGAGATTTGGTTGCTGCTTCTGCATGGAGATGAGATGTGACTCCTGAAGTTCAGGGGCAAGGGGAACAAACCGAAACCTGTTCTTGTTCTAGTTCTTATTGCTATGCTCCACCATTCTTTGTCTGAATGGTATTGAAATACAGCGAGAATATAATTATTTTACATATATATGATTATCTAATCTTGTATGGTTATATAATTAAAATTTATTGAATTCTATAACTTGAATTAATATCATAAAATAATAATATAAAATTAATATATTCTCTATTTTATAGTTGTTTTTGAATTGATTAATAACTGAACTTATTAACTTTAATTGATGAGCAAAGCATTTATGGAACTGTCGAAGAGAGAAAGTGAATAGACAGAATTCTTGGCTTTGCTTTTCAAGTGCTATTCTTTTGGTCCTTTTTGAGTGTTAACTGAGAAATATTACCTAAATATGTTCTATTTTTAGAAAATTTATGTCTTTAAGTGGTAAGTCTAATATAAATTTACAAGTAACAAATGGATGGATTACACATATGACTCTAATGATAATGGTTTTTTTTTTTTTTTTTTGTCAAAGTCAATTAACTCTTTAAAAATTAAAAAAAATAAAATTTGGGCCTAAGTACGACAGAAATACGGCCCATCAAAATGTTAATGGGCTATAAATAGTATTTATTCATTTGGGGAACTTTCATCATTTTTTTTTTCAGCCTCTTTTCTTGTATTGATTTGCTTTACCAAGCCTATGACTTTCAATTGAGCCTTCGGCTTTTCGAATCAGTTAACTTTAATCAGTGGATTATGTGGTTTTAAAATTACTTTATTTGGGAAGCTTTGTTAACCTGACAAAAAGTAACACAAAGCTTTGACAATTACAGTGTTGAAATAAAATCTACTCAAATATGAACTAATTTCAACACTATAACTGTCTCTATTAAGGTAACACGGATCTTCAAATCTCTTCTCTGATGTGATGACGTTTCTCTAACTGTGGCTGACGTGGGAGGGTATCTGCAAAAGACATTTCGATGCTGAAGTCAGATTCAATTTTGAACAATAAATATTATTTTATAATAAAAAGTCAACCCTTTAACTGTATTTTTACCTTCTATATAGGCACTGTAATGGGCCAATGGGCCTGTCGAGTCAGTCTTCATTTTAGTCCTTTATTTAAAATAAATAATATCTTAATTATTACCCTTAATTGGGTTAATTACCTTTTAATCCTTACGAAGGGTATCCGGCCTATTATGTCGAATAGGTACTCGATTTTCTTTTCCTACAAATAGGACCGAGTTAATCTTTATCCAGTATAATAATTTTTACGTTTTAACGTGATTTAACGTAATTTTATTGAATATGATTTATTCTAAACCTTCTTTTGTATAACACATGCAAAGAACATAATAATGTTGGTAGACAGATAACTGAAATTAAGTGATCACGCTGAATAATTATTGAGTTCTTCCTAATATTATTATGCAAAATTAGTCCTTAATTGAAAAATTCTTTTCTCTGATAGAATCATCATGACATGCCATGTAAGTTAGGTTTTTCATCTGATATTACTGCAATAACTTAATCCATACGTTGCCTCAAAAGTAGGAAAAGCATATAGCACTAATATTCCTGTGTAATATTTTTTCCCCTTCCATTTGAAGACTTTGAATGGTTTCTCCAATACTCAAGGAACCAAAGTTGAAAAGCCCTGCAACAAGAGTCAACCAGAATATAATTTGAGGGGCGAAGCATTCTACCGTGTCTGTTTAGAATTTGGAATTAGGATTAACGGGTCAGTTCCACCAAAGTCAAAGTCATTGGCCAACTCTCCAATTGAAATGATAAAGCAAATATTCTTATAAAGACATCATATACAACCAAAATTGTACATTAATTGAGGAGTTATCTTACCAGAAGCATGTACTAATTGAGGAGTTAAAAGACAAACACACCTAATATAATCCTATATTAAATTACAAGTTCTTTTTTTTTTTTAATTTAAAATTAATTTACACACTGTAAAATTTTTATTCATCTTGGCCATGGGTATTGCTTTGAAAGTTGAGTAGGAAATATGAGATGAGGACTTTGACTTGATGCTTGACAAGTTTGCAATTCATTTCTACCGGTCCAATATTTCAACTCGAAAATTCCAATTACTTAGAGAGTGTTTGTTTTTTCTGTTTTTAAAAATAAAATTTAATATAAATTTGTATTATATTGTATTTTAAAAATAAAAAACTATTTTTAAAATAGAAATCAAACACACTCTTAAAATTTTGAAGGAAAAAAAATAGACCTTGCTAAACAATTTTTTTTTTCTGTCTAATGCGTTCATAAAATTTTTTGATAAAATCTTAAATGACTAACCGTTTGACAATATTTCAAGTGAGAGGAGTTTGTTATTATAAAAGATGAGAAACATTAATAATGACTATTAAATTAAATAAAAAATTTAAATTTGATGTTTTTACTAAATTATCTACTTTTTTTTTTTATCTCTTTTACCAATTAATTCTCTTC